ACTTCTTTGATTATCCCTTATGGTCAAAATGTCGTATATGCTATTTTTTAAGGTCAAATTGTCGTACACTCTATATGTCAAAACTGATCAAACCAACTCATAAAAATCAATTATATATTAAAACGTACTATTCATGTTACCACTATACAGGAATTGTTTCCACAGAAGGTTCTTTTAGAAAGAAAGAAATCAAAAAAATGTTCCTCCTGAAAAGTAGCAAAAACTGTTATACGAGATTTTGACCCCCCAACGACGATATAATTGTTTATTTATTTGAATTGTTGGATATGGAAAAAATAAATAATAAAAACTAGAACTGCCACTATCATGGCGTGAATACCCCCGCATACCACTTTGTCAGAATCAACAGTGGCCATTTAGAGCTCAAGGACAACCTCCCTGCCAAATCTGAGGTTACTAAGCCAGTGCATTGCTTAGTTATGTATTCTACATGCTTCAAATGTGAAAATGTCAAAATCATTACATTGCGGACAGGACATTCTTTAGCAATTGAGAAGAAAAGCTTTTTTTGTCAAGGTCCCTGTGACCTTGACCTTTGACCCAGTGACCTCAAAATCAATAGGGGTCACCTTATAGTCATGATCAACATCCATGCCAAATATGAAGACTGTGGGTCAAAGGAATCTTAAGTTATGGGTGGACAAACTTTTTTGAAGTCAAAAGTCCCTATGACCTTGACCTTTGATCCACAGTGACCTCAAAATCAAAAGGGGTCATCTACTAATCATGACTAACCTCCATTCCAAATATGAAGACTGTGGGTCATAGAATCTTAAGTTATTGGGCGGACAAGCTTTTTGAAGTCAAAGCCCCTGTGACATTGACCTTTGACCCAGCGACCTAAAAATCAAAAGGGGTCACTTACTAATCATGACTAACCTCCATACCAAATATGAAGACTGTGGGTCAAAGGAATCTTAAGTTATTGGTCGGACAAGCTTTTTGAAGTCAAGGCCCCTGTGACCTTGACCTTTGACCTGGTGACCTCAAAGTCAATAGGGGTCATCTACTTATCATGACTAAGCTCCATGCCAAATATGAAAACTGTGGGTCAAAGGAATCTAAAGTTATTGGGCGGACAAGCTTTTTGAAGTCAAGGCCTCTGTGACCTTGACCTGGTGACCTCAAAGTCAATAGGGGTCATCTACTTATCATGACTAGCCTCCATGCCAAATATGAAGACTGTGGGTCAAAGGAATCTCAAGTTATTGGTCGGACAAGCTTTTTGAAGTCAAGGTCCCTGTGACCTTGACCTTTGACCTGGTGACCTCAAAGTCAATAGGGGTCATCTACTAATCACGACTAACCTCAATGCCAAATATGAAGACTATGGGTCAAAGGAATCTTAAGTTATTTGGCGGACAAGCTTTTTGAAGTCAAGGCCCCTGTGACCTTGACCTTTGACCTGGTGACCTAAAAATCAATAGGGGTCACCTACTAATCACGACTAACCTCAATGCCAAATATGAAGACTATGGGTCAAAGGAATCTTAAGTTATTGGGCGGACAAGAAAAAACCGACGGACAGCCGGACGGATGGACGGACAAGCTGATTCCAGTATACCCCCTTACAACTTTGTTGTGCGGGGGTATAATTAAGAAAATTTTTATCAAGTGAAAAGCTTCCATAATTTGTTTTAAAACAGCCCACAGCAGTATCTTGACACCTAAACTGGCAAAAATTTTCGACATGCAGTGTGGGGGTCAAGACCCCCTCCCGCACCCACCCCTGTCTAATTCATTAAATGTAGCGCTTAAAAAAAATCCTGGGGAATTCCCTGTATTGTAAAAAATATTAAATTCTGTTGTTGGACATTATGTACCGGAGGGATTATGCCAGACTCTTACGAAATTATTCAAGGAATTCAGTGCTGAAATAGTTGAGTAACGGCGTCCGTTTTCAAAAGGACTGAAATGCAGATTATTTATTTGAATCGCTAGATTTCACTGACATTCTCCCTTATTAAGATCGAAATCCTGATCATTAAAATAATACATTTGATTATGCTTACATGTATACATGTGTTTTATTTTTTGTGACATTAAAAATCTCAGTGATTTATTCTTATCTGTTATAATCAATAATGTTTTTGCAGGGAAAAAGGTATGAAAATTGTGCACAATTAATTTTACAACAATTTTCTTTCAGGCAAAGAGCAAGGGGTCAATATATTGTGCGACCTTGACCAGGGAGAAAACAAAAACGACCAGTCTCAGCTGTTCATCCAGGAGGCTGTGTTGACTATTGGACAGTGTCTGAGGGACAACCTGCTAGAAGATGTACATGCATCACCATGGTACAGCATAATGGTGGATGAGACAACAGATGTTGCATTCCGTAGTGGGATGATAGTTTATATGATATGTAAAGAATGAGATAATATGAAATATAAATTCTTTCAAAGTAAACATTAAACTAGTACTTGCAATGTATGTTTATGTGTGTTCTCTCCTTTTCTTGATTTACTTGTTGATAGTACTTGCAAAGTTTAAAAAAAAACATTAAAATACTACTTGAAAAGATTTTTTGACATACAATTTTCAAAATATTTCATTAGATATCTAAAAGATGGGTGCAGCCAGACAGAGTTTCTGTCGAGCGTACCTCTAAAAGATGGCAAGGCAGATGCCCATTTCGATAGCCATCCTCCAGCGGCTTTCATCGTAAATCCTTACTGTTTGGATGCTAGGACCGCCAATAGAGATAGTTGACATTAACTTCATAGTAAAAATCTGGCACAAGGAGCAACCTAGGCGTAGCCAGCTCTAGGCATGTAACATTTCATGAAAAGTCAAAAGATAACTAATTTACTAATATTAAGAAGCATTTATGTATGATTTTTTTTCTGTTCAAGTTATAGAAATGATAATCAAAATATGTTAATCAACTGAACACCTTTTGTTTGCTTAGTTTAAACTTCCATTAAACATGCACCAAAATACACCATTCCATTGTAAGGTATCAAAAAAACTTCTCACACCTACCCCCTCTAAGTTACTCTAAAAATAATTTCAGAGGAAGGCCTTGGTCATGGCTATGAACAAATATAATGGTGAATATGGCCATGTGTCACACTGGGAATATTCAGGGTCCATCTGTTAACACAGAAAGGTTATGTGAGAGTGAGAGGTGCATGTAATATCCCTTTATTCCAGAATCTTCCATTTCCAAGGACTACAGAACCTTTGCTGTCAAATACTTCAACACTAAGTCAATGACTCACAGGAAAGGAAAAACAGTGAAAGGGACAAAAAGTGTATCTCATCTTGACAAGATATATGACCCAGTCAACTCTGTAGTACAACGCTATATGCAATGCAGCATGGAATTCTCTTTGGGAGCAGAAAAGTTTCTAGCTTTATGGTATACCAAAGATTCCTCCAAACAGGCCTACACTCTACATGTACTACCTTACACAGGTCATTAACGTGAAGATGTGACTCCATTGATTTGTACCATAAAGAGACCATAAAGAACTAATTGGAAAGAAATGCCCAAAAGTATGCCCTAAATTTATAGTAATACAATGAACTTAACTGAAAGTGACAGAAAAGTTATATTTAACAAATAACATTACTTGGGCAAAGTGAAGTATTTATGTGTAAATTTAAACTACTGGTGTTGCTACTTCATACCTTATTTTCTAAAACACAAGCCATTTAAATATTCTTTCCACACTTCAAAATACTCGAGTATCATTTAAAGAAGCGTGCCTTTAAATTCATTCTAAATTTCATGAAAAATCTTAAAACTGTGAATGTAATCAAATTTACACATTCGTGACATTGCAAACAGCACTTAAAATCTATGAAAATTACCAAAAATAGGTCAGATTTAGTCACTGAAAAAACAGCCCTTACCATGTTAATAACACAGTAGAAACTGGTGATGAGTACTGCAAAATTGGTCATTAACTGCATATGCAGCATATCACATGTAACTTATTTCTTGAATTGAAAATATTTTTACTTGTCTGTAAACCTTTTCTCTATGCTAATTTTCTTGAAATATATTGACTTATTTTAAGGCATACAGATTCAAATAATCCACCTAAACGAGTTAAACTAAATACATATTCTATAACAGTCATACCAGATTAACTTTTTTTTTTCGATTATCCTGTTTGGTTTACCTAAAAGTAAGTAATCATGTTTTCCCTCCTTTATGCAATCTAATATGTCTTACCAAATTGCTCTTCTGATTGCACAAGTACTTACAAAAGACAAAGTTCAATTGACTGTCACCAGTATGTATTGACATATGTCATTTCGAACTGCATTTCTGTGTCATTTTATACTGCATTTCTGATCACACCAGTAACCACAAACCCCACATTTAAATTTGTTCCCTTCTGTATGTTTCCTCATGCAAGTATGTCCATCACATCAATGATTTCATTGGTCGAGTAATTACAGACATCACATTTTCATCACTTCTCCCTAAAATGTAATGTCATATGGCGTTTAAGGTTACTATTTCGATAGCTTGAGAACTCAAGCTACACGCGTAATCACAGTCCTCATATTTATTATATTCGGTTTCTTGCCAGTATGTTTTCTCACCTGCATTTTCAGATCACCCTTTCACTTACTTGCATAATCACACATCACATTTAAATGTAAACTTTCTTTTGTTGTTTTTTTTCATGCTGTGTATTATCAAAAGTTTTTAATTGAAATATTTTGTGTGCAGAAATAACCACACAATTTACAATGTAACGCCAGCTCACCTTTTTTAGAATAGGAATAAATACCATTGTTGTATGGTGCCTTATCCAAGAGGAAACTTAGGGGAGTCCTCAGATCTTCTAATAAAGTTCACATGTAGCAACACATTTCATCCCCTGCGTCTGCCAAACTTTTGAATTTTCAATCAGTACTGTTTTCAATTTCATGAAAAGTTGTCTTCCCTGGTGGTTCTGCAAGTGTTGTATTTCTTGCATAATTAAAACCAGTTACCTGTCTTTATTGGCCACACAATATCGTTTTCTGCAGACAAACTGATGATTTATGAATGCAATCCCCTAGCATTATTCTTCAAAAGTTCTGTAACAGAAAACAAGTATTATAATCCTAACATCAAGTTAAATCTCATAGAAGCTTTTAGTTTTACTGTGTCCAAAAATGTGTAATTGTTTACAAGTAAATACTTTTCCTAGAACATGCGATTTGTTATGGCTAAATTACAGACAAAAGTACAGTAGTTGCTTGAAAATATGTGACGCAATTTTATGTTTCTTAGATTATTGTAAAACTATATAGAGTAACAACTAACGAAATTGAACTTCAATAAATTTTTCTTCAGTCAGAATGTTTTACCGATTTGTCATTTTTAAAAATTCAAAATCATCATAAGTATTTCACCGTTCCGGTATAACTTTATGATTTGCAAATAGTGCCTGCCTTGCGTCTTTTACTACAAAACTTGTTTTTTTTACAATTAAACAATGTTATAAACATTAAAATAAATTTATGAAAAGTTATTATTATCTTGTTAGAATAGTGTTCATATTTATTTATTTGAAAAAAGCTATCCAAATTAAGTTTGAGTGCATAGGACAAGTAAGTTATATTGCAGGTTTTTACAAGTACAAGGCAAGGGCAAGTACATTTTTTAAACAAGAGGGCCATGATGGCCCTGAGGTCGCTCACCTGTATATAGGCCCCCGGAGCGAGGCCAGTTTAAACCCCAAGGGCTTTTATTTGAACAAACTTGGAAGACACCCATTAGAAGATGTTTCATGATGTTAAGTTTTTACTATACATATATAATGAAAAACAATGACCTCCCCCCCCCCCCGGCAGGGCTAATTTTAACCCAAGGGCTTTTATTTGAACAAACTTGGTAGACACCTATAAGAAGATGTTACATGCTTAACATCTAAGCTCTAGCTCATTGGGTTTTTTAAAACAAGATTTTTTAATTTTTTACTATACATATATAGTTAAAAACAATGACACCCCTGGGGCGGGGCCAGTTTTGACCCCAGGGCTTTTATTTGAACAAACTTTGTAGACACTTAGTAGAAGATGTTTCTAGCTTAATATCTAAACAGTAGCTATTTGGGTTTTTTCAAAGAAGATTTTTAAGTTTTTGCTATACACAATTAAGGAAAATCAATGACCCCCGCGGCGGGGCCAACTTTGACCCTAGGGCTTTTATTTGAACAAACTTTGTAGACACTCACTAGAAGATGTTTCATGCTTAATATCTAAACTGTAGCTTTTTTCGTTTTTTCAAAGAAGATTTTTTAAGTTTTTGCTATACACATATAAGGAAAATCAATGACCCCCAGGGCGGAGCCAATATTGACCCCAGGGCTTTTATTTGAACAAACTTGGTATACAACCATCAGAACATGTTTCATGCTAAATATCTTAGCTCTAGCTCTTTGAGTTCTTTAAAAGAAGATTTTTTAAAGTTTTTACTATATGCATAAAGGGAAAATCAATGACCCCTGGGGCGGGGCCAATTTTGACCCCAGGGCTTTTATTTGAACAACCTTGATAGACATTCATGAGAAGATGTTTCCAGGGTTAGAATTTAGCAAGATTTTCTACTTGCAGATTTTTGCAAGTGATCAAATGTTTAACTGGCAATATGTGGTAGTCAACTGGCATTTCCATGATCACGTATCTTATTATTATTATTATTATTATTGTATAATAATACACAATGACAATGTATTTTGAACATCTGGTTTGACAAAAGATAATAAACTTGAATGTCTATTGAATATCAGAAACATCTTTATCACTGGTTAACACAGATGTCTTCTTGTAACGAAACAAAAACATTTCAACACATTAATTTATAAATGATAAACAATTGTTTAGGGATCAGATTAGATATACCAGAGGAACACCCACTGGTGACAACGTGCAGTTATAAACTTGTTCATGTTATGTAATTTCTTAGGACCTTCATTAATTTTCGCATATTTTGTACTTGATTACACCAACAGCCTGAAAACTCAGAGGTACTGATCTACTTTAAATAAATAAATATTTCAGCTTAAAAGTAAACACTTTACAGAGGAGTGCTACGCATTTACAATGGACCCTGATTACATCTTGGATGCTCTAACCAATAGTGTTTGGCTGTTATAAATAGTCCATCAAAATATAATCACAGAAAAAATAAATAGAGCAACCAAAAATTTGTTTTTAAGTTTTTTAAGGTAAACTTCATCAATTACTGCATCTGACACAGTCAACATCATCAGTTTCTGCAGTGGGCAGTTGCCAAACATCATCATCAGCCCAGAAGATAACAATTATGTAAACGTCCAAAAGGAACAGTCACTTGCAAATAAATGCCAGCTAGAGTAATTTTTACTGGCATTATTAGATTTTAACTGGCATTTTGCCAGTATGCCAGCTTAAATTCGAACCCTGGTTTCATGCTAAATATCTTAGCTCTAGCTCTTTGGGTTCTTTAAAAGAAGATTTTTAAGTTTTTACTATATGCATATAGGGAAAATCAATGACTCCCTGGGGCGGGGCCAATTTTGACCCCAGGGCTTTTATTTGAACAAACTTGGTAGACACTCATGAGAAGATGTTTCATGCTAAATATCTTAGCTCTAGCTCTTTGGGTTCTTTAAAAGAAGATTTTTTAAGTTTTTACTATATGCATATAGGGAAAATCAATGACCCCCTGGGGCGGGGCCAATTTTGACCCCAGGGCATTTATTTGAACAAACTTGGTAGACACTCACTTGAAGATGTTATATGCCAAATATCTAAGCTCTAGCTCTTTGGGTTTTTTAAAAGAAGATATTTAAAGTTTTTTTCTTTCGGTTGCCATGGCAACCAGAGTTCTGCATGGAATTAAATTCTTTGAACAATTTTTAAAGGTGACCACCAAAGGAACATTCCTGTGAAGTTTGGATGAAATTGGCTTGGTGGTTTATGAGGAGATGTCATTTAAAGTAAAAGTTTACGTACGGACGGACGGACGCCGGACGAAAAGCGATCACAAAAGCTCACCCTGTCACTTTGTGACAGGTGAGCTAAAAACTAGAAATGTGTCATCATGCCACGGATGCCCCCGCATGCAGCCAAAATTTCAGATGTTATAATATTTAGTTCCAAATTTGTTTGCACAAATTATTTTTTTCATTTGCAGTTCAAAGCCCTTAAAACTTTTCATTGTTAACACAAACCATTTTCATACAATGTTCAAGGCACTGAAATTATTCAGTCTTGACCTTTTGAAAATAGCATATTTCATATTTGTAGCCAAAATAATGGCTACATAAATTTCCACAAAAGTATGAGTGCTGAGACTGAAAGTTCAAAATTTTTCCAACATTCAAGAAAGATAAGTTTGTCCAAAATCATTGAACCACGACCAAATTCAAACTTTTTTTTTTAAACTGCTTATTCCTAAGATGTATCTATATTATTTTCAAAGTGAAAGGGATATAACCATGACCAAATTCCAACCTGCCCATTCCTTTGACATATCCATATGTCAAATTTGAGTTGAATGTGTGCAACCGTTACTAAAATAATGAACGGAAACTGATGATGAAGGAATGACAGAATGACGGAACAGGGTAACACTATATGCCCCGGCCATTACATGGCGGGGGCATAAAAATCCAGCCCTGACCTATAGTTCAGGTAAAAATTTACAAATAGTTATGACTTGTTAACAGCCTTAGGCTTGGTACATTAAAATATATATTAGTGGTGACATGGCAGAGTGGTTAATACATTGGATTTGGACTAGTAATCTAATGATTGCTAGCCGCATGGGTTCCAACCGCATAAGGGGCAAGTTGTTGTTTCCTCGAAAAAAAAACTTCACACTCCTATAGTCATTGCCCAGTGGGGGTGTAACAGTATGTCAAAAACCATATTGCAATATATTGCCATTTTGCTGAAGCAGGGTTTTTTTCCAGTATTTTGGGAACATGACCCATACCCTTGAGATTGGGAATTTTAGCGGCATTTTGCCCAAAATTGGGAAAAAGCCCACAACATTTTCAAGTTTTCTGAGGCAATATATTCCTTTTCTTATATTATAGGATTAAGTTCACAAAAGTAGGTCTCTGATTTTCAAATTTTTGAACTGTGTTATTGTATGGTGTTTTGACTTTACACCTCCTGGATGTTTCACCCCTGGATGTTTCACTCTCAAAACCCTGGTGTTTTCATCACCACTTTTTAAATTTGATAAATATATGAAATAAATACCATTATGGGTTAATATTATATATAATATAACACATACTTGCAAACAATTACATTCATGAAGAAGATTTTTTTGACATAAATATAGTGAAATTTCCCTGGGAAAATAATTATAAATATGAGTTCTGAAAGAATTATCAGCTATAAGTCTACATGTATATATTATTTCATTTTTTTTTTGTTATCCAAAATTTAAAAACCATAAAAATATTGATTAAATAAAATATGTTTTTATATAACAGATAAGAACAATTAGAAGTGTGAAACAATTTTGAATAAAGCATTATAAACACAGGTTTATTAATTACTAAATTAGCACCTTTAGAAGTGTGTAACTAATAGTTCTTTTTAGTTTTTATAAAATAGGAAATAAAATTATATGATGAAAATAACAGTGTTTATTTTAATGTTATGTTATTGTATTGTGCATACATTATAGATATAGTAATTGACTCTGAATAAAATTTAGTAAATCTTATCATTTTGTTTTTTATCTGTTTTTCATACATTGATACATATTTGGTAAATTTTATTTGAACAAGAATGTCATTTTTAAATAAATTTCTTAATTATAAATTTCAAAAAACAAATATTCTCTCAATGTCTATCATGCAAATTTATATGATAATGAGTTATCTGTCATCTGTAGCTGAAAAAAACTCGCACAATTTGCAAAAATACCAAACTTTTGCACCACTATAAAACAACAATGCATACTTCAACTCGTATTTGTTGGAACTTAATAACATTTGATCATTGACAGGGACAACTGTATCTGATTTAAACTCGTCGCTAGAACTTTTAAAACCCCGAGAAGTAACATCATTGTGGTAACTCACGGTCACCGTTGAAGGATTTCCCATTAGTACTTGCAGTTTCATTCGCCGTTACCGTTTCAGAAGTACAACTCTTTTCCGAGAGAGTCGCTTGCGTAAACATTAAATCATTTTTTTTGTTTTTATCAGTGCTTTTTTTTAACGTGTGAATCATTTTGATTTACTTTCACTTTCGAAGGCCGTCGGTATCGTAAGACGCTCGATAAACTTATACTAAGAAATCAAGCGTCTACTTAACACGTGGGTTGTTTAGACGCCGGCTATTTGCTTAATTTTACGTTCCCCCAAAGATCGATTTTTAAAAAATTTTTCTTTAAGTTTTGGATTGGGAATTTTTGTATCAAAATTGGGAAAAAAACATACTATTTTCAATTGGGAATATGACCGAATAACGGCTATAAAATCGGCCAAAAAAAAACCCTGTGAAGGGTTTTGCAATATATTGCAATACGTATTGTTGTGTATCTGTTTTGATAACATTGAGTCAGGGCTCTAGCTAGACCAAAATTTTAGGGAGAAGTGACTTCTCCCTCAGGTCCTATCAGAGAGAAGTTTGACAACATAAGGAGAAGTGAAAAAGGGCTTAGCACATTGATTTGATCTATAAAAAGGAGTTTTACATATTTATTGATAATGATATTTGAAGTATAAATTCTAAAACCCTCTATCATCAGACCATTATAATGTTTTCTTCCTGATTAATTCCACACACCCCCCTCCCTTAAGAAAATTATCATTGTACAACACATACTGGCAACATTCTCAATCAAAATTAATGTAAACAATACCTTAAGGAATTTTCATTAATAAACTACATTTTAAGTGCTATTGGACACATTTTAACAAAACAAATTTTCCTTTTGGTAACTTTATTTTTTCATCGTAAAAATCGGCATCGCGAAAATATGTGACAAATGAAAATTTGTCTTTTTCCTGCAGAAACACTTGTAATTCTAGTTGTTGTCGATTTTAATTAAATTAAATTAAATATTCAATGATCATTTTAAGATTATTATTCATCCGCTATTGCAACAGGCATTGTAAAACAAAATTTTCAAATTTGTAGTTTACCGCATAATTTACCGACGTTTATGTAACTTTTTGAAGACAAAGTTTACTTGTTTTCGACTTGTCCAAAATTGGTCTAATGTGGGTCAATAAGTTCTTGAACAAATTTCATTTTTACTATCAAACAGGTATCAAACCATTTACTTGTGCTTCTGTGTGTATTAATTTATATGCAAGTAAATTTACACGGTCTGTGTGAGGTTGCGTGTATTTACTGTCACATATGGTAAGAGCAATTCCTGGTGTAATCTTCTTACACTCGCTGATTAAATAGTGACAGGTGTTAAAAAATGTGATGTTTACATCGGCGAATTAAATGGCAATAATGTCCGATGTATCTGCATATCATGTCACTTCAAAAATGTGTAAATTGATGTCAATTATCGGCAGTAACTGTGCGTCACCAATTCAATTTGATTTATGCCTGGAGGCGAGGATTAACTTAATTTAAATGCGCTGTATGATAGCTACAGTATATGTACATGTGGTCAGTAAAAAAGCGCGGCGAAGTTGTTTTCGCTTTGATGTTCAAACTCGGCGAAGTTCTGAAACTTTAGGCGACTAAGTCGCCCAAATCGCCCAGTTGCTAGAGCCCTGTGAGTAACATTATAAATGATTATATGTTATTATGATATCAGAGACATAGATATCTATTTCTCTGTTGTTATTATTATATATGTAAATATTCTAAGTAGAAACTTAATAAAAATGTAAGGACTAAATTGAAAGTAAAGTGTCATGCAATTTGATAAACAAAACTAGTCTTGCGTGACCTTTCTTATCTGGACCGCTGATGTAAATTATGCAGCTGCTTTTTGACTTTTAAGTGTACTAGTTATCGAATATTTTTAACTTATGTTGGCGCCAATAAAATCGCCAATTAAAGATTTTAGGTGAAATTTGTACGAAATTAGAAGGCAATTAATTGAAAATTATGATTTTTATAAAATACCGGGTTTCCAAATATCATACCGCGGTACGATTTTTATTTTTTCATGTTGAAAGGTATCGGTATAACCACCCTAATTGCTCAGTACTGGTTGATTCTAGTAACAGATTTGAAAATGTGTCTATTAGCGTATAACAGTATAAGTTCTTACACAATCAAAAAAAAAATGGTTTAAGTTCCTACACAATCAAGCTAAAAAAACTGTATTAATTAATAAGTAAATATTGAAAAGAAACATTATACATACTATTTTTTTAAGAATATCATATGATATTTTAATTTATTTAAATACAAAATGTATAGACTACCATAGGCTGACAATTTGGTCAGCTGACTGAACCATCTTCACACCTGGAATTCAAAGATTAGCCATGAAGCCAAGTCCATATCTGGCAGTGACACTCAACAGCTCAATGGCTCGTGTTATGCTCCAACTTTGAAATGGAATAGAAATGCTTGCTACTTCCTGAGCCACTGTTCCTGACCTTCAACACGTGGCCCACACTGTCACATGGCCAGTATTTCTGCCAAATCAAGTCATGCTTTCAAGACTCTCTGAAAATAATTTGAATAAAAACTTTGTTTGACCAAGTAAACTAATATTAATAATTTGAAAACAAAAAACAGTCATGATTATGGACGAAAGAACTTCGGGACGTATCGACGACCAAAGAGTAAACCATGATTTAACTTCAAAACGCCAATAATAAAACTTGCAGAAGATTCAATCTTAATTGAGAATCTAATGCAAAAGAAATTACGTCGGGAACAAATCAACTTACCAAGACATTAACACGAAAACAAAATTATCGTGGAAATCGTGCGCTTGCTTTGCAGCCAATCAAATTCTGTCACTTTCGCAACATTTTGGGGGTTTCCGCCAAATTTTCGAAACGATCGCATCATCTCGGTCTTTTTCGTCAAATTCCGGCAATCGGACTATCTCGGCTATTATTGACATTGTCGGGTTAAGCGAAAATAAGATAAATCACGGAAAAAGCAGTGAGTAAATGAATAGATTGTCAATATTTTTCATATCTCCTTGATGAAAAATTCATTTCAAAAATTTGTTTGATTTGATTTGATTCTTTACAGTAAAGATAAGCATTTTTACAAATATACAAAGTTCTATAGGCTGTCCCACCAAATTTGAATATTCAATTTTTTATGTAAATCTTTTTAATTAATTTGCTGACGTCAATATATCTGTACAGTAGGCATGTTTTTATTTTTTTCAGCCAGTAATATGGTCAAAATGTTGAAATTATATTTTTCCCGTTGACTGACGTTGTAACTTGATTTATCCTGTCACTTGTATCAATTTCGGCCCGATAACAAGGTGCCGTATATTTTTACTGATCTACGGCACTTGATCACGTGGTATGCATAGTTTGCCGGACTACTTTTCAAGAAAAAATATAATTATTATTATAATGTTGGACTTTATGTTCTGTGTGTAGAATAACGAATTTTGGAAACGTTGATAAAACTTTGTTTGTTTATTTTATTTCACTCTATAATTTTTCAAGCGAAATAAAAATTATTAAAAGTGAAATAAATGTAAAACTTAACTCGTTTGCGACATTAAAATAGCGTACATGATTTGATTGTTTTGCACGTGCTGTTTGGCGCTACATTGTGACGTCACGTAAACAATACTTTAAACGTCTGTACAGCGTTAACGACTGAATAAAAGATATTGGTGTTCGAATTCATTTTCTTAGTTAGACCATTTTCTTTCATTCTAGATAGTCTACACAACAAAATTCGACAAAAAAATGTTTTTATTTATCACATTTTTCAAACAAAATGGCGCCCTCAATGTGAAAATACACAGGGAGATAATAAGAACGGCTAGTGCATTGTTGTAGAATAATGCACACTTCGGGCCTTCTTTGTTTATAAAGAAACATTTCCGATATTGTGATTAAAGGTAGTTTGCCTAATAAAATTCTTTAAAAAAAAAAACGGTGACAGGATAAATAGAATAATAGATTTATGCCGTAGATGGAGAAAGTTTATCTGGCTCTGCTCCGGAATTTATTGGGTTCGCCTTCGGCTCACCCAATAAATTCCTCCGCCTCGCCAGATAAACTTTCTCCATCCACGGCACCAACCTATTATTCTCTATGTGACGTCCAAATCACTTCATTGGTCTTTTTCTCTTAAAATGAAAATAAAATACAACAGTATATCATATATATTTAAAATGGCGTCGGATGTCATTTAAGGTTCGTCTCACAATAAGCGTGAAATGTACTCGTTAATTTTAAAAAATTGATTATTCTTATCTACTTAATGACCAATAGCTAAATGTTATCATTAAAATGAAAAGTACGTGAGAACAACGTTGGTGTCAAAAAGGCAATTTTATCAGAAAACCATTGTTTAAAATAATTAAAATCATTTGAAGTGAAATACCAGTAACTATGGTATCATCATGGTAAACTGTTGTGTTTTATTTTCATTTTAAGAGAAAAAGACCAAAGAAGTGATTTGATTAGATAGTTTATAAATCAAGTGCGCGTATCTTGAATAACGCGTCGTAGGGATACGGGAACACTAGCTAGAGACTAAAAAAAAGAGGTTCTTCCCTAATGTTTAATTTACATAATTCTGTAGTTGTCTGAATTGTGTGACTTGTGTCCATTAGTGGATACTCAGTCCATTCAAAATAATTAAATTGACCAGGTCCGATGGGATACAATAATATGTTTTTTAATAATAAGCATTTTCTATGTATTGGACTCGTACCTTTAATTATAATATTTTTCTATATCTTAAAAAGTTGGTGAAAAAAAAGGTATGACTAAATCATGAATACTTTCATTATTGGTTTAATAGCAAAAGAAAGACAGAGAGAAAATAGGCCATTCAGACAAAAAACATTGGATGCTGATTAAAAGTAATTTTCTTTTCAAATATATGAAATGTAAGATTTCTTCATATTTTCAAGGCTTATAAATAATTGTTGACCCATGCAAAACATTATGCTGCTTTGACCTACCGGTATCTTATCAACAACATATCCATAACTGCACTATTGAATGCATGCAACTGCAAGCCAGATGCTATCATAAATACACAGAGGTGGGCTTATCGGTTATAGGCCACTGCGCATCACAGGTTTTTTATGCATACATTATTGACATGCGCTATTATATAATAAAATACTATGCTACTGAGATATCAATTAATTTCTTTGCCGTGATATAATTATTTTATAGATTATCTAGGGAAATGATATTGCTAATTTGCCAAGAAATGGAAATGAAATAATAATCTTGACCAACGAATTAAACTTGTCAAAGCGACATGAGATCATTTTTAACTGGCATTGTCTTTCTCGATGTCCAGTCAAACTGTTCTCGCCTAATCAATCAATTAGGCTATTAATGATTAATATGTTATCAACTACATGTATATTTATTTTAGTGGAAAATGTATGAAATATATTGTATGCTTTATCATTATTTCAATATTTTGAATGCAGGACTTGTGGTTTTCAATAATATATTGAACAGCAGATGATGATCAGACTAAAAAAAGTCAAAGTATGGCATGCAACTTTTAACAAAATAAGCTAAATCATCTTTTCCACTGGATACCAAGATGAAACTGTATGCATTACACTTAAAACCAATTTGAACTATTAATATCAGAGGTTTATACAATCAAGATGTAACGTTGGACCCTTTTAACATAAAATAATCTGGTATAAAAATTGAACGATTAAATATTTTGTATAGAGTTTCAGTATTTAGATCATTTTTTTTGTTTGCGCTTCAATAAATTTGTGATAAAATGCAATTTTAATGACACTTGTATTATTTCCCACAACGATATATTACGATATTCACCCATTATTTACAGAGAACGACAACAGATATGCCTCTCATACATTAGTTTAGACATTAAACATCATCGGAATCCACTGTTCACATTCTGTATATACTAATTAAATACTGATATACAGTAAATTAACTGGGTTACCGAGGATGGACATTATTTATTGTGCAATTCAATAAAAAAAAAACTAACGACTTTGAATTAACTAGGTAATATAATTATAAGCTTTATTCATACAAAAGGATTTAACTCTTTATATTAATTTGTACTTACACTGGCGAGGGGCTAGGGAACAAAAGCTAACCAGTTAATTAAACAGGTAGTCAATTATGCTGCTATAAAAGATTTGTATAAACAAATGCAAAATAATATACAATTTAAAAACACAACATCTTTCATCACTTTATTTCTATAATTCAACTAGTAGAATGAACAGCATTGCAAATATATCAACCTGTGTATGTAGATAATACAATTAAGTCGTAAACGTAGTGATGCATGGACTAAACTATATCATGCACAATTCTACAGTGATAAGTTTAACAACAATCTATACATTTTATGTCCATGAACTACTTTCAGATTAGGTCATCCTTTTAAATCCACGGAATCGTTTTTTTAACATCAAAAGAAAATAATTAAGTGAATATTTTAAAAATAAATAAGTTTTCATGCACAATTATTCTACAATGATAAGTTTAACAACAAACTATGCATTTATGTATATGAACTTCTTTCTTATTAAATCATCCTTTTAAATCAACGGAATCGTTTTCAACATTAAAAGAAAAAAGATGAAGTGAATATTTTAATCAGAAGGATCTACATTGCACATATAAAGAGTACCGCAATTTAACATGTTTGATTTTACCACAAAATACCTTCTTATCCATTTAAATTCAATATCACAGTACAACATTATTTTGTTAATCCTTCGCCCCAGCAGATGATATTGCCTTGTAGCTGAGCCTTTATACTATGATGGTTTCTCTTAAGCATAACGGTGGCCAAATGCAACGAATTTGGTCAAATTTACGTTTGGAACAATCAACCCAACACCACCAGTCCTCTTGCTTGTTCTACATACGCTCAGCATTTACTTAATTCTTAGCAAGGTATTGTCTAAGTTTATTTTCATATTTCATTGAAAATAGTCTAACTTCCTCATACTCGTCCCGGTTTCCGGCTTGAATGAACCAGTTACATCGCGGCATCTGAAAACAGGTTTTACCCGTTCCTTCTTTCAGAAACCGGTACTGATATTTTTCGTCCACGTTAAAATCATCAAGTTTTACAACAAAGAAACGAGTGTGAACGAAGGTTCTCTGTTGGGTTTTCAAGATGGTTGGCTTCACTTGTAACACTGTTTGGATAAGTAACTTTGTAGCATTTAGGTGACCACATCGTAGGGCAAAATCTAGAGGGGTCCAGCCATGTCTGTTCCGTGCTATAAGAATAGAATGCATCTCCTTCGGAAACGCTGTTAAAAGTTTACTTATGATGTTTGCTTTTCCATTTGCTGCACATATGTGAAGAACGTTATTTTCTTGATCGTCCATGGCTAGCGGATCCACCTTCTTTGCCAGCAGTAAATCAATAATTGTCTCCCTTCCCCAGCCCGCTGCAATGAGTAGTGGTGTGAAACCTAACGTGTCTTTAGCATTGACGTCAGCTTGTCTTTTGAGCAATATTTTGACGACCTCTATATTGTTCCAGTCACAGGCATGATGAAGGGGCGTCTGTTGTGTTGCGTCCCTGTCATTAACGCTCGCACCACTTGTCAACAAAAGCATGACTGTCTTCAATTTACCTAAATGAAAAGATAAATCAAATTAAACCTGTATACAATACATCCCGATTGTAAAACGAATCATTCATACACTTTCTTTACGTTTCTTACTTTTACTGTTAATGTCTGAATAGTTCATAATTGAGGCGAGATCATGAACTAATAAGTAAAGTACATCCGCTAAATTTGTATTTGTATATTATAATCAAATTTAGATTTATACACTTAATCTTCATTTTCATACATTTTGACAATATATAACCGTACCAACTGAGCAACTGGCACCCGAGTGTCTGGCCAAACGTGTACAGATAGATGTTCGGCTTGGCTGCTATGGCTCAGTGCCAATGGCAATGTGACAAAATACTTCTAAATTACATTACATTACCAGACCATATTGTTACATTAATTCAGTTAATTTGTCTTTGTTTGTTGTTGTTGTTGTTGCTGTTTTGAAATCAAACGTTGTTTTCAAATACATTTCACAGTAGCTAAAAATTACAAATATTTCTAAACATTTCCTAGGAATATTTTGAGAACAAAAGGTCGTTTTTATTAAACTGTATCGAAACTTTAGCAAACAAAAATGACTTTATAATTTAAAAGAACCGACAATGAAAAGTTATTGTGATAGTCATTATCAACAAGTTTATTTACTCCTTGAAAACAATCTCGGACACATATCAGAGTTAATATAAATTTCAACAACAGAACCTGCTTTCACGGCCTCACACAATGGTGTTGTGCCAGCCCTGATTGAGTTTACAGCCACATTGTCCTGCAGTAATAATGTTACAATCTCCTGAGTTTCTGTCCGGATGCCTCTACTAGCTCGAACCAATGCCATGTCCTTCTGTTCATTGCTCCATTGCCGCCTCTATATATTACATCAATGTGGTATTTAACATAAGTATGTATAAGATTGAATGTGAAAGAAATTATTTCGGCATAATTCCTGTCGTGTCTGATTGCTAGTCATCAATTCAGATGTCATCTCGAGATCATCAAGATGGTGAGCTAATTCAAACACGAGCACATTTAAGCCTGGAATGTTTTTGGCGCAGATATTTGACCCTCTGCATAACATAGCATTTGTCTGCACTAAAAATACTTTAAACTGGATTTTGCCATTCATGAAATGTGCATAAAACTTTGCAACAGAAAATGTAGCACATTACATTCAAGGTAAATATTGTTATCATTTTTATTTTCGTTTATAATAGTCCTTACAATATAGACCTTTCCCAACCATTTTAACTTTAGTAAACACCAGTATATAGCGTTATTCGAACTGTTGTCAAAGCTAGACTGAACTGATTTACACATGTATTGCATCAACTGAGAACTTACACAACCATCTGTGCGATGCATGTACATGGTTCGTGCAAAACGTGATTAAAAGCGATATATTGGCCTAGCTGCATTCATATTTGAACAAGCCTCGTAATTCAAGACAACTAAAGACTCACAACTATAGCATATTTCATAACATGTCGTGTTTCATTAAAAACATTTTTTTACTTTGGTAACTATGTAATAAATATAATACAGTAAACTCTTGTGTATTTCACTAAAAGTCATGTTTCATAAAAAATGTTTTTTTTTTGTTTACTTTTATAGCTCTATAATAAATCTAAATATAAAACAGTCATATATAAATATAAAACAGTTAAAAAGGGAAAAGCCGTACATTAAGAAGATCTCGCATGACGTCAACTGAGGTTATATACTCTTCCTCCTCCATCAGTTCATCCGGCGGTTCTATACCTGTCTTGATAAGCTGTTTGTAAATGTCAAAACTTCCACGTTTAACTGCCATACATATTGCCGCCTTCAACTCGTCTTCACACCATTTCTTCTTAATTGGTTTCTGTGCATGCACGTCTACGAACGTTTGAGAAAAATAACAACATAAAACTGTTCAATTATACATCTATAATGTATATATACAATATTATTGGTCCAGAAGGCGTAACCTTGTACATATTGAAGTCATTATGACATTGTCACTTTTCGCGTAATTTCATTATCACAATTTCATTATCACTTTTTCGTTTTTAGCGATTCCACCATTCTGCGTTTTTAAAATCATCATTTTTTAGGTATATATATATGGCATACTAACACTTATGACGTTTTTATCCTAATTTTCTCTATATGAACAATAATTGAAGATGCGTTGAAGACTAACAGTAGAATTGTCGTCTGGAACAAGTATACATTGCTAAAATTGTGGAAGGAATATATATGCTAATACGTTAGGGCTATTATTGTTTAAATTGATATTTTATGCCAATAAGTATATCGACTTATTCAGGGCAATTATATTGAAGTTTTTTTTGTTCACAATTCTTTTACCTGTTGCTAATATGGTCGCCACAAGCTCTACATTCGGAACCTCTTGGTCTATTGCACCAAACAATAATCCAACATGTCTGCGAGAGCCTTTTCCCTCCTGGCGATGATATTGAAAAAATAAATGTATAAGTATGAAGACGAAGACATATGATTTTATAACAATTGTATATGTATCCATTTTCGGTTTAAATAGATGGAATTGAAAGCAAAGTTATATATGTCTCTTTTTTCCATGAAAAAAAAACAAACACATGTATTACGTATATCTTTAAATATAAGAAAATGACTCATTAAAATCACCTAAAACAAGAAATAAATCAAGACTAAAAAATCATATTTCATATATGAAGTGTGAATCTTATTTTCAAACATTTACTGAGGAAAGTAAAACTCAAGACAATACCAGCATAGTCCTGTCTTCACTTAAAATCAACTTCTCACAATCGTCTTTTTGTTGGATATAATTGAAAAAGAACTGAATGAATCTCAGATCCTTCATAACTCTATGCTGGGATATCTTCTTAACTTCACCACTTGTAATGTAATGCTCAAAAACCTGCAAATACGAAAAAACATTGTAGAATAGGAATTATGACCGCTATTTGTACCGAGGAATAGTTCGTAACTTTCAGTGATGCTTCGTTATTTTAGCAAAAGAAGTAATTTTGTCCAAGAGGTAGCTATTGTTCTTTTCTTTTTATTGTTTTTTATTTTCTACAAGCATATAAAAAGACCAAAGAGGTAATATCTAATGAAGATCTCCTTTCAGAAGCGATAGTGACTTTATTCCTTTATCAATATCAACAAAATACACAGAAGCAAATGTATTTACCATCAACTAGTTTAAAAGTGTTTATATTTGGATCTGTTACATTCTACTTACAGTCTTTTTCAACATATGTATAGACTATTTCAACATATTTATGGTATATTTCAACATATTTATAGTCTATTTCAAAATATTCAATTCAAATGTTGTATTAGAGAATTTAAGGACCTGAATTGATACGACGGCTTTTAGCCGTATACTCCAGGGCTGAATGAGCAGGTGGGCATGCATGCTGTCAGAACTCTATTACCTCAGAGTCATTACCTCAGAGTCATTAGAATTACATCGGTGTAATTAGAATTACGTAAGTGTTATAAGATTTACATCAGAGTAATATTAATATTATAATTATACACTTGATACAGATAAGTACAATATCATTACCTTTGCTAACACTAGGAAGTTTTCTTTCTTAACTCTCATCATGAAGATCTCGTCTGGACGTTCCTCAACGTTCTCATCCGTGGCAACAAAATCCATCAAAAATGGTAAGGTACATCCTTAAACAACAAAACAAGAAACAATTAACACGAATAAAATTTGTCAAGTAAAAGACACAAACATGTTATACATTACATATGATGGAGTGTAATTTGAAATAAACCAAATATGCTAGCGCTTAAATGTTAAACATCAGTCTTGAAAACATTTTGAAGGATGATCGGACATATTAACAAATATATGTCTGATCAATAAATGGTCACTGTCATAGGCTAAGTATGGGAATTTGTGGATTTTAAACTAGCGAAATAATGAGTACATTAATGCCTCTGTTTGTATATTACTAAACGTTGAATACTAGTATACTGGCAAAAAGTATATACCTTCAAGTACTTCCTGCGGATGTCTCTCTCCAAACGAGGCCATGACAGCTTCCATGATGCTCTCGTGTGAAAACGTGTAACACTTCCGGTCATTATAAAAGTTTATATACGGTCGTACCTGATTTTCTAATGCGTTAAGAGTAAACTTATTCAGGTGATCTGATATAGGAACTCTTATCAGAAAGGCCAGGTCTAAAACCTTTGTTTTGAAGGGTCCATCGGTAAAATTCTGAAATATGAAAGAAGGCTATTTAACGGCTAGGTATTGCTGGTAAAGATGTCAAAGATATTTGCAAATATGGATGCTATATTTCAGCCGGATTTGCTTTCGCATCCTGTTGCCTTCAGATACATACTTAAGATACCATTGTAAGTCCCAGCTTCAGAGCTGAAAATGCGTGAAGAGCATGATAGACAGCGCATAAGACTTTGGTATCTTAGCTATACATGTAGTCTAAAAACTGTGCGCTATTTAAACAAAGCTTTTTACACCAAAGCAAATATAAAGTCTAATAATAAAACGATGCACACTTCAAGGTGTGACACAACAATTATTGAATATATAAAATATAGATACCGTTAAAACACAATAATATATAATGTAGCATACAATTACCGAATGACAGTGTATTTACATTGGATACGAACAAATGCGCATGCGTGGCAGAATATAGACTGCTATAAGAGTCGAATTTATGAATTTAATTTTTCCGTTTAACCAATAACATGATGCATACTTGTAACTGGGACTGGAACAGTATTCCGTCTTTCTGGAACAGCAGAACGACCAGTGCGAGATAGCCATATTTGTCCCCATCGTATAACTTGTCAAGTTGATCAAACAGCAATTCTGGTGGAAGCATGCAGAAATTCAGACATTTTATATACGACAAGGTACGACAATGAGAAAACGCGAATAACCTTTAATAAGCCAAATGCATTTAAGGAATCATCACTTTAACACTAATGCCCTACCTCCTAGGGGCGTGGGTTCAAAACTAAGAAGTGTGTGTCAACTTTTTTTCTTGCTTTCTTTTTAATAATGAAGTTTCCAAAATATCAAAAGCAACGGAACCCACAGACCAACCTTAGCATAATGATCTCATGATTTAGATTATTCCTTTAACAGCCGTGGTACATAATTTGTATGAAATAAACTTTAAAATTTCAAAGCAAGGCTAAGAATTAAAGATTTGACAAAGCAAAGGCCATAATAGGTCTTTAACTTCTCGTTTCTTATACCTATTGGTCGTTCGAAAAACTGGGATCCTATTATGAGGAAGGTGTCCTTTTTCACGAAAAGAGCACAGCACTGAGGATAACCGAGTTTGGAATCGTGATTTTTAGCGCCTTTGTCTATCTCTGACTTTGACACCATTTGTACTTTGTCTTCTGCCATCAAATGTTTGCCGCAAATGTTTCGCTTCTCGGTCATTAAAAGTTCTGTGAATGTTAAATCATAGTTAAATAGAATGCAGGTTATAGAAAAGGAAATAGAGATATTTATTGTAAATATGTGTATTGTTGATATTTTTTTAATTGAAACGATTAGCAAAACGAATGACAACCATCAGAGGATGATAAGGTATCGGATTTTTAGGTAATAAGATGTTTTAAGTTCATGCAAGATACTTGAAAAATGAACGCTTTCCACACATGACATTTTGTTATATTATTCTTTTTATTAAACATCAGTCAATTCAATTCCTTCCATGTATGCTACATTTGATAAAAGATTTTTTAACACCAAAAAATGTACCCATGACATGCATCGGTACGTATACCTTGTTCTGTTTAAAAAACCGTACATGGTATAGATACTTATTGCCGTCACAGATGGACGGGTATTGATTGAACTATTCAAGATCAATGTAATGATAATTTCTGTCTTAAACTTTTATTCCAGTGTGGTAGACCAGGAAAAAGTAAATCTGAAGACAGATAACATGGAAGAAAGAATCGTGTTTATATCTTTTCTGCGTGTAAGAACGTTAAAGGGGAATACTAGAATATCTAGCGTTACTATGTACAGCAGTGGTAAACCTTCTTACCAACAGAACTGCAGTCCACAATTTTATCCTTAGCAAACAATTTGTATTTACTCAGCTTCGAGTAACATTGATCCAGGATGTTGTGACGTATTGTGATGATGACGCGCACGCCAGTTCGTTCGTTTGTATCCATACAGTTCTCATAGATCTGCAGAAAAGAACAACAACATTCAATGCGTTCATCTAACGTCATTAATGGGTCTTATGTGAATAAATGCAAGACATCACATAAATCTACAAGGTTGAAATCCACTTAACTAATATGGCATCGTTCAAGTGGAAAAAATCATATCTAAACCAATAATAAACGGTATTTTTGACGCTTTTCTCAAAAGCTATCGGCGGAACTCAAAACCTTACAAACCCACTAAGCAAAATAGAAATAAAGCAGAATAAATAAGAAAAAAAATAACAAAGAAAGTTAAAGAAAACCTGGTCAAACATTGACTCCCATTCACTCAGTAATTTCTCATCTAAAGCACCGCTGCCAAAAATATCATCCAATAATAAAGCGCTAACAGTCCTTGGTTCAACGTACTGCCATTGATCCGGGTTTGTAATCAGCAAGCAATCGTCTTCGTCAAAGTTTGAAACCATCATACCAATAGCCGTCGTCGTTTTCCCATCGCCTATATTTCCTGTAAGGTACATATGCACGTGAAAACATTATATTTCACAATTTATCATGTTTTATAAAACTAATAAGCGTCTATGTGACATAGATCTTCGTGCCATTGTATTTTCATGTTCACACCATCGTGTTTTTACCATAGTGCCACCGATAGCGTTTTCACAATTACCGCATCATGTCACGATCATTGTCCAAACTTAAAAGCGTAGTCAGACATCTAGTAAGAAAATTTAAAATAATGACAAGATTATGTACGATGTTCGGTGACTGCATTTGATAGATTAAACACCACAGAAAAAGCAAGCGATTTTATTGCAAATTGCGTTGGCCCGAAAGGCTTATTCCGTCATCCTACTGGCTTTTTCAGTTCGACAAAATATTTTAATATAAATAATACAAAGCCTCAAAGCAGCATGCTTTATTTCAAGCATATTATGGGACATTTCTTACAATTACCTTTAAGGATGACGAATCCATTTTTCATGAGCTTCTCTTGAGCTTTCAGATATATCTTTGTTCTCACAAAGATTGAAGGAATTCTGTGAGTTTGCAGAAATCTTCTTGTCATTTCTAAAATAAGAATTACATTACAAAATTTATCATTTATTTCAATGACCAGTTAGTTATTTCTTCCGAAAAATCGTGGATACCATATACATGTGCATGCTAGGTGAACAATTTGGATTAAAAAATTGACATATGTTCATACATGTACTAAATTACAAAAACATTTAATATTTTGATATAACACAGTTATACCATCATTCGCAATATACCTCTGACGTTATAAGCCGACATATTGACACATTGAACTACTTTCAGTCACGTGGTAAAAAAATGGCGACCTCTATCTGCTTCCTTTGTGGCAAAAATGATAGTCTTAGAGATATGTTTCTTTTATACAGTTAAAGAAAAATTGAAAACAGTCAAATACCCTTCTAAACCAATAATAGACAAATTTGCAGAAGTTTGAAGCTGGGTTCTTCTTTTCTCGCGAACGAACACTGCCTTGTGACCCGTGTGGATTGCAAAGGTGTATTCATGTTCTACGTACGAGGCCTCTTGTCTGAAGCTTACGGTAAGAGCCGATGTATTACGATTGAAATATTTAGCGTTCGTCACAATCGAGCTGAAGCTAAAACTAATAAGAAAAACATGCTTACCTTTTCTCTGCTTTAAAGATTCACCGGACTGTTTTGCAGGGGCTGCAATGTAGATAATTTAATGTAAAAATTTGCTGAAAGTTTAAAATATATGGTGGAATTTTTGTGCCATTTTTGAAAAGTATGCAAAAAGGGCCTAATGTCGAAATACTGAAAACGCGAGAAGGCAAAATATGTATTTCACGTTTTAACTGTTGGCTTCAGCTAGGCGAACAAGCAAACAGAAAGGCAACAATTAAAAAGAGAAGAATTCTGTTAAAAGGCGAAAAGATAAAACCTATCGCGGTCTGTTCTTTCAAAACAAAAACATAAATAAATAAATAAATAAATAAAATTAGTACATAATGTGCATTTTTCTTTAAAAATACCTACACACCTACCTTAAAGTCACCTAAGCCGGTATCAGGGTTAAACTATCGATAAAGCTGATTAATACATATGAACAGGATCTTGAATTAAAACTAGCAAAGTTTGACAAATGTTATCATACACTTTAAAAAACCCTTTTACTATGTACATATACCTATCTGACTATCCCCGGTCTCCTCTGCCCACTGTGTAAGCATATCCAAGTACTGCTCCCTCTCAGAATATCTGACCACACCCACTTTCATGTCATCTATTATTGCAACCATTTCCTCTCCCTGGCGCTCCCCACATATTCTTAGCGTGACCTGATATATCAAAATTTATTATTTCCATGAAGGGTTATCTACAGAAATAAAGTTTCAACAAAATCAGCAGCAACCTTTATGAAAGATTGTGCATGTAGATGATTTAGTAGTTGACGTCATGTTATGAAATTCCATGTAAATGTAATATATATATATTTCACCTTTAATTATTTAACGTTTATAATTATACGCTTTGATTTTCCTCTAGTTTTTCGGCAAATTGTGAATCTATATTATTTTTGATTTTTTAAGAATCATTTCTATTCTAATTGCACACTCACAGACATTTGGACTATGGAGCTTCAAGCGCCTTTAAATCCTTATTAATTATATATTTTTCAGTCCAAGGTTCCAAGCAAATAAACTTATTAAAAATGTTGATTTTTTCAAAACAGTTAATTGATGCAAATGATAAATATATGTGTTGGGATTGACAAATACAATGTGTATGTACAATTTATTACCCAAGTTGTCTCTTTTGGGCTCACTTACCTCTTTTAATTCTCTAACTTTGCGGTCATATTCGTCGTCATAAAGCGCCGGCGACGACAGGTTGATGAGAAAGTTGCGATAGTCTCGTAATCTCGCGATATCTGCTGTTTCGCTGAGATCAGTTGAGAGTGGTTTCCGTTTCCATATGAAATCATTCGGGCGCTTGAGAACGCATATAAAACGAAGGAACCAGAACACCAAGGCTGAGTCTAATTCCTCCAAATTTGCCTTCGTTTCGTCATCGTCCGGATACATTATATCCCATCTAAATAATAAATTGACTTGTAAATTCTAAAACAATCAACAGTTTTAGCCAACTTTGAGTAAATGCATTCAGAAGCGATGTTTGAATCCTCCTTCACTCAGGGGTAGGTAAGAATCTTAAAAAGGGTTGAATTTGTTCATTTGAGGAAGTGATCTGGCTCATTTGTGGAAAACATTTATCAAACCCTATTAAATGAATGCAGTGAAAGGCAACTGAAGCATCTCTTCACCAACAAAACATTGGAAGGCTCATTGACCATCACATATAACTGAAATTACAACGTACTTTCACATCAAATGACGCTGTTCTTTTAAATTTGTTGCACTGTGAGTTTTATATGACACATTTCCAGCAGCTTTACTGCCGGATGGGGATCTCAGATGCCCCTCTGTGCATTTGTTTTAGCTACGAGTGGGCAAAGGCTATGCTCATATAGTTTTAAATAATCCATGACAAGTAACATACATCATTTTTGATTGAGACTCTTGTATTGTCGTGTAAGCATGAAAAGACAATTCTTGAACGTTCTTTAAAATAGATTGCATTTTTCTCATACAAACTTCATCTGACAATTTATAATGACTCAGTTCTTGTTTAAAGATACGAAAGATCAAAATTAATTTTAGATCTATTTAATGCAAATTCTAAAATAAGATAAATAAGATAAAATAAATGTAAAATAACCTTCTTGTGATTAGTTTATATGATGATGCAAAACTTTTCAGTCTTCTCCGGTTAGCTGCTAGGAACTGATGAAGTTTCTTAGGCGGCTGCTGTTTTTCTAGATGGTTGTAAAACGCCAACCTTAACAAGTCCGAGCCCACTTTAACAATCATTTTGGCGAGCCTGATGTAATTAGTTTCAGACTTTGAGAGCTGCAAATATAACAAAGATATCCAAAAAGTAACGTGGACAGAATGTAAATAAAATTAATGTCATTTGCAGGTTTACTTTTTGGGTATTGAGAGCACATGAACTTATCAGTACGTGTGGTGTCGAGGCCGAGTACCAGTGATACAGCAAAAGAAATAGGTGTCCGCATATTCTCATCATATACATGAACTTATATGAACTAATATACAAAATGTAGCTTCAAGTACGTAAGATCACATTAATGGGCGATATTTACGGACATCACACATCATCATTGGTATTGTGAGTATAGTCTCAATAATATTTGCTTATCTTTGTATATTAATTTTAAGAAATTTGAAAAAGCTAATTTTTAACCTTTTGCTTTGGTTTCTTGATATTAGCGCCAGGCTTTTTGACTAATTCTTCAGCTTTGAAAGTCGTCTGCACAAGAGGTTTAGACGATCCGGGCTTTCCTTTTCGTGATATTACCGGAAGTCTTCTTGAACCTTATGGGTAATAAAGTAGTTTTAAGTTAGTAAAAAATACAAATTTAAAGTTGCGTGACATTGCATTACACGAAACAGTGGGTATATGTATATGTGAACTTAAAACTAGACAGGACTGATTTTGAGAATTTGGCTCCCTATAAGATGCTAGAGGCATTTTGTAGTACAAGTGGTATCTTGGTGTATTTTACCTATTTAAGGTTTGCTGAATCCGATAAAGGTGGATACCAAATTGAAAAACTTGATCTTGACCATTGAAATGGCAATTTAAAATGGCCGCCAAATTTCTTTATCATAAATGGATGATATAGCAAATAAAACTTTAAAAAATTAAGGAATGGAAAAGCCTGAAATTTGTCACAAAGCATGTTCTGGTAAAAACAAATTAGACACCAAAACAGAATTAAAACAAAACAATCCAATATTGCCGAAAAATCCAAGATGGCGGACATATTTTATAGGCCAATAGAAGTTATATTAAAGATAGTACTGAAAATGTTTAAGCTGATCACTACACTCGTCCCTGCCCTATCTGCTAGATATAGAGCTTGAAAAATCATGTATTTTATCTGGCACTCTATGCAAGCATATAGTGTAACTACTCAGATTCGTATTAATGGGTCTTGGTGTTCGTTTTCTTGTTCAGTCGTCGTCTTCGTTCTTTTGTTATCGTCACAGTTCTCTTGTTGTGAGTTCTTCTGTTATTTTTGCTCGTGATCTTCGTTGTTCTGTAATCGGTAATGGTCTCAGTTGTTGTCTAGTTGTCAGTTTTTCTGTTATCGGTCCCTGTCCTGTTCTGTTACCGGTTCTCGTCTCTGTTATTCTGTTAACAAGTCCTCCTATTTTTTTTTGTTATCAATCCTTGTCTCCGTTGTCTTGTTGTCAGTTTTGTTATCGGTCCCTGTCTCTGTTCTTCTGTTATCGGTCCATGTCTCAGTTCTTCTGTGATCGGTCCCTGTCTTTGTTTGTTTGTTGTCAGTTCTTCTGTTATCGGTCCCTGTCCCTGTGCGCTTGTTGTCAGTTCTCCTGTTAGCGGTCCCTGTCTATGTTCTTCTGTTATATGTTCCTGTCTCTGTTCGTTTGTTGTCAGTTTGTTATCGACCCCTGTCTCCGTTCTTCTGTTATCGGTCCCTGTCTCTGTTCGTTTGTTGTCAGTCCCTCTGTTATCGGTTCCTGTCCTATTCTTCTGTTATCGGTCCCTGTATCTGTTCGTTTGTTGTTAGTTCTACTGTTATCGGTCCTTGTCTCTGTTCTTCTGTTATCGGTCCTCGTCTCTCTTCGCTTGTTGTCAGTTCTTGTCTCCGTTCTTCCTTCTGTTATCGGTCGTCGTCTTCGGTCTTGTACTTTCGGTACTTGTTTCCTGATCTGTTAAGGTCTTCTCTTGTATCTATCGTTGACGTCATTCTGTGTCGATGTCCTGGTTTTGTCATTCTTGTAGTCATTTATTCGTTCAGTGGAGTAGCGGGGGATCGAACTCACGACCCCTTGACTTGTAGACAGACAGTGTTACCACTGCACCATAGCGCCCGCTCTGAATAATAACCATTTTTGAAAGTCCTTTATACATTAAATACTATTTCAATGGCTAACAAAGGATGTATTACAATTATATTTTAACACCTCTACTATGTAGCCAACCCACGTGACTTTTATATATGGTCAAAGAAAATATTACTCGATTTATTACAAGTAATATTTTTATAGATAACTTTGCTGTTATAAGATTTTATGCTGATTTTGCGCAAACTTAATCCCGCTTTTGCATGTTGGAACAACAATATTTTATTTATTTGTATACAGAGCCTAATTGCTTATTTTGTATAGTCTTATTTTTTTGACCTGTCAATTATGAATACATTACAGCACTCATTGAAATATGAGATTCCACTTCGATTTCATTAGTAAAGTTTACGAGAATTAATATGGAGTATATAGAGAATATTTGTTTGTTTGTGTGTAAGATGAAATTTTATTTCATCGAGTGGGCTTTAAAAACAGTATTTCCACGAGTGGCGAGTCAAATATGTCGAGGTGATGGTGGAGGCAAGACATGTCGATTTTTTTTATAGCTTATTGTGAAGTTGCAGTACATGAAAATCGGGCACATGACAAATCAGCACATAAATAAAACATTCTAGTGTTCCGTGGTATACATCTTTGATACGTGTCATACCTCCTTTCCTTATTACAATGAAATTTTACTAGATTGATATCCATCGCTGGTTTGTTTTTAGCAGAGAATGACCTGTGCATGTTCAAAGAGGTTACCGTTTGAGCAGATTTTGCAAAGAGGGTACCGATAGGGATATGCACCGTGAGTAAGTTTTCTCCTTTTTATTACTTTTGACATTTAAGTTATTTATCAATTTCAGCTTTGCTTTTCTCTAAACAGCCTGACATTGTCAGAATTGTCAGCAAAAATAAAATTGAGGTACTTCAAAGGGAAAATCTTAAGAAAGTAGTTTCGTCATTGAATGTGTGAAATTATATTTTGATAATTTTCACTGTAAAATTATCAAATATAATCTCACGGATAAATCAGCAATCCACTGAAAAGCATAAAATAAAAAACTATAAAACTAAAGTTAGTGAAAGTCATCGTTACTTCGGCAGTAGCACAGCCGGTTACGTGATTGACTGATGTGTGAGAGGTCTATGGTTCGATTCCTTCTGTTGCCTTTTTGAATTGACATTTTGAAGGTCAAGGTCAATTTTACTTTCTTGGTATCCACCCACGTCGTCTTCAGCACACCCATTTTAGGTTGAAAGACTCAAGGTATTACTTATACTATAAAATGCCTCTAGCATTCATATTTTCTTAAAATCAGTCCTGCCTAAACCGTTTTAATGGGTTTCTCTCGTGCGATAAGGCAACTGGTTCAACGAAAGTTTCTTGCCAAGCCAATAAAGCGGACGATTTAGAAATATAACGAAAATGCATTACTTTTTGCTTATGAATAAAAAAATGTATTACTTGAGATATTCGAGGAAACTGAAAACTCCGAGTTGAAATACTAGTAACACGCCGAATTTTTCATTTTCACCTACATAGAATCCGGCAACAAACATATACAAAATACCCTTCCCAAGATAAATTCGCGTTTTGCTGCTGACTTTGTATGGAATGCATTCCGATTTTGTGTAAGGACAATCGCAACTTTTTCGGGCATTTCCGCCAGTCTTAGCCGAGGGCGTTCCGATTGGTTATTGATTGAAACTTACCTCTGGTAGAAGACCCTCTCGGTGTTCTTATTTCCTTGAAAAGCGTTGACTGTTGCCTAGCAGCAGGGATCCTGCCGTTTCTCAGAACGAGGTTATTAGACATGGGCTCTGGTAGTGTCTTTATATTTCTGCTGTTAGTGCGGGGCGTGCCCTGAAGTATCGCTCTCTGTGGCCGACGTGATGTCTATAGAAATACAAACAAATATAAAATATTGTTATATTTCATTGTCAAAAAGTTAAACCGCTTGAATTACTGATTTTTTAAACACGCAGTTCCACTTTATGAGAAAAATATTTCTTCCCACTATGCCACATTATCATTAACTGGATCGTCTTTTGCACCACGCAGATCACAAACAGTCACGTGACGTGGTATAGGAACTGTGTTGTGGGTAAGTCTACAATTAGCCAAAAACAAGCCAATCAAACGTTTTCATCATAAAAGATAAAAGATGCACAAAGTAAATTTTAGCTAGTCAATGAGAGAAGAGCCTAGCGAAGCTTAATCAGCAAAATGAATACCAACCAGTGAAATTAGAAACTAAAGTCAATACGTACGAGGGATTGTTCGGCACCACTTCGTCCGCCTCCCTTGCCCCTCCATCCTCCATCGTCTTCATCACTTGATTCAGCGCCATCTAGTGGCACCTGTTCAATAAATACATCTGTTCATTATATTAAATACAGTTGTAATAGTCAAGTTTGACAAGAGAAGCTAAGTTTCGCTGGTAATGGAATGTAAGCATTTAAATATATGTGAATTGATAAATTCCCTAGATAATATCGTGAGTGACCAAATTTGACCAGGTTAATTGACTATTCTTGACTGTGAGTTGTGTGTGTGTGTGTTTTTTTTTTCAAGCACATCAAGCATCTCTTGGGTTTCAAAAGCTTCAGAAAATAAAGCTATTAAAGTGATATATTTCGACTGACGTTGATAAGGAATTTACTTCCATGGACTTTGGTTTATGCTATTGCATTTGAATTAATCATTTTGAATAATTATTTTTTTAGCAACTTCTATTGACAAGACCGAAAAATAACTGCGAACATGAAGATGTAGGCATACCTTTATTAGCAACCTAGATGTTAAAACGTGTTCACCTCGTTAGAATAAAACCAATAAAATCATAAACTTCATAGTTTTTTTACATAACATGTTTAATGGAAATATAGTAAAAGTTTATACATCTGTACCTCTTTCTTTGTAGAAATATCCGGTAATGGAGTTGTCGTCCCTGCACGACCATCCGGGGACTGTCGTATAGCAGTCGATACTGTAAGCGTTCCTACGTTACCACCACTCTGTCTACCCGGATCATTCCCTTGATATAAATATTAAATAATTATATTTCTCATAACTTAAGTGTTAAATTTATCTTTTTTTTTTTAATAGAACAAACTTGAGATTTTAAGTACAAGTAATTCGATTTCCACGCTTTAGCACTAAAAGTCTTGCAATTGAATCGCAGACATCTAAGCACATTGTAAAAGTCCAAAACTGTGTTTATTGCTTGTTTGTTTGGATTTTTTGCTGTACTGGAATCAATTGTAGAAATATTTATTTTTTATTTAATTTAGTTTATTTATCTATTTTGCTTTTTTTTCTATTTTTTATTATAAGCTTATTATTATTATTATTATTTATTTTATTTGTATGATATTACCCACTGAGTAAGATATATGTAAAATCATTACCAGGTGAACCAATCTGATTCGTGTATCCGTCCGTGTCTGCGTTGTTTGGGGTTTGAGAAAGTCCCCTCCCGCCATTTTCAGTATCATCATAGAGAATATCTGCTGATTTCCGCGTGCCAACATCCTCGCGATCAGTGAAACCATCAGCTGTATTTGACGCGCCAGATGCTACTTCACGATTGGCTAATTGTTGGTCTGTTGACGTCATCTTTAATTGAAGCAATTACACCAGTATCCGCTATCGCAATCCCAATTATACAGTATCCAAACATTTAAGAATCTATTTGCACAAAGTATATTATGCAAGAAAATGCTTCCGAATTTTTTATTTCGTGCATACGATATTATTTAATTCCATTTACTAGTACCTCATGAACTCACATTTAACTTTATTCGTTACATTTTTGTGTTAACATTTAATTTTGTTTCACTATTCCTGCCAAGCTAATTCATTACAATATTAAGTACTTAAATCAATGTGGAAATAAAAACTAACGGTTATAAAAAATATTTGAAACGCACTTAGAGTAAAGTCAACTGTTTTATCGCTATTTTTACAATAAAAAATTGAAAGTAATCTTTCTGATCAGTCAGTAGAATAATAGTTAATTGTTCGCTTCATTGCTTCTTCTCATAACGGTACCGCAATCAAATAGATCTTTCACGGCGTTTGTTCATTACACTTACATACTTTCCGTATGTCTTTATTGATTTAATACTTTATTCATTAAAGTTATTAGTACTCCACGTTTTAAATGTTGTTTTTAACTGGACAATTTATTATTGTTTATTTGTGACCAAAGCACGAAAATGTGCAGTATTATAAACTTGTCACTAAGACTATTATAACGGTTATATGGTTTAAACATATTTATTTAAGTTCGATTGCGAAACAAGTTCTTGCAACTTATATTAATCACTTTCGAGTCCGCTTCCTGAAAGCAAAACGTACTGGTGTCATATGAAAAAAACATGGTCGTCACCCAATTAGAGCTCAAAAACCCATGATTCCTGCGTTGAGCGGCAGACACCATAACCAACAAGCCACCGCTCCCCCATACTGTTATATGGCCTCGTCTTTAAGCAGTTACTAGCTATATAACAAGCAAATGTGGTTCTATAATCGTATAAGCTTTAAACATGTCTTAAGAAGTTATGTTGGAATGTTTAATTGACTAATACATTTGTACATGATTTCTACATGATTTCTACGAGTTTAAATATATTCTTACATTGCATTTATTCAAATTACCCGCATACAAAAAGTACCCAACATGTACCAAACTGTGCAAAAATAGTCTTTCCTTCGTTATTATTGGAGTTAAATTGTGTTTCATGTTCACTCTTATTATACGCATTACTTATAAAGCAGTCAATAGACTACCACATTTTTATGGAAATACTATTTGATGTTGATTCTTTAAACAAATAAAACTATATAGTTTTCACTCTTTTTAAATTACAGTCAAACCTGTGAACAAAGGACAAACAAAGGAGAAACTGAACATGACCTTTATAGACATGTGGTCTTTATTCGAAGGTTATTTTTATCGGTGAAGGATTGTCGAAAAAATGCCCCGATTTACAGGGTGACCTTTATTCGAAGGTGGTCTTTAACACAAGTTTGACTGTATATTGTTGTTATATAAACAGTCACTTTCAGTGAATAACAGTTAATACTTGCTTTTCTGTTGATTTATCATTCCAATCAATCACTACCAGTCCTATAATCATGATAGTTTATCACATTTTCTTTTGAAACAGGAATGAACATTATGCCATGTACGGTAGAGGTTAGATTACTGTATTGTAACATGGCCAGCGATTGGCTGCAAAAAGTGCAGGGGGGAAACCGTAAAATTCAATGGGACATCAGGTGATTGGATGAATATATGAAAATGTATGGAAAAAATTAAGAAACTAACACTGAATTATTTTCTTAAGAGAATGAACTGTTTCATAACTGTTTAGGGTAATTTTTTCATTTGGATATTTGCATTTAAAAAAAAAAGAGTATACGTCAGGCCTGTGAGCAACAGAAAATTTCAGTTAAAAGAGGGGAAATATCTTTGAAGACATTTTGCGAAAAATTTGGCCCGTCAACTCTATAAAACAAGATCAGTTAATGTGTCAGGCATCTAATTCTTCTTAAAAAAAATCACGTTTTTAACATGAATACTCAATTTTAAGATTGGTTAATGGTCATTTCATAAATACATGTAATGTATGTCTATGGGAAAATTAATACAGTAGTCTGACCTAGATAAATTCTTTTATTTCCTCCAATAATGTAGAATATCCAACATATACAACATGTACAGGACATGTAATATTATATTGAAAAAATACATTTGTATAGCATAATACAAATATTATTATAATACTGCAAACATATGCAATGTCTGACTTTTTCCACAATACGAAAACTGAATACTATTGTATATTTTAGAAAAACAACGGTTATATTAATTTCGGGTATCCATGCGTACTCGTTAGGATCACACTTCATGTGATGAATGTAGTTCAGCGGAATCAGTTACCCATGGGTTGTTTATACACAGGTGAAATATGAAGGAACACATAATTGTTAAAATACATTGTATTCATAGTACAAAATGTACATATAAAGCCATGCACTTGCAAGACTCGAACACAATAAGTACTATTTTTGAATCTTTTTTTGCTTTATTACAACAACGTAGACTGTGATGCAAATTTCATTTTACAAAAATGCTCAATTCATTTATCAATTCTTTGCAAAACGTAATTTCAGCCTGTCTTCATACTTTGATACAAAATGTACAACTTTGTCGTAATCGTCTTGAGTCCCAGCCTCAATGTACCACTTTCCTCGGGGGATCTGAAAGCAAACCTTCTCCAGATCAATGTCAACAAATCTTTGCAAGAATTTTTCATTTTGGCCCAAGTCTTCAGGTTTTACTATATTGAACCGTGTATGAACGAACGCTTTGTGTCCGGGTTTTTGTTTATCGATCTGCAGAATTGTGCGGACCAAAAGCTTTGTAACGCCAAGATGGCCGCATTTTATCGCAAAGTCCAGCGGCGTCCAGCCATATTTGTTTCTTGCTATCAAAATTGGTTTGATTTCATTTGGAAAACGGCTCATTACGGCGTTCATAACGCCAGTGCGTCCGTTCGCCGCACAAATATGCAGAAAATTGTGTTCAAATTCATCAACAGACAACGGGTCAACCCTCTTTGCAAGGATCATTTGCATAATTTCGTCTCTACCCCATCCAGCGGCTACTAGGAAAGGAGATAAACCGGAAGTGTCCTTGGTATTCACGTCTGCTCCTTTTTGCAACAACAATTTTACGGTCTCTACACGGTTCCAGTCACAGGCATGATGTAATGGCGACTGGTCATTCATGTCGCGGTCATAGATGCTGGCACCACATAGCAACAAGATTGAGACAGTTTTTGCATTACCTGAAAATATAACAAATGACACTGATAATATCAAATTTAAAATCTCTGAGGCAATATGCAAATACTTGAAAAATCATAATATTTTGTCACCAAACTCATATAAAACGTCCAGTCTGACTAATGTTCAGATCTATTACTTAGATTACCACCGTATATGTTTCGCCTTCATTTTTATTCGGAAATCCCGAGAAAGCTATTTTTCGCCATGCAATCAAACTGTTCTTTGCAGATAGGCATTGGACGAAATATCAAATATATTGGTGATCATCAGATCCGAATACGTTGCGTTATTTGGGAGCTGATTTAATCAGATTGATAAAACGTCATACCGGAAGTTGGTAACTCAATGTTAGATGTTAGATATAATGTTAGCTTTATATCAGTCTTATCAAAACGAAACCACGACTAAGCTCACCTGCTTTGACAGCTTCACATAGAGCCGTTGTTCCACACCTTATGAGCTGACAGACGCATCGTGTTGCAGCAGAAGAGACACAATTTCGGATCCGTCATGTGACGTCAGTCGCGAGGCCTTCACAAGAGCAATATCCTTCTGCTCTTTGCTCCATGGGCGCTTCTGAAAGATATTAGAAAAAGCATTCTTACAATTCATTTATTTCATTATTTTGAAATGTTCATTCAAAACTAACTTATTACTTTTGTGAAATGCATCATTCAAGATGTAATAAAATTTAAACATATAACACGTTTAAAGGCACATCATACCTAAGAAACAAATAATTTTTTACTTCTTTAGAAAGGGCAAACATAAATTTTGTTATGTTAAAATACTTGTTTTAAAGAATGTTTGATGCTTGTTTCCTGAAGAAAGTAAAGAAACACGTAAAATAATCTGTCATAAAAGTAAAAAATGTAAAGTAGTATTTTGACTTCCTTACAAAATACTAATTCACTATTACTGTACTTACTGCCAAAAAGCAACAGATGAAAAATATAATTCAGGTAAGTGGACAATGAGTAACTTTTTGGATAATGTAGAAGTTGGCCAAAACTAAAAAAGTAATTAAGAAATAAAAGTAAAGGCATGTCGTGACACCTCTCCGTCAGGATATAAAACAGAGACCTGCAAAAATCGGGAATCTTACCCACAAAATGTCGGACACTATGTCAATCGACGTCAGATATTCTCGGTCGGTGAGCAGTTTATCGGGAATGTCAATCTTTGTGGCTACTAGAGCTGCGTATATAGAAAAGTTCCCTCTTTTTACAGCAACGCACAGAGATGACCTTAATTCCGACAGACACCATTCAGCTTTTACAGAACCGTCCACATGGCATCCTGTATTTAAATAAAAAAAACAAGTTTAATTTCATACGTTTCTATTCTTCAAGATTAGGGTCGTTGAAGTACTTAGAATCACTTGGCTCCTGGTCATTCTGGTTTTGAATCCCGCTCGCTAAGGGCTCAATTGTTGCACGACTACGTAACATTCGAAAAGTGGTTTTACTCGGGTTTCCGCTTGTGCTTGAAGTATAGCACAGAGTAGCACCTTTGGTAAATCTTTACAAATTACGCTAGAAACCATTATGGAGTACGGACATAAACTCAAGTATCAGTTCGCTTAAATTTTTTTATCCAAAACATGTTTATAATCTGTTAAAAAGTGACCAAGCCAGTTGTTAGTATGGCTAAATATTTGCCATTAGGGTATTTTTATGTAATCTTACCCAACTTCAGAATGGCTATTGCAAGCTCAGCGTTTGGTTTTTCTTGGTCAATGGCACCATATAGAAATCCTACATGCCGTAAATCTTCCTTAAAATATAAAGATAACCTACATCAAGTCTATAATTGCTGAATACTTCGCAAAGTTTGCATTTGATATTAATCACGCCAACTGCAAAATACTCTTATCTCGAATTTCACTCTACCGAATACTGTTTTTCACATATACCGTTTATCACGTAAAAATATCTACCCTGTAACTATAATAATTCTCATATGGGAACACGAACGTATTATACTGTGAACATTTTACCCACAAGACGCATCGAATCCTTTTCAGTGGATATATTTAATTCTATATGACGAATCTAACTGGTGGTACTAAAATTTACATTGGAAAACAAAATGGTAGACATAAATTTGAGTTTCATTAAAAAAGATGAATTAAGCTAGTTCTCACTGGCAAAATAAGAAATATTGGAAGAACATTTAATGGGCGGCTCTATAACGTTGTTATTAATGAAAAACTTTGAGTCGAGAAAAAATACTTGTTCATCTTATATTTCATTGGGTTTTCCACCTTCAATTCTCTTCTAAATCAAAATTCAATTCATTTGAAATAAAATTAATGATAAAATCAAAGTGTGACTCACGCAGTTGGGAAGTACGTTTCAAAGCATTTGATAAAAACCGATTGATTAAAAAATTTAGTTATATTACATAGCCGTAATGTTTGCTCAAGCATAATTTGAGATAAGTATAATTTGAGAAAACAAAACTTGCCTTTTCTGAATTATCTAAACGTAAAATAATCTCATGGACAGAATCTTTCTGTTTTACGTAATTAAAAAAGAATGCCCGAAACTGGGGATCCCTGAACGCTCTGTGTTGGGCGATTTTCACAACGTAACCGTAGCCCATGTAATGGTCAAACAGCTGTGCCAGCAGCATGAATCGGGGCTTCTTCATCCTCATCATAAATATTTGATCACGTGGTACGCCAATTTTCTCTGACGTCGACACATAGTCCATGATAAACTGAATGGCACAAGCTGAAACATTTTTAGGTAGGAAATTATTTAAAAATACCTATCAAATATGCGACAGAAGCTAATGACGCTGATTATCGGAAACTAACGTTGACTAAAATTAAACATAGTTTTCGAAACAAGATCTATGAGTGTAATTTTTACAGGACATAATTTTCTTGAACAAACTGATATTACGGAATTCTTTTGACGTTATCCTTATTTTTATTTGATGAAATTTGTTTTTCTCTTAACCTAAACTGCGGAATTTCATGAATGGACTTGCCAGGCGTCCATTTGTCGAACGTTCCATTATCAATTTCGATTCGGGGAAATCCAGATTTAACTATACAAGCAATAGGTCAGACTGTACGGTCCTCTGGAGTTCCTTCCCCTTACATTACATTATCTACTTTCCGTATTTTGTAGGCACGGAACCAGACTAACAGAACGGTGGTAAAATCATATCACTTCCGGTTTCAACATTTATCTTACACAACACTAATGATACAAATGTAAATACTTTCGAGGACATGCTGCGGATGTCGCTCAACAAATGTTGACATCATTATCTCAAGAACGCTCTCGTGCACGAATGTGTAGCAGCCGATATCGTCATAGTAATACACGTACGGTTTCAAAGTGTTTTCTAGTGACATTAAACATAAGGCGGGTAGATTTGCTGATATCGGTATATCACACACACCAGCCATGTCAATGACTTGTTTCTTGAAGTCTCCGTTCACGAACTCCTTTAAAAATAAACATTGAGAGTTATTCCCCTTTTATAAAATTTCGGCCATGCTAAACCATAAACAGATTAAATCTCTTTTTGTTGTGGTTAAACATTTTGTTGCCATTAAAACATTGAATTCAATTGATGTTTAAAGCGCAATTGCTATTACGAAGTTATTTACCAAACAAATAAATGGAAAAAAGTATCTTTAATGGGAGATAACAATTGAAGACATAAACAGAATGGTAGCCTCATTTTCATTATTTTTCATTATTTGTCTAAATCTTATCCAGCAATCTGATTATAGTGCAATGGAATATGTTCTACGGTATTCAAAAATATTTTCATTTTATTTATCACTTTATTAAGATTGTCTCAGAAAAATATGAGTTACCGTACCTGAAGTCTCTTGACGAAAAGAGCGCCACCTGGTTGAAACATCATTACGACAAGTGTAAGGTACCCGTACATGTCTTTGTTAAACAAGTCATCCAATGAGCGTTGTAATATTTCTATAAATAGAATAACTCTATGCGAGAAAGTCACGAGAAAAAAACAAAAAGACAAACACATTTTTCTGAATGGAATCTTTTGATGATATATCTCTCTTTATTTCTTTTTGTTAAGGAAGGCTTGAAAATTAAAAAAAAAAACTACATTGTTTGAACCTACCGTCACATTTACAAACGCCGCAGAGAATGGCGAAGACAGGCGGAAATCCACGATTTAATGACGTACGGAATAGCTTAACTGTATAAAATTATTGCAATTTTTGTGACAGTTATCAACATTTTATGTGTTGATAAAGGATCGAATTCTTAAAACAAATACATTGTATCGATAACAAATTTTATTTACATAGAGGATATTTCTTTGTTTGTGTGTAAGATGAAATTTTATTTCATCGAGTGGGCTTTAAAAACAGTATTCTCACGAGTGGCGTAGCCACGAGTGAGAATACTGTTTTTAATGTTCACGAGATGAAATAAAATTACATCTTACACAACAAACAAACAAATTTTCCTTTTATTTTATGCTTAAAAACAAGTTAAAACGAAATTTCCATAATATTAACGTCTGTTTTCCCCATTGAGAGCCCCATTTAGTAGGAATTTCTCATTAAATACAAGAAGTCTTGAGCTGAAAAATAAGTTCGGCAATCAACGTTAAATGACGGTGATATTATTCATTTTATTAAAAAAATATGAATGTTCGCTTGTTTTAATAATAAAAACAAACAATTCTTGTAGGAGAAAAAGTCCAACCATCCATCCAAATTTCTGTTACTTACTGCGAATTTATATTAGACCTGGCTTTGTTAAATGTAAGCGGCAGCCATTTTTTAAAGTTGTGTATTTCACGGGAGGAAAATAATTGTGTTTGATTCAGAGGGATATCATTTGGATTTGTTAGTCATACACCTTTTTAAAAGAAAGAAAACTTATTTGAGGATTGTAACAGACAAAAAATAAGTGTTGACAGATGTGAAAACATTCAAAAATGCAGATAGGAAAATGGAAAACTTGGAGGCTGGCTCAGGAACGCTGGGTAGTTTACTTATTCTACGAGCATACGACAGTTATTGCTCTTAGGATACTTTAATGTGCCCAGATGTCATCAAGAGCAGTTTTGCATGTGGAAGGAATGTATTTTTCAGACTGTAAAAATTGAAACAAAAAAATTTAAAGACGAAATTTGGTGATTGGAATTTGAATGAATAGAAGTAAGTTTTCTTCTTTTTATTACTTTTGACATTTAAGTTATTTATCAATTTCAGCTTTGCTTTTTCTTTAAACAGCCTGACATTGTCAGAATTGTCAGCAAAAATAAAATTGAGGTACCACATGGGGAAAATCTTTAAAAAGTAGTTTCGTCATTGAAAAGTGTGAAATTATATTTTGATAATTTTTACTGTGAAATTATCAAATATAATTTTCACGGATAAATCAGTAATCCACTGAAAAGCATAAAATAAAAGTATCTATTCTATTTATTGAAACAATAAATTTGAAGCACTTGCTCCTATTGCGAATGTTCATTCAAATTTTTTAAGGCTACGGTCATGCCTCCAGATTAACCAAACTATTTCAAGAAGATCATACTGGAGAAAAATGTATATTAAGATTTAAAGAAAGACTGATTTTTTCAGAATTTATCACCATATTTCTACTGCATGATGAACGTAATAAAGGCTATTTTTGCATATTTTGAACTCTCTTTGGTAATTGTTAGTGCCATTTGCAATGTGTTAATTATTTTACTTGTTCAATTTACAATATTTAACTTTTAAGTACATTGTAAAAATAAATCATGGAAATTAGCATAAATTTGGATAGTATGCTGCGGGGAATCGACGGAAATAGCTAATAGAGTGTTCTAGTTAGTGTCCGTCCTTGTCAATCCCAATCCATCAATTATTACCAAGTTTCTCCAACATATGACTAAAACGATTTATAACTCAAAAACCTAATATATATATACCTTTGCTGACTACTAAATTGTTTTAAACTTAAATTACCTATAGGCCGCTCAAAGAACTGTGACCCTAGATCGAGAAATGGTTCTTGACTGACAAAGAGCGCACAACTTTCTGGAAAGCCCAGTTTGGATATGGGTAGTTTAGCACTTTTGTCCACTTCTGTCCGAATCTTGTGATCTGCGACAATGTGTTTGGATAAAATTGCCCGTTTCTCCGAAAATGTAAGTTCTGAAAAAAGTTAAATATTTTACATTTTACCATATTGTAAACAGAAAGTAGCACATTGAAGAATAAAACTGTTCTCATATATACAGAAAACGGAACCTCTCTATGATATTTAATATTGAAAGGTTTTAGTAAGTTTAAAGTAGTATAGAAAATTCATAATGAATCCTTGGTTTCCTTTCATTTTTTACACTGTTCTTCTTTTGGGCCAAGAACGCTTTAAACCCACACTTACCTATTGAATTGCATTCAACAACATTTTCTTGTGCAAACAATTTGTATTTCGATAACGTCGGCCAGCAATGATCGAAAACGTGTTTTCGCATAGTTATCACCACTTTTGCGCATACACGGTCTTTTCTGTCAGAAGCGCAAATCTCGCAATTTCTCGGGGTAGTAGAGGTTCCTTTCTTGCCGCTACAACCACGGTACATCTGTAACAACAAACGTTTGACAATAATGTTATATAAATGGTTCGATATAACACGGTAATCGGCAATGTTCGGGCATTTACGTGTTGTCCTTTCGAAGCCGACAATTTCGATTATCAGGCATCAATAAGGAACCGAAATGTCTGCTTAATGAGGGGAACAAATGATATCACAACACAAGTGTAACCATGTATATTATTAAAGACCATTAATGCCACAGAAACGCATTTGTTCTATTTCTCAAAAGCTTTATATTTTTGATCTTATGTAATAGTTTTCAAAAAGTAAGTAACAATGTGCCTTTAAAGAAGTGCCGATAGATCTTGACGAAATCAAAATTTTAGTAAAATTTATCATAAATGAATCAAATTATTCTGTACACGATATGCTCGTTTTCTACTAATAGAATTTCAATTTATGTTTTCATTTTTTATGATATTGAAACGTTTTCAGAAAATTCTATTATGAAGTTGATTATGAGTCCGAGTAATCTCCCCTTTACGTGATTTTTCTGGTAGTCATCAGATATGAAGGGTCCTGCATTGAACAATGAATAAAAGATGTATACCATAATTATAATAAATTTGCATTCAAATTTCTTATATTTGGTGAAGAATAATATTCAAAAATATAATATATTAGGTCTTTTTCTATGGTGGCAATTACTATCATACCACTGCTATACAAATCAAAGCACAGAAGGCGCTGAATTTGTTAGGTCTCAGAATGTCAGAAAGGTGAAGGTTGTGAGATTATAAACCAATTTGTTTTTGTATAGTGCCACCAATGCTTTCCAGTGTTTTAACTGTAGTAAATTGGCTATAAGACTAATTGCAACACTGATAGTCAATTCAATGTTTATTTGACTTTAAAAAATAAAATTTAAAAAAAAAGTTGCCTCAACTGGGATTTGAACTCGAGACCTCTCGATTCATAAGCGAGCGTGCAAACCCTATCTTAACGGCCCGAAGAAAACCATATCATTCTAAATTAGGGTTTGTAACTCTTATTATTTCGACGCTAAACACGGATAATAAATAAATAATAAACACGGTAAATAATCATGGAGCTTACTGTAAGCATGTATATCTATAAAGAATGAAACAATATTCGACCATTCGGGAACTACTTTGCTTGAAAATTAATGCGCCTGTCATTTGACAATCTTTACGCATTGATCTCCCCTGAATTTTTCTGCGTTAGTGTACATAAAAAGGGAAGTAACCGCTTCAAAAAAGTGGACTACTTTAGGCATTTGCAATTAACAGCATTCGGCTCTGAAATTTCGCTGCCATTATTTGTTTGGTCTGACGACCCAAACAAATAAAAACAACAACGAAGGGTTCTCACCTCATCAAAATAACCTTGCCAATCACTTAATTGTTTCTCTTCAAAATGCATGCTACCCAGTAAATCATCAAACAGTACGACGCCCACTGCATGTTTGTTAATGTATTTCCATTGTTCCGGTGACGTTACAAGTAACACCTCGTCTTCTTCGTGCAATGCCGCCATTAGCGCCAGTGCCGTTGTCGTCTTCCCCTCACCAGTGTTTCCTGTTGAAAATATATTCACACTTTTAAATAAAGCAATTTACAATGAAACCTCTTCAGAATGGCCATTTGCAAGGCCAATAACAATTTTACACAACAGTATCAATTCCTGTATAGGTAAGCAATACATATACTTAATAAAGCTGTCAAGAGCAACACTTCTCAGCAATGACCAGAGTCGTTGTCTCCGACCAGAAACAATAACGAAAATAAGTGGAAATACGGAGATTACCAAAATCACCCGAAGTATTGACAGACGTGTTTTAGCTTGAATGCAAAATTAAACCATGGGCATTTTCATTCATAGGTAATTTTTATTCACAGGTTTGTGAAGGAAGCAAAAGGTAATAAAACGCTGGGGTAAATAATGTTTACCTTTAATAATTACAAATCCATTCTTTTGAAGCTTCTGCTTTGCCTGCTGATAGAATTTTGTTTTTACAAAAACTTTTGATCTGTTAAATCTTTTGAGATACCGCCGGGTCATTGCTGAAATAAATGTGATTAAATGAACGAGTGAGGTAAAAAATGGGCGGTTGTATTTACTTTGAAACTTCTCTTTACTTTCTGATTTTTCTTAACATAGAATGCACATTTTGCCCCAGAAACCAATAGGTTTTTCCTTCTTTAGAAAGGGCAAATATGAGTTACATAGTGTGTAAATAATGGTTTCAGAGCATTTTATATGCTTGTCACCAGAAGAAAGTAGATCTCAATGTGAAGTTATTTGTTATGAAGGTAGCAAAACATAAACAAAGTAGTAATTTGACTTCCATACAAATATATTAAACCACTATTATACCTCTACTAGTCTAATGCCAAAAGGCAACAGAAGCAAAAGATCATTCATGTATATGGCCAATGAGTAACTTTTCGAAACTATATAACAGGACTCCTAAAATAAGAAGATTTTGAGAAATAAAAATAAAAGCATTTAGAGGCATGATTCATATAATAAAAATGCACCGATTTGAATTTCAAATTTTAAGTAAAAGTAAAACATCGCAAAGGAAAACATTTGTGCATGCTTCGATACCAAAGTTGCTTACTTTTTTTATGTCACACGTTTTTTCATGCGAATACATGTATGTAATTAATGACATTATACAATTTACTAGAAAATACAGTCATAATTTATATACCTTTACATTCTTTAACTGTTTCCCAGTCTTGTTTATTCGGTGCTATTAAATGATAAAAAAGAACATACTGAATCAAAAAGTATATTATTTCATTTCTAATTAAAAATCCAATTTTTTTTTTAAAATGTGACCAATAATATGAACACATTTGCGGATGTTTCTAAATTCAAAATTTCACCATTTTTCATATTTGAATTTTGAATTCTGCTTAAACCGGTGCTAGGGGGCGTGGAAGGTAACTTGCATGTTCCACATTGCCGTCCATGAACAGTTCTAATTAAACCGAGCCAACATTTTCTATTTTGTCGTTTTGGACTTTTTTAGGGATTCCGTTTTTTTTTTTATTTTAATTTCATCTTTCACCGTAGATGTGTTTTTGTTAAGAACTATTCATAATTTGATAACAAAAAAACAAAAACAAAAAAACAAAAACAAACAAACAAACAAAAAAAAACAACAAAAAACAAAAAAGAAAGAAAGAAAGAAAACCAACAACAAAAAGCAATAATGTATTAATTTTAACAATGTGTATAAGATATATGCACCTCTACTGAAATAGTTATAATAATAATAATCTAAATTTCAATAATTATTATATTTATACCAATTTTATCGATGTATCGATCACGTGTTTCCTCCGCCCATTTTCTAAGTATATCAAGATTCTCGTCACGGTCTGTCACTTTCACGGTAAAAGACTGTAGTTCGCTCAGAATCCCATTCATCTCTGACAGTCTTTTTCCCGTACTTAGCCGTTCCATAACCTGAAGGTATTGAAAGTGTCATTAACTCAAAAAAAACAACTTTTGTAATGGACTCTAATTTTGTTTTTCAAATACCTATTAAAGCACGATTTCAAATTTCGCTTAGTTAGTCGCTTTAAATGCGAAACAATAATAAAATGAAATCATGACAGTCATCCAAAGTTCGTGCTGAAGTAAAAGCCAAAACAATAAATGCAATTTTCAGTTTACCGAAGAAAGTGTGTGGCGCCGTTATATGTCGCAACGACATCTAGTATAATACCCTTAAGGTCGATAAAACCGCCGGCAAACATGCTTGTAGGTGACAGACCGACACAAAATATATATATAAAAAATCTGATCTGAGATTTAATTTTAATTGAATCTCTCTAGAATAAACTTCTCAGTGTGTTAGATCCATCTCAAGCTTGTGTCGTAGCTCAAAATATCGACATCTGGGTTGTTATGAAAAACGTATACATGCACATGTGTTTTATCACAAATGGGGCTTTTTGACATGAATTGTGGTCGTCAATTTATAATACCGACTAAGATGACTTTAATTTCAACCATTAACTTTGTACATCACAGCAGATCCTTTCCTGTTTTATAAGGCTAATATTGAGTTGAAAACAGTTGTTATACATAAATTTAGATATTGTGACATTAAACGGTAGTGCTATGAGCCTATGACATTTAACGGTAAAGGATAATGATGCGACATTTAACGTCATCATTGCGACATTTAACAGCAAAATATTTTGAGACAATTATCGGCGGTTGCGACATTTAGCGGCAATGGTAAGACATTAAGCTTCGTTATGACATATAACGGCGCCACAAAGTGTATATTGAAGAATTACTTGTGAATTCCGTAAGATAAATGCCGATGTATGACTTATGGTCCATGTGTATTTCAAAGCTGTACTAATATAAGCAGTAGAACTTATTTTGTTCGTAATATGAATGTATATCGTATTTCACCATGTATTTTTTTATAACCCACATGTAATTAATTTTATCACCCAAACACATGTCAATCAAATATTGCGGAACAGACCGTGTAAAGACTACGCAAATTATTCTCATAATTCATCGAGGCGGTGGCCCTGTGCAACTACTACATTATCCGAGCAACCGGAGCCTCAATATTGTTTATCATGTTAAAAATACAATTTGTATTATCTTTGTAATGATTAAAGAAAATCTTCGGCAGTTTATATGCCTTACAAATATAACAATAGCTCTACTGTACCGATTTAAATTCTTCTACTTTCCGCTCATATTCTTCGTCATAAAGAGAAAATTCTGTAGCGTTTATCAGCCCATTTCTCATGTCACGGATTCTAGTGATGTCGGCTGCTACACTTGTATCATTCACGGCTGGTTTCCATTTCCAAATTAGGTCCGTCTGCTTCTTGAAATGACATACATAACGCAGGAACCAGAATACGAGAGCGGGATCCAGGTCTTTAAGTTCCACTTCATAACTTTCGTAATCAAAAAGAACGTGCCATCTGTAAATTATACAAAAATGTAGACTTGTAATGATAAAAAAATGATACTTTAATACTTGCAAAAGGAAAGGATTTACTAAAGAGAATTTATTTTATCTTGGAACCAAGTTAATATATCAACATATGAAAGGCCCGAAAATATGATAAACCCTCTGTGATATTTTAAATTTTACCATTTCACTGACAAATGCAAAAACAAACCAAAACAAAAACACGTCAACGAAAACATAAAACAAAAGAAAAAAATACCATAAATTCTACAAAATGAATGCAATTTACTATTCTGATATTAAGAATGCAATCCATGTGTGTAACATCTCATCAATGAACATTTATAAAAAGTGCATGCCACAAGAATTTGAACACGCGCGGACAAAGGTCATTTTTCCGCCAAATTTTAGGGTAGATAGTGTTTTCTTGCCATCACCAATTAAATAAACGATGGTGTGGAAAAAAGTGGCTCACATTCAATGTGTCAGTGAACATACAGTCACCCTTGTGCAAAATCTTAACCTATTCTGGAGAAGTTTCTGGGTGGATGCGAAACTGATAAGCCTGCGTTTATAGTGCTGTAGAAACTGTTGCAAGTCTTTCGGTGGGTACAACCGATCTATATACGCTTTCAAGACATCTCGTAACAACATCGTCCCCAATACGACTATTACCCTGCTCATCCGAATAAAGTTTGTCTCACTTTTCAGTAACTGCTGTAACGTAAATAATTTTAGAAAAAAAGTAAATGGTCAAACTTTTCTTTTTGAGATTTAATTGGACAATCTCCTTACAAATTACGGTAAGGTGTTCTAAGCCGATGCTATGGAGTGAGCAAAAGTAGCAAGTACATCATGTGATTCGTGAATAGACCTATTCAAACCGAGTTTTCACATTTTTTCTATATATTGTTTCATTAACAAATAAACATAACAAAAGATTTTATCAAGAAAACAACAATCGTGGGTTTCCTCGAATAAATCCTAAGCTACAAAGACAAACGTGTAACGTTATACCCTCACTGGGCACTTTTTGTGCTTATTTCCCGATATAACTGTTATATAAAACTTCTTTATATCCTCAGATAAACTGGAACAAACCCCAAATTACTCACGAGAAGCTCTATGAAAAAGAAAAGAAATATAATTACAGCAAATTTTGGAGGTCTTGTGTAGATTTTGGTAAGCCTTATCCTGTTGTTAAGAATGTATCGGTATTCATAGTAATGTTTGGGTGGCGAGTTCGATATGCGCTTTCTTACTGGACGTCTCTTTCTGGTTTTACGAACATCACGTGATGTTATATTCGGAAGCTTGACAATTTCTCTTTTTCCTGAAATAAAACAAAAGAGGGGTTTAGATATTTACAGAACAAGAAAACAAACAGTCAGTATAGAATCTGGTCAGACTGCACAAATATATTGGCTTGTATGGCTCCATAAGGATGGCAAAAGCAATCGAAACATCTTGGCTTTTATCAATAATATCCGAAGACTGACTGAAATGTCCGAAAAGTTGCGATTGTCACAAAAGCTAATCTTTTCGGTTCCAGCAATGCTATGAACCAATAGTTAAAATAAACAAAAGGCCATTTCCTTTTTAGGGAGGTCTTTGAATTTTTCAATGTTTCTGAAACTTTTTTATAGACTTTAATTAAATTCTTATTTTACTGGCAGGACTTTTAAAAACTTGTGCCTTAAATTCTACCATTCATGATCATAAGGTCCAAACAAACCAGTTCGGATTCATCTGTTTCTTTTGAATTCTAATTCTTTTACAATACACAATAAAGCGAGATTTCAGTAAAAAACTAACTGGTAAACCCTAACTCACTTTTTGAACGCACGGGCATGGAACGTTGAGACGATACGACTGGTTCGTCCCAGGCGGGTGTGAATCCTGGTGACGTCTTAGTAGGCTCAAACTCAACATCGTTCAATATGCCTGTTATTGACACAGGTGGCGACACTGTGTTCGGCTGAAACATAATTATGCAATGTATTGTATATTTCAATATTAATTAAGTATAATTGGTAGTATTGCCTAAAATGTGGTTTCTACAGCTATTCTGGTTAAACGCATGTAAAATGTGAGCAGGTTTCATCGTAATTATACATGTATCTCGACGTGTACTTGAACAAAAATAATATCAAATTGAATATAACGATTATCAAGTGCATGTAGTATACAGTTCTGAAATGCCCTAAAAATAGCTTTATTAAATTTCATTGAATTTATTGAAATGTTTTAGAATCTTATCATAACTTTACGCACAGTTAGCATTAACTCTATTTGAAAGACCCTGGCATTAATAAGCTAACTATGCGTAAAGTTATAGTAAGATTAAAACATATAATTATTTACGCCACTTGGACTTTTAAGGGTTAAATGTGAGTCGACTACTTTGACTATCCAGTACTGGAATCATAATAATGATACTAAGAAACATGATCGTGACCCGTCTCGAACCAACGATTCATGGGTTGAAAGGCAGGTACCTTAACAGCAATGTTAAACCTCACCTCTGGCTGACTTTGTTTTTATCTAAATCTAAACCTTTGGGTCGAATGATGTTATTTTATTGAATTTTAATATTGTCAAGTAATATACGGTTATAAATGCACCAAACAGTGATTTTAAATCCTTTAAAATTGTTGAAAGGTTTTTAAAAACTTACTATCACTGGAAGAGACAGGGTACTTATTTCCTCACGTTCTTTGCTTGTTTTCGGCGGATCGGTGTATCGAAAATTCAGTCCATTATCTTTAGAGCGAGTGTGACCAACATTCTTTGACATATCATTCGCGTCGTCCTGTTCCTGTTCAACGGCGTGCGGTTTAAGTCCTGCTTCAATTTCCTGATCACTTTCTTTATTAATTTCTATTTCAGTTCCTTCATCAACTGTTTTTTCAATTGCCGTATCAATTTCTACATCATTTACGTGACCGGTTTCTGTTTCTTTAACTATTCCAATATCAGCTTGTTGATCAATTTCGTTATCGATTTCTTGGCTAATTTCTTTACTACTGTCTTTATCAACTCCTTTATCAATATCTTTATCAACTTCTTTTGGATCAGGATCAGGTTCTGCAACTAAGTCCACTACATGCAGTTCAGTCTCGGCCATAGCTGGAAGTGTAAATTAAATACTTTGATCTTACAGATTGTACTTTATAGCTTCCAAGCTCTACAGGACGGCATGGGCTATGTTCCGACATATAAACTCTTCAATCACCGTAACTATGATATTGTACGATATCATGAATATTGACTATTACCATGCTAAAAAAGATATGTTTACATTTTTCATTTCAACTTAAAAAATAACAATTATTAACTATTGAATTTCTGGAAAAAAGGGGAAATTACTTGCCTGAAAATATTCCGCGATTCCATGAAATAATATTGAGCTTAATGTTGTGACTAAACTAAGAAAACAATAAGTTCACTAGGCGAAGTCAGTTTAAAGTTCTATCATTCTTTTAAGGATATTATTTTCTTGAGCGTGTATAATTAGTGTTGACATTTCAACTATTACTTTTGTTCTATGTGTATTGATATCAGTATGAAAGTAGTGCAAAACAATACGCTGTAATTTAATAGCTATGTTTTACAGGTTGTATCCATAATACGCCGGTTTAGTTTAACTGGTTCCCTGATTACTTACATCAGGCCATGACTTTTTAAATGTACTCTAAAATGAAAGGGAACCAGGCTGAATATTTGAATTTAAAAGTGCTACAGGTGTTTTAATTTTTAATATCATAAAGTCTAGTCAACTTGTAACAAAATATGTCAAAATATTTAAAAAAAAAAAAAAAAGGAAATCAAGCACCCAACTTGGCCAAATGCTCGTTAAAACATGAGATACATTTTGACCATGGGACCATTCATATATGCCGAGATGGTCGTCATGGCAGCCGTTTTCACACGATACAAAGTTAATACCTCGTGTCTTTAAGATCTTATTATACTGACACTTATATATAAAGAAACGTATCCCACCTTCAGTTTAACATAGGAAATTGTACAGTACTACTTACAAATAAAAGATACCAGTTAATTCTTGTCAATATATTTTTTTTCTATTACCATGGAAACAGTGATAGCAGTTTCAATGTATTATTTTCTCATATCCGGATTATTTTGATTCTAAGTAGACTATATATAACTTAAATATTAAATGTTTTGTAACCAAAGGAATTGAATTCAAGTTATAGTTGACAAACAATATGTTTCTTCAGAAACTTTCTTGTCAAGTTCGGATCGTTACTTATACTAGGCAATTGATACGCCATAAGCATTTTTATGAAAGTGCATTACGTACATGTGTGGTAAGAGAAATTGCTAGCAATCATTTTATTGATGGACTAGAAGACAAAATGTCAAATAACCACGAGATACGCATTAAAATGCCAACAACATGAGCAAAAATGTTTCCATTTACCGTATAAGAAGTATTCAAGGTCCATTTTTTCGCGAAAAGAAGTTAATAAGCTACATTCACACTAGTTCCTAGCCTGGTGTTCTACGTTCTCAACTCAGAACAACTCTTCTGAAGATGACATACAAAAAAGAGAGGGAAAATGGGAACAGGTATTAGCTTTTTATTCCAAAACAGAATTTTGCCATAATAACAAAAATGATGTCTACACACTTATTCCTGTAAAATGCGTGGCCAGTTGGAAGCTACAATAACTATATTCTGCTAGCACCAAAATAAATGTTACTTATCCCATGATACAGTTCTACTGAAAAACAAGAATGCCTGTATATCCACAGTCCTTATTACAAATCGTGTTGGAATTTAAGTTGGTATTTACCAACCTTACTCACAGTTTTATTTCCCTTCTTAAAGTTTGGGCCTTATTTTTCCTAATATATTTCTTAATCATTATGTTCGTTTTAGGTATTCGTTCTTTAACTCTATGTTCCTATACTTCTGTAAATTACTCTTACTATTTCCTTGGCATCTATCGTTGGTTATGTTTTCTGTTTACTATTGTGCTCTTTTTTCCCGACACCACAGGTGTTGATTGGTCACTACCCCAACCCTCCTCCTATCCATTCTACAACCCTTCTACCTCTCCAAAACAATTCCCCGCAAAAAATATAAATGATACATTGTAACATATATATTTGTATCATTTCTTATTTTGCGGGAAATGACGAAAATTGAACTAAAAGCATATGCATGTATCAAATATTAAAACATATTCTTAATGAAAAATACTTCAGTTTAAATTGTTTTTGAGAGGTAGGCCTAAGAGGGTTGTAGGGTGGGTAAAAGGATGGGGTGGCAGTAGTGCCAAACACCTGTGTCCGCAACTATGCAAAGATTAATCCAGGCAAGTTCTGGCTTTAAATGTAATTTAAACCAGTTACGCTATACATACCCTGGTTTAAATTTGCATAAATAACCAATCGGGCCTGTTCTTGGGTTCCATACCAAAACCAATACTTAAATGCACTCGAGATGATATGTGTTTTCAATATGATTTTGCCTGGTGTTTCTTTTTAGAAGTTTTAACTTTAAGAACAGTGTACTATCTTTAGGAATACCGGTGTTAGAATCCTCCAGCATATTATTCTAATTCTCTCTCTAAAAGCTACATGTACTTTAAACAGTCTTTGATCATAATAAGCGGTTTTCTTTGTTTATGTTTAATTTACGATGTATCTGTTCTTTTATTCAAGTCAGTTATGGTTAACATGTCTTTGTGAATTTCAATTTTGAAATAACTTTATGCATATATGCATAATGCTTCAAAGTTTGACGGAATACAAACAAACAAAATGGAACGAACGAACGAACGAACAAACAAGAGCCTTATATTATGTCCAAGCAAGAACAAACGAACAAACAAACAGAACAGAACAGATAAATGAATGAATGAATGAATGAATGAATGAATGAGAATGAATGAATGAATGAATGAATGAATGAATGAATGAATGAATGAATGAATGAATGAAACTAAATAAATAAATAAATAAATAAATAAATAAATTACATGCACCTCAATTCAGGACATGTTTCCCCCTGTGTTATATAGTGATGCCTTATCTAAGCATTGTAAAGTTTTTAATAAAATTTGTAAATAGTTGGTATAGCAATTCATTTTGTTATGGTGAAAATGATTGATTTAACCTACCATGGTTCCGTATCGCAGACTTTGAATTACGTATGTGTTTTTTTGTTTGTTTTTGTTCATGTTAAATTAGATTAATGTATTTGTAACTGCGAAGCTTAACCAGTTATTCATTAATTAGATTTAAACAGATCAGTATGCGAGGTTAAAATGATAAATTCTATCATTTCTGTTACTGTAAAAATATATTATGTCGATAGTTTTGTAAAACTGGAGTTAATATTTTATGGATTTTACGCAGAATTTTTTTAAAAAAAAACAAAAAATACTTAACCTAAAATATTTTTCCAATGAAACTGGTATAGGACAAGTTTTCATGATAATTATAAAAAATGGAACGAATTGTTAAAGTTTATGATGGCAAATCATCATTAAAGAAGGGCGAATGTTAATGGTGGCGAATTTTTATTCATTCGGAAATTCTCGTTGATTATCAAACTCCTCACACTGATAACCTCCCTTGGCAGAATCTGTACTGATAAGGGGAGATCACTGCGTAGGTTTCAAGGAGATTGGTTGATTATGCGTTGCAAGTAAGACGGATATGGCCGAGAAGTTGCAAAATCTAATGTCTCTTGAATATCTATTTTTAGATTTGGAATTTCCCTCGGACATTTCATAGAAAATTTATTTGGTTTATATATAAAACAGAACTAGTATTTCTTGTTACTTATAGAATATTAAAGATATTTTCGTTACACTGGTAAGTGTCTTTATTAGATGATTCAAATATATTGTTTTATTTTTATGATTAAACATTAGAGGAAAGGAACATAACGTTCAAAGTGAAAGTTTTGCTATTTGATCACTGTTGATAAAGTCAAAATAGATTCTATATTTACCTGCCAAAGCATATTTTCGTTCTGGCCCGAATTTCGCTTTTACTACGTAGAGGCGAGATATTGCCCAGACACAAAATAGCACAATATCTCGTGACACAGTCTACTATTTGATAGATCTACTTAACTTGTTTACAGTGTTTCCTATCTTCATTGATATATAATACCCAATTCATATCCTCCTCGCCTTTAGGCCTTATAATCATATCCTCCTCGCCTTCGGGATAATAAGGTGTTTAAGCATCAACTTGGTAATTTCTGTAATTCTTATATGTTCAGTTTCACATATTTGGATTTCCCTGTTGATGTGGTCAGGGTCTTTGAAAGATCAGATGTTTTACTCATTTTTTTTGTCAGAGTTTAAAGTCTGTATATAGTTACTGTACATGACCTTATTTATGGACACATTTAATTTAATTTTTCAACAGATTTTTTTTTCAAACTTGTCTGTTGTTAAAATTTTAAAGTGACATAAGTTTATTAATTTGGTTTGTTAACAGGGAATAAAACTGATATTTGATGTAGGAATATTTTACTTGTTTTTACAAGTAGAACTACTTGAAATTTGTATCATGTGACTTTGATGATGTTGTTTTTTTCTTTCTATTTTATAACAACTGTTATTTTAACAATTTTTTGACTTTTAGACCTTGTTATTTATGTTGTAAGTAAAAACAATTTACCATCTATTTATCTATTGATATGATTATCATCAAGATCATTTTTCAGAAAATGAAATCAAAAGTTGACTCAAGATATATGGAAATATAAACATCAAATGCTACTTTAACTTATTTATCATGTTAAGCTATGCAATAAGAATATAAGAAGACTTTCTTTACAATTGTTAGATAATAACAAAACTGTAGCTTTCTTATTCTTTCAGTTAAAGTAGACAAAAACAAAACTCAAGAATGAGTGCAACTGTTTTACCAAACTTGGAATCCTTACATACGGAGGACCCGCCAGGTGATGAGGACACTGAAGATGTTCAGTGTGATTCGCTACGATTATTCTCACAGGAGCCATCAATTACAGCCATAACAGATTTACACCAGCGTCTGATCGACATAGATGAAGAAGTAGGTGATGACGAACTGGAAGGACTCAAGTTTCTTTGCCGTGATCACATCCCAGGTATTTAATATCAGTTAAATTAAATTTTAATTCAAATTGTCAATTGTTTTTATTTCAATTGTGTTTTTTTTTTGTAATCAAAGTGCTAAATGGACTCTTGCAGTTTTACGAAGATAAAAAGTTATTACCACCTATTCAATTACTCACAAATAGTGTTACAAACAAAACCATGTGTTCATTTGTGTAAACCAGTGCCTATGTATTATCTTAGTGCCAGTCAGCCAATTTGCATCAAACTGCCAGTCAGCCAATTTGCATAAGACTGTCCGTATAACTGTTAGTCAGCCAATTTGCATAAAACTGCCAGTCAGCCAAAATGCATAAGACTGTCCGTCAGGCAATTTGCATAAAACTGCCAGTCAGCCAATTTGCATAAGACTGTCCGTCAGCCAATTTGCATAAAACTGTTAGTCAGCCAATTTGCATAAATCTGCCAGTCAGCCAATTTGCATAAGACTGTTCTTCAGCCAATTTGCATAAAACTGTTAGTCAGCCAATTTGCATAAAACTGCCAGTCAGCCAATTTGCAAACTGTAAACACTGGCATGTTCATCATTTTTTGATTGCTTGATTTATTTGTGTATCATGCAGCCTACAGTACAAAGTTTTTACTGGCAGCAAACTAACTGTAAGGGATTTTATGATTTAAAAAGTTCAAGAAAATGTTCAAGAGTATTTTTTTTTATAAATATAGTAACATTAAATAACAATTGACTGTAATTGTCCAGTCTTTAAATTAGGAAAAAAATTATGTCAATTTACAGAAGAGTGTATATTAAAATATTTTGTTTCAGTCTCCAAACTAGAAAAATCACAAACAGCATTGGAAGTATTTGATATAATGAAAAAGATGGTACTGATAGAGTCAAACAATGTAGATTATCTGCTAGAGTGCCTCGGACGCGTCCACAGATTGGATCTTGTCAGAAAACTCGGTTTCCAGCCTGATGCTGTCAGGAACCATTTACAAAACTTTAAAAAACTTTTACCATTCAGGTAATGAATTTGGTGAACAATTAATGTTATTTCTTAATTATTTAAAAAGTAATACTTAAGGCTTTTTTGATAATAATATTCTTTTTTCCAAAATAATGTAAAAAGTAATATTGAAGGCTTTTTAACAAGGCACTTTTTGTATGCCATTTATAAAGAAGTGATTGTATTATATACATGTATGAGTTGAAGTTTTGATTACAGAAGAAATATGTTATTCAAGGTAGAAATTTGTTATTCAAGGTACAGTAGAAATATGTTATTCAAGTTAGAAATCTGTTATTCAAGGTTGAAATATGTTATTCAAGTTAGAAATATGTTATTCAAGGTAGAAATATGTTATTCAAGGTAGAAATATGTTATTCAAGGTAGAAATATGTTATTCAAGGTAGAAATATGTTACTCAAGGTAGAAATATGTTATTCAAGGTAGAAATATGTTATTCAAGGTAGAAATATGTTATTCAAGGTAGAAATATGTTATTCAAGGTAGAAATATGTTATTCAAGGTAGAAATATGTTATTCAAGGTAGAAATATGTTATTCAAGTTAGAAATATGTTATTCAAGGTAGAAATATGTTTTTAAGGTAGAAATATGTTATTTAAGGTAGAAATATGTTTAATATTCGAGTTAGAAATATCTTATTTAAGTAAGCAATATGTGTTAGGTAGACATATGTGTTATTCAAGGTAAAAATATGTTATAAAAGGTAGAAATATATGTTATTCAAGTTAGAAATGTGTTACTCAAGGTAGACATATATGTTATTCAAGGTAGAAATATGTTATTCAAAGTAGAGATTTGTTATTAAAGTTACAAATATGTTATTCAAGGTAGAAATATATTATTCAATATAAAAATATGTTATTCATAATATCTGAAACAGACTCAGTCATTGTTACTGTAACTGTTATATTGTCCTTTTTACTCTGCATACTCATTGGCATGTTGCCAATTTGATTCATTTTTTAGTAACAAGATTCTTATAATTAGTAACAAATGTCATGAAGCATAGCCATTTTTTTAGCACTTGAATAGACAAAATTTTGATTCAAATTTTCCTGATGAAGGTCATATAAATGACTGAAACTAGTAGACTCCAATGAAATATTGTAAACTTGCCCAGGTGTTGACGTGTATTACTCTTTATTTTGAATTTACATTGGTTGATCGGCATAATTATGTAATGTTAGTTAATTTTAGTAATAATAGACAGTAAAAGGACATAAACATAGGCATTGGTCATTTAAATAAAATGTAAGACAACAACCTCTGGTGAACCTGTAGAAATGTAATGCAAAATTCCCATGCATGAAATGATTAATCCGGGAAGTTTGTCAAACTGAGGAAAGACATGTCTAAAATATAAATGAGCCGCATCATGACAAAACTAACATAATGGGTTTGCGACCAGCATGGATCCAGACCAGCCTTTGATCTGTGCAGTCTGATCAGGATCCATGCTGTTCGCTTAGAAACCCTATAACAAATAAAGAAACTGATAGCGAACAGTATGGATCCTGATCAGACTGCGCGGATGCGCAGGCTGGTCTGGATCCATGCTGGTCGCAAACACATTATGTTGGTTTTGTCATGACGCGGCTCAAATGTTATTAGTTCTAAGGAAGAATTTATGATGAAAGGGGACATGATATAGGATAGTGTTTTATATATTGCACTGTAAAGAAATATGACACTTTAATAACAATTAAATAACAAAAGGTACTTAGTGCTCGCCAATTTTTTTAAGCCAATCACCGACGAGGATTTTTCAAATTTTCAGGTTTCAAATCTTAATAGAACAGATTTTATATAAACTGGACGTTTTATTTTATAAAACGCAAGTGGGCGGAGCTAAGTTTCGACGAGCGCTAAAGTGAAATATACGCATGTGCAGAGATCTTGAAGTTTACTCCTACTAATCAATATTTATGCATCATGTTTTTTCCGTACACGCACATGTATATCGTCACTACGGCATAGAATTAAAAAAAAAAGGTTAATTGAAATGAAAACAGGCAAAATAACAGTTAAAATGTTTTATTACTTACGGAACCAGTATCATTTTATAATTTCCAAATAAAAAGTGCACTTATTCCAACAAAGTATGTATGTAATATTTCTTACTTTTTATGTAAATATTACAGCCCGTGCCGCTGCAAAACCGAAAGTAGGGTGTTTTTATTAACCAGGTTTTCCGAAGGAAAAAACTGGTTATTAGATTGAGGTATGTCGGCTGGCGGGCGGGCGGGCGGATGGGCGGACGGGCGGGCGTTAACAATTTCTTCTGTGCGCAACTCCTCCTACATTTTTCAACGGATTTTGACCAAACTTTCACAGAAGCTTTGTCATCAAGTGACCTGGCGCATATTGTCGGGGTTTTGTGATTGGATAATATTTGACCTAATTATGGCCCTTTGTTTTTTTTCCTTATATAGAATATATAGTGAATAATTTCTTCTGTGCCCAACTGTTCCTACATTTCTCAATGGATTTTGACCAAACTTTCACAGAGGCTTTGTCATCAAGTGCCCTGGCGCATATTGTCGGGGTTTTGTGATTGGATAATATTTGACCTAATTATGGCCCTTTGTTTTTTTTCCCAATATATAGGATATATAGTGAATAATTTCTTCTGTGCCCAACTGTTCCTACATTTCTCAATGGATTTTTACCAAACTTTCACAGAGGCTTTGTCATCAATTGCCCTGGCGCATATTGTCGGGGTTTGTGATTGGATAATATTTGACCTAATTATGGCCCTTTGTTTTTTTCCCAATATAGGATATATTAGTGAACAATTTTCTGTGGGCAACTCCTCCTACATTTCTCAACGGAATTTGACCAAACTTTCACAGAGGCTTTGTCATCAAGTGCCTTAGGGCATATTGTCAGGTTTTGTGATTGTATAATATTTGACCTAATTATGGCCCTTTGTTTTTTCCTTATAACATATTATATAGTGAACAATTTTTAACATGCGCAACTTCTTCTACATTTCTCAACAGATTTTGACCAAACTTTCACAGTAGCTTTGTTATCAAGTGCCCTGGGGCACATTATCGGGGTTTTGTGATTGGATAATATTTGACCTAATTATGGCCCTTTGTTTTTTTTCCTTATACAGATTACATAGTGAACAATTTTACCATGCGCAACTTCTCCTTCATTTCTCAACAGATTTTGACCAAACTTTCACAGAGGCTTTGTCATTAAGTGCCCTGGCGCACATTATTGGGGTTTTGTGATTGGATAATATTTGACCTAATTATGGCCCTTTGTTATTTTTCCTTATACAGAATTTATAGTGAAAAAATTCTTCTGTGCTGAACTCCTACATTTCTCACAGATTTTGTTCAAACTTTCACAGTAGCTTTGTCATCCAGTGCCCTGGCGCATATTGTCGGGGTTTTGTGATTTAATAATTTTTTATTTAATTATGGCCCTTTGTTTTTTTTTCCTTATACAGAATATAATTACAGTGAACACTTCCTCTGTGGCAATTCCTCCTACATTATTCATGTTTTACATTGCACATAGTTACATTGTTTGTTGCTTGTATTTGTATTTCAGATACAACATATTTATCTATAATGGTGATAATTGAAAACCTGGTTTCATGGCATTGCCATGTTTCTTGTTTACATTTACATTTATTTTTGACAATATAGAGCAACGGTGGGTAATGTCGACCCTCGTATAATATCGACCCCCTCCCGTTAAACTTCATTAATGAGTTTACAATTAAGGTTATGTTTGCTGTCGATCAATTATTATTGATGATGTCATCGATTACGTTTTACGCGGCCATTTTGAATGTTCTCTGAGCAAACAAGATTCACGACATTTTCCATTGTAGAATCGAACAAGTTTTAAACAGCTCCGTTAAGGTGAGTGAGTTATTATTTCATGCTTGTCATATTTGTAAAATATTGTTTGTTTAGATATTTTTAACTCCGGATAACTGTATATAGTCTTTAAATGTGATTTAAAATGATCTCAAGGTTATTGCTTTTACTTACAGAGGATCACGCGGGGGTCGAAATAAACAGAATATTATTTCAAAATCTAGTTATATCGACCCCATCGTAAAATATTACATAAACTTGTAATCGAAAAGATTCTTTGCTGGGGCAAGATGATATTTCTTAGTTGCATGACTAGATCTAAACATGTTTAAAATATACACAGAGTGACATACAATTTATATACTGCATTGACAAAATATAGATTTTTTTCTATTTTCTTTTTTTCTCATTTTCAGGTATATGTTTGAAAAAGAATGTCATCGCAGATTTGTGCTAAGAAAAGGGTGCAGTACAAGCCCGAGGCAATGGCTTTAGCTATACAGATGGTTAGAAGTGGCCAAATGAGTAGGAAAGGAGCGGCAAAGGCTTACGGCATACCTAAGACAACGCTATTGGACAAACTTTCTGGTCGAGTACCTGAGTCTACTTCTCTTGGACGGAAAACTGTACTCACGCCGGCAGAGGAAAACGTACTTGTAGCTTACGCTAATTTGATGTGTGATATTGGTTACCCGCTTACAAAGAAGGAGTTTGTTTATGAAGTCCAGCATATTTTAAACCTCGACGGACGTGAAACACCTTTCCGTGATAATCTACCGGGTAAGGACTGGTTTGTTGGCTTTCAAAGGCGTCATCCTGAGATGGCATTTAGAAAGCCTATGTCTCTCGGGCATGAGCGCGCGGCAGTTACAATAGAAAAAGTAAATAATTGGTATACTGGTGTATATATGTATTTACAAAAGGAGTTTCCTGACACTTATGATGCATTATTAAAAGACCCGCGCCGTCTTTATAATGCTGATGAAAGCGGTTTCCCGCTGTCAGTAAAACCTGGCAAAGTTTTGGCTCCGTCTGGTGCAAAACATGTATATAATGTTGTAGCTAGCACTAAAATGCAAATTACTGTTATGGCTGGCTTCAATGGCTTTGGGGAATACCTGCCACCAATGATTCTTTTTCCTGGGGAAAGACTCCGTGATGTTGGTTTAGCAGGTTTCCCGGAAGCCATTTATACGACAACCCCTAATGGTTGGATGACTTCGGACACTTTTGTTGAGTTTCTAAAAGTCCTTGACCAGTCCTTAATTAAAACAAATATTGCACGTCCTGTACTCCTCTTTGTGGACGGACATTCCACCCACATGACACTAGAGGCTGCTCAATTTTGTAAAGATCATCAAATTATATTGTATTGTCTTTTGCCAAATGCTACACATCTCATGCAGGCAGCCGATGTAGGACTCTTCTCACCCTTGAAGTCCGCCTGGCAAGCGGCTGTGAAAACCTGGCAAATGTCAAACATTGGCCAGGCGGTCACAAAGAAAGACTTTCCAGGCATATTTAAGCAAGCTTGGAGTAAGGTAGCTACCTTCCAAAATGCTGCAAATGGCTTTCGTAGATCAGGTTTGTTCCCCTTTAGTCCCGAAGGTATAGACAAGACAAAACTTGGTCCTGCTAGATTAGTTTCCAACACTCAAACAGTAACTCAAAACACTGTTACTGATTCTGAATCAAACTCTGTTGAAGCTGCAAATTCAAGCCATGTGTCCGATGTGATTGTCAATGTAGTAGGCTCTTTATCAAGCACGGTTCCCCTTTCTACTGTCAACAATGATATTTCAATTACGTCTAGTAACACGTATGTAAAACCCGACGTAAATTCCCGATTTGTTGACACTGCACAACAACTGCCTGTAAGCACTCATTCAGTAGTCTTTCCTGCCAGTTCTATTTCTGCTATAATACAATCAAACACCCTTGTGTCCCCTGAGGTTAATACTTCAGATGCTGTATCATCAGTCGTTTGTCCTTTACTGCCTATTCCCCAACCTTCTTCATCCAAAGGTCTATCAAAAAACCCGGCAACGGTATCTTCTGCATTTCAATACTTACGTGTGCCAGAAGTAAAACCAAAAAAGAAAATTGTTCAGCTCCGGCATAAGTTGCCGAAAGCGTTATCAGGGGATGAAGCATTAAGTATGTTGAAAGAAAGAGAAGATCGTAAGAAAGAATTAGCGAGGTTGAAGGAAGAAAGAAAGTGTCAGAGAGAACTTAAAAGAAAACAGAAAGAAGAAGAGAAAGAAAGACGCAAGCGAGAAAAACAGGAAAACCTTAAAAAGAAATTATCATCAAAACCAAAGAAGCAAAACTCAAAGAGTAAAAAGGTAACTTATAGCTCTGAATCTGATACAGATATGTCAGATAACGATATTCCATACATGGATCACGACAGTGATGATTTTGAGGAGAGCTTTGTCGATGTTTGTCCTGTATGCAAAACCTGGAGATCTTCTGAAGAATTACAAGAAGCATGGATTTCTTGTGAATCATGTTGTCGGCAATGGCATGTAGTGTGTGCCGGCTACACAGATTCAGAGGTCAATGAAAGCACGTTTGTCTTTGTGTGCAATGCGTGTGAGTGAAATGTACTCGTGCATATGCAACTGTTGTTTTTGTTGTTGTTGCTTGAAACTGTTATATTTAAGATAAATTGAAATTGAAAAGAAAAAAAGAGAATGAAATAGATATCTTCAAGTGTAATTTGCGTTTGTATTCTTATTTTTAAAAAAAAGTTATTCATCATGTTTTAGAGGTTTATATTTAAACTGCCTGATATGTGTTAAGGTCTTGTTTATATTTAATAAACATAAATTATGTACATGTAGTATAATTATAATGAAATTGTTGGGTTGATAATCGCACTGTGTTATTAACGATACATTTTCTTTTAAATCTTATAGCCTTGAATTGTGTTTATTTTTAAAAAATTGAAAGGGGGTCGATATTAGCCGAAAGGGGTCGATACTGACAGTGTCACGTGTATATTGGAAACATATGCCACTGACATTAAGAAGGTAAAACGGACGACCGTATTGGTTGGAAACAACCAATAGAAAAAGCTGGTTCATATGCTTAGGTCATATGCTACTAAATTCTTAAATCAACATTTCATTGAATAGTATCGCGTTAAAGGGTCGATATTACCCACCGTTGCTCTACTGCCATTTGTCCGAAGATGATATGTATATGAAATATTAAATATGTATGATGCATATATAATCAAGCTACAGGGTCATTTCAGCCCGAAAAATATGTCGAGGTGACGGGCGAGGCAAGACATGTCGACTTTTTGTAGCTTTTTGTAGCTTATTGTGAAGTTGCAGTACATGAAAATCGGGCACATGACAAATCAGCACATAAATAAAACATTCTAGTGTTTCGTGGTATACATCTTTTCTACGTGTCATATCTCCTTTCCTTATTACAATGAATTTTACTGCATTGTTATCCATCGCTGGTTTGTTTTTAGCAGAGAATGACCTGTGTATGTTCAAAGAGGGTACCGTTTGAGAATATTTCGCAAAGAGGGTACCGATATGGATATGCACCGTGATATTGTCTGATTTACCTAGACAGAATGCGGGAATAAGCTATGACCCGAAAATGTGTACCGCTACCTCTTCCAAATTTGGTTATGTATACACATTTAGGCTATCGTGTGACGTCATGCAGTGTGTTGGGCGGAAAAAAATGGGCGGAGCACTAAGCCGGTTAGAGTGCATATTGGATGTTCGCAAGCTCCGCTCCTTTTTAGCTTTCTTATTTACGAAGAACACCCAATATGCACTCTAACCTATACATGTAACAGGTGATTATCCGAAGCTGAAACCTGAAATTCACTTAAAAGAACTGCTTCACGGGTTAGATGATCTAAGGGGGCTAGTTGATGTCCGGCATGAACTGATGGGGTTAATTGAATCACCAGAACAACTAAGTGGGTTAGTTTATGTAAAGGGGTTAGTTGGTGCAGTTTTGTACTTAGTTGACCTTTTTTTACACTAAGTTGATCTATTTTTAAAAGAAGTTTATCTATTTTTAGAACATTACTAATGGACATCATAGAGGACCTCGATGACAAGGAAACAGAACAAATCAGATTCTATCTTAGAGGAAAAATTCGCAAGAAAATTCTGAATGACAAAAGGTCGCTTCTTCAATTATTTGTTTTTATGGAACAGGAGGGGTTATTGTCACATGATAACCTTGACCTTTTAACAAAGGTCATGGAGTCGGTGAGAAGGGGAGATCTGGTAGATAAGATAAGAATATATCAAGGTATGTTTTTACACCATTGTGTTTGTCATATAAAATCATTTTTGTTTGTTTTAGCTTGTATGTAAGTCAGTCAGTTACCATGGTTACAACATGATAACTCTTAAATAAGGCAATAGATTGTAATGATTTTAAGTTAGCAGATGAAATAATTTTTGAAATGGGGCCGTGGCCGAGTGGTTAAAGAATCAGACTAAAAATCTAAGGATTGCTTATCGCCAGGGTTCAAACCATGTCAGGGGAAAGCCGTTGTTTCCTTGAGCAAGAATCTGTACATTCATTGCTAAGAAACTGGTTGGTTCCAGGAAAGGATTCGAGAGTGTTTTAATAAGCTTAAAACTTCCAACACAGTCAAATTAAAATGAACTAAAGTAGGTGAAATAATTTGGCTTCAGACCACTTATTTTTCACTTTATTAAGATGTCAGGTTGGGGTATGAATGCCTTTATGTGATAGCTCTAGTTGGAAGTTGTATATTAGTTATTATAATTATATTTTTAGGATTGGAACCACTTCAAAGACAAGGTCCAGGATTGAACCCAACCGTACCTTCACAACAATCTCAGCCTACAGGTAATATTTACCACTGTGTCATTATTTAATATAAAGATACATTTGTCTTTCAGTATACTAAAGGAAATAAAATTGGTATAATTCATAAAAAATATACATGTACTATGTTTAATCGCAGGACTGGCAAAATCTGATTTTGTCTTACTAAATGTCCGTTTTTATGAGAATCAGTTCTTAACTTGCCCGAATGATATTTATAGAGTTAATTATTCAAAATTTCCACTTGTCCATACAGGCTGCGGGACAACCTGGGCAACATGGACAATTGATTTTGCCGCCCCTGAACCATGGAATATTTCAGTAATAATAAGATTTTTTAAAGTTGTACTATTTTGAAGCTTTTTCAAAACTTAAGAGTTTCATTTTTTTCTAGTACCAAGTGGGCAGCCAAGTAACATTGCACGGTCGGTGAGTGCTGGCACCATAAGCTTTAATAGTGAAGAAAATGAAACTACGGAAGTACCAGATAGAAGTTAGTATTGTGTTTGATTTTGATCTGAAAGCCCCAATATGTATTTATATTTTTATTTTTCTCTATATTGAAAGTATATTGTGACTGGATATCAGCATTTCTGGTCTTTTATGAGTAGAAAATACTGATACAAATTATTTTATAAAATGTTTTGTTCTAAAGCCGTTCTCAATTATCAGTTTAACATTTTCTGTTGATATAAGTGTTTTTTGGTTTGTTAGGGTGCAGACTTTAAATTACTTCCCCTTGTCCTCATGCTGAAGGCTTTAATGCTATGATAAATGTAATATCCTTACATTCATGCTTACAAAAACAGATAGGTGGCCTATACTTTGAGTGCAGGTTCCTGCTTATGTCTGAATAATACACTGCAATCTCCTGGATTAGACCCCTATTATGTATATTTCAGTAGTAAAACTTGTTTTAAACAGACCAAAATTAAACAGAATGAACCTTATATTATACTCCTGGTTAAGACACTAGGGTTTGTTTCAAAATATAGCCCAATACTACGACTTGCATCATCAGTTTTTCAATAAAGACAAGGCTGAAAATTTGCCATATGCCCGTTCTAGTATCGCCTGACGTAAAGCTCAATATAAAATAAAACAAAATAAGAATTTTAGAATAATTTTTTTTTTTATTTTTCATTTCAACAGGAAACATCCCTCAGCACCTCCTGGATCAGATAGTCACAGATCTGACTCCCCAGGTAGAAGATTTGGGTATTGAACTTGGCTTTACAAATCACCAACTGGTACAGTATCAGCGCCAAATACCAGAACCAAGGGAGCGAACTCTGAAGTTAATTCAGGAATGGGAAACTAATGTTCAAGATAAAGGAAAAGTAAGTATATCTGTCATAGATATGCCTCAATTACCTCCCTTTGCCAATATAACAATATTTTCATGCGCTTACTGATGTCTGTGTTTCTATTTTTAGATTGTTGCTATATTGTGCTATTCACTGACAAATTTCTTAATTTTTATTTTTAGATTGTAGCTTTTGTTTTGCCATATATCAATTGATGTCTTTTTTTGTCTATTTAGATTGTGCCTGCATTATGCTATACACTAACAAAACTTGGGTGTAAGAAAAGTGCTGAAGATTTGAAAAGATGGACGAACAGCTTAAATGAACCAACTGTCAGACCGGGGTCAACTGAATATCAACCAACTGGTCCCCCTGGTGACGGTGATAACGTTTGTGTCAGTTGTACGTTGTCATTTAGTTATATTTTGAACTTTCTGCAAAATTTATATCAAAGACTTTTTCAATTTACCATTTGAGCTTTTTCATGTTTTCCAACTGATCTTGTTTTATCTGCTATGACATCTTTAAACCGCTGCCACACCATAATGCAACAAATGGCAACCATCATCTTTTGCCCTTGACCAGAAGGTATATAAAGATGAGTACAGAAATACAGGTCGCATAACTCAGAGACTTGTAATCTTAATGTTGGGGGTTTGATTCCCGGGCTGGCCAACTAAAATTACTTTTAAAGAGACTTAAAATCAAGGTCCCGTTTATGAGTGCTTAAGTACTTGGCACGCTAAAGAATGAGGAGAACCTTCTGGAATTCAGGCATCTTTCTGTATCTGTATCTTGCACCATCCTCCAAAATCTAAAATGACTGATGCACTAATAGAGGACTTGCCCATATGGGCAACAGGTGGCGAGTATAATTAAACACATATAAACAAACACAGGCAGGTCAGTGATCTGATGAGTACAATAGATTCGAATCTGGTAATCAAAACACAATCATTGCTTTTATTTTGTTTAAAAGTCAGTTTACTGTTTAAACTGCTTAGAATTTAGAAACTGTTAATGGTTATTAAAGCAGTTTAAGCAGATTTTTCTGATTCTAAATTTCAGTATTTACATATTTTGTACTTTGATTGTGTTATACAGTTGGATTGTGTAGGAAACTATATGCTTATAGGCACACTTTCTAATCCGTCCCTGGAACCAACCAGTACTGAGCAATGAGTGTAAAGTTTCTTGCTCAAGGAAACAACGACTTGCCCCTGACAGGGTTTGAACCCATGTGGCTAGCGATCATTAGATTACTAGTCCGATGCATTAACCACTTGGCCATGTTGTCACATGTATTTTTAGCTCACCTGTCACAGAGTGACAGGGTGAGCTTTTGTGATCGCTTTTCGTCCGTCGTCCGTCAGTCGTCTGTCCGCCATCCGTCCTTAAACTTTTACTTTAAATGACATCTCCTCATAAACCACTAAGCCAATTTCATCCAAACTTCACAGGAATGTTCCTTTGGTGGTCACCTTTAAAAATTGTTCAAAGAATTTAATTCCATGCAGAACTCTGGTTGCCATGGCAACCGAAAGAAAAAACTTTAAATATCTTCTTTTAAAAAACCCTAAGAGCTAGAGCTTAGATATTTGGCATGAAACATCTTCTAGTGAGTGTCTACTAAGTTTGTTCAAATAAAAGCCCTGGGGTCAAAATTGGCCCCGCCCTGGGGGGTCATTGATTTTCCCTATATGCATATAGTAAAAACTTAAAAAATCTTCTTTTAAAGAACCCAAAGAGCTAGAGCTAAGATATTTAGCATGAAATATGTTCTAATGGGTGTCTACCAAGTTTGTTCAAATAAAAGCCCTGGGGTCAAAATTGGCCCCGCCCCGGGGGGTCATTGATTTTCCTTATATGCATATAGTAAAAACTTAAAAAATCTTCTTTTAAAGAACTCAAAGAGCTATGGCTAAGATATTGAGCATCAAACATGTTCTAATAGGTGTCTACCAAGTTTGTTCAAATAAAAGCCCTGGGGTCAAAATTGGCCCCGCCCCAGGGGGTTATTGATTTTCCCTATATGCATATAGTAAAAACTTAAAAAATCTTCTTTTAAAGAACCAAAAGAGTTAGAGCTAAGATATTTAGCATGAAACATGTTCTAATAAGTGTCTACCAAGTTTGTTCAAATAAAAGCCCTGGGGTCAAAATTGGCCCCGCCCCGGGGGGTCATTGATTTTCCCTACATGCATATAGTAAAAACTTAAAAAATCTTCTTTTAAAGAACTCAAAGAGCTATGGCTAAGATATTTAGCATCAAACATGTTCTAATAGGTGTCTACCAAGTTTGTTCAAATAAAAGCCCTGGGGTCAAAATTGGCACTGCCCCGGGGGTCATTGATTTTCCTTATATGTGTATAGCAAAAATCTTCTTTGAAAAAACCCAAATAGCTAGAGTTAAGATATTAAGCATGAAACATCTTTTAGTGAGTGTCTACAAAGTTTGTTCAAATAAAAGACCTGGGGTCAAAATTGGCCCCGCCCCGGGGGTCATTGATTTTCTTTATAATTATGTGTATAGCAAAAACTTAAAATCTTCTTTGAAAAAACCCAAATAGCTACAGTTTAGATATTAAGCATGAAACATCTTCTAGTAAGTGTCTACAAAGTTTGTTCAAATAAAAGCCCTGGCCCGGCCCCAGGGGTGTCATTGTTTTTAACTATATGTGTATAGTAAAAACTTTAAAAAAATCTTCTTTTAAAAAGCCCAATGAGCTAGAGCTTAGATGTTTAGCATGAAACATCTTCTTATGGGTGTCTACCAAGTTTGTGCAAATAAAAGTCCTTGGGTTAAATTGGCCCTGCAACGTTTGGGGGGGGGGGGTGTGGGGGCCTTTATACAGGTGAGCGACCTCAGGGCCATCATGGCCCTCTTGTTAATTAAATGACAGAATTCAAGAAGATTAATGTATAATAAGGTAGTACTTTACAGAACAAGTTTGAAATATATTTAAAGTCTTACTGTAAATCAAAAGAAATGTCAATGCTGATGACAAAATGGGCGTTGGTTTTATAGCCATTAAAAGGTTGGGTTAAATGGGTCATTAAGTCATGTGTGAATGATTGTAAAAGTAATAATTTATAGACTTTATGTGTACATGTTTCAGGGTTTTCATTACTAATAGATTAGTGATCAATATTATCGTTGGAAATGTAGTTAAGATTGGTTGTATTTTCAGCCTGTTGATTTAAATTTCCCCTTTGTTCCTTGGCCAAAATTGGTTGTTTTCTGTGGCACATCTGAAGCCTCATATAAAAATGGAAACCTTGCAGATGAATTAAGTACATGTGGTGCATAGTCTGTAATTTTGGATGTATTTTTTTATCTTCTTTTTTTCAGTAAGAGAAGCCCAGCTAGACTCTGTACGACAGCAAGTGGCATTGTCTCGTCTGCAGCAAAGGGAACCTGATGTGAGACAAGCTCCGCCCCTTCCACAAGGTCCTGCCTTTGCCAATGTACCTGAATTAAGACAAGTACTGCCCCAAACACAGGTTCCAGTCCCTGGACAAGTACTGCCCCCAACACAAGTTCCAACCCCTGGAAATATGACGGAATTTAGACAAATGAATGGGCATCAGCAAATATTGTCGAATGTGATCCCAGCACAAAATGATGTTAATATCATAAATGGTGGAATTGCTGTTTATAAACAAGGTGATAATTATCTTGTTAATGCAGGAATCAGTAGAGAATTGGCTCCACAGATGGTGCCATTGGAAAATTTTATAAAAGGTCAAGGTCAAAGTCAACAGATTCAAGGTGTAGGTAACAGTCGGCAGATGGCACTTCCGGTTGTTCATCAGCCTAGCCGGCAAATACCGGAACTCCCCGTGTACCCTATGAACAGAAGACCAAGAGGTTTGTATACGTAATTATTATATCTGTTTTAAAAATACCTGGATTGTCAATTAATGTGATATGAGCCACACCATTACACAACCAACATAGTGCGTTTGTGACCAGCATGGATCCAGATCAGCCTGTGCATTCACCCAGACTGATAAGGATCCATGATGTTAGTTTACAAACCCTAGTACTAATAGAGAAACTGATACCGAAACTGATAGCGAACATCATGGATCCTGATCAGACTGGGCAGATGCGCAGGCAGGTCTTGATCCATGCTGGTTGCAAACGCACTGTGTTGGTTTTGTCATGGCGCGGCTCATATATTGATAATTTGTAGGATTTAAGAAAATTTGATGAATTTTTCTGTTCTTTTGGATGAAGTAATAATTTTTTGCTGCATATTTTAGTGATTTCCTTAAACATAATGTATTTTAGAAAACAATGTACATTTTTGTGTACCATTCAATTTTCAATTGCCATTATAATTATACTAGTCCTGATGTCTGTAGTGTTTTTTTCCCCTACATTGGGAATGGTGCCGTTTCCGGACAGATTAGGAAAAAATCCATCGGTTTGACTCAAATTGGGAATTTTATATTAGATGCAAAATATTTATTGGGAATTTCTTTTATCCAGGAAGACATGAAAATTTTGCATAATATACACTTGAAAACCATGTATTATTAACTTTAATGGTTATTTTTGCTACTTGAGGTCAAAAAATAAAGATAATTCTGTACTTTTCAAACTACTTCTGTTTCAAGCTCAGCTCAAATGTTTTTTCAAAACTAATGATTAATTGCACTACATAATGTCCTGTGTCATAGAGATCTCAGGTTTGGGTATTTTTAGCAGCTCTTGTTGATTTTAAATCAAATGCTTAGTGGTTGTTTTTACAATTTCATGTTAAATTTACATTGTTTAATAATCTAACATTGATTATTTATTGGTTTTTAATCTTTTATACTGGACTTTCATTCATATATTACCTTGACCTTCAAGGTCAAATGTTGAAGGTCAAATGTCTAAATTTTATGCCACCACAGCATCTGCGATTCACCTGTGTGTGTGTGTGTGTTTGTATGTATGTGTGTTATATAGATTATTTAGTGAACTTAAAAAATCTTCTTGTGAAAAACCACTAGTCCAATTTCAACCAAACTTGGCAGGATTGATCCTTGGGTGAAGGGCTTCCAAAGTTGGTTAAAGAATTTTATTCCATGCAGAAATCTGGTTGCCATGGCAACCAAAAGGAATTGTAAGAATAAATTTAAAAAATCTTCTTGTAAAGAACCACAAGGCCTAGAACATAGATATTTTGCATAAGGCATTGTCCTATAGGCCTCTACCAAGATTGCTCAAATTATAGCCCTTGGGTCAAAATTGGCCCGGCTCCCGGGGTTATTGAATTTTTACTATATGTACATATAGTAAAAACTAAAATATCTTCTTGTCTGAAGGAACAAGGCTTAGAGCTTTGATATTTGGTATATGATATCATCTATAGGTACTCTACCAAAGTTGTTCAAATTTTGCCTCTAGTGTCAAAATTAGCCCCGCCCCGGGGGTTATTGATTTTCAGTCACTTATATATATAAATAATGTACATAAAGTAAAAATTTAAAATCATTTTGCCTGAAGGTACAAGGCTTAGAGCTTTGATATTTTGTATATAATCATCTATGGGTCCTCTACCAAAGTTGTTTAAATTATGCCTCTAGTGTTAAAATTGCCCTGCCCCAGAGGCGATAGTTTTCCTTATATATACATGTATATAGTAAAAACTTGAAAAAATCTTCTTCTCTGAATTGACAACGGCTAGAGGATAGATATTTGGCATGAGACTTTCTACCAAGATTGTTAAGATTATAGCCCTGGGGTCCAAATTGGTCCCTCCCTGGGGGTCATTTATTTTCACTATGTACATATAGTAAAAAATTAAAAAATCTTATTGTCTGAAGGTACAAGGCTTAGAGCTTTGATGTTTGCTTTATAATATCATCCATAGGTCCTCTACCAAAGTTGTTCAAATTTTGCCCCTGGTGTCAAAATTGGCCCTGCCAGGGGGCATTGACTTTCATTATGTACACAAAGTAAAAACAGAAACTTAAACAAATGTTTTTTGAATTGGAGAAAGCTACAGCTTAGATATTTGACATGAAATGTTGTTTGGTGGACCTGTATCAAGATTGTTTGAATTAAACACTTGGGTCAAAATTTTGCCTTGCCCAAGGGGACAGTGACCTACTTTCTTGTCCTTTGATGTACAGCGTCAAAATTTTGCCTTGCCCAAGGGGACAGTGACCTACTTTCTTGTCCTTTGATGTACAGCCATGAAATTTGGACTATATGCACATTTTTATTTGTCAGATTGAACTTTGATATCAGGTGACCTAGATTTTGATGATGTGACCTACTTTTTTGTCCTTTAATGTGCAGCTATGAAATTTGAACCATATCATATGCACAGATTAAGATGTAAAGTGAACTTTGATATCAGCTGGCCTAGATTTTGACAAAGTGTCTTACTGTGTTGTCCTTTGATGTACAGTCATGGAATTTTAGCCATGTGAAATATGACCTTCACCACCAAATTCACTAGACTCAACTGCATTGATAGATTCCTACTCTTTTAATCTTTTATTTGAATAACAATAGATTTAACCACTAATCTAATAATAAGAATTAGATAGGTCAGTGATCTACGCATTATGGCAATCTTCATTTGTATAGAAACAAAAAAAAATCTGCTCCTACATTACTATTTTATTTTAGTGTTGTATTAATGCGGTGGCATAGCATTTTTCACAAATGCAATCTTGTTCATTTTCTTGTTTTGGTGATTTTTGCTAGTAGTAGTAGCTATAACTTTGTTATTTTTGAATGAATTGTCTCCAAACTTGGTCATAATAATTTTTTAGGATAGACCTTTAAGTTAACCAGACAGACTTTCACCTTTAGTCATAAATGACCTTGACCCTAAAGGTCAAATTATTTTAATTGCGTAACCTTGACCCTGAAGGTCAAATTATTGAAATTTTCATTTTTTGTGTACCACTGGCTATAACTTTAATAATCTTTTATACAGGATGGTGTGTAATTATAAACAATAAAGAATTCCATGTAATTCAAGGAGATAACACAAGTAAGGAGATGCCAGCTAGGAATGGTACTGACAAAGATGCAGGTAAAACAGCTTTTATTACATGCTTTTTGGTTGTTTATAGAAATATATCAGTGAAACTGATATTTTCACTGTTTGAAACAGCGAAATTATCAATTTGATATTTTCACTGTTTTTAATTTAAGCCCCTTAGGTTGTTTCAGTGAAATACCAGGTGCAAAGTACTGCCTACTGGAAACCAACTAAATGACGTGATATCGTAAATGACGTTACGTTGTATTATAAATTGGAAAGCTTTTCATTTAGTATTAGGTTAAAATGTCTTTTTAAACATTTCTTTGCATATAATAGAAAGAAAATTTGTTTAGCTTAGTGTAAGATCGAATTATATTTCACCTGCGCCACTGGTGAAATATACCTTTTGGTGCTCACTAGGTGAAATATATTCTGATCTTACACTGAACTAAACAAATATCCTCTATATCATAACTCCCTTAAATTCCTACACAAATTGTTTCTGACACTTTACCATGGATACATAGTTGGTGCACAACCTTTTTAGTGAATTAGATTTCAGGGCGGGCATAATTATTTGTCCATATTGCCCAGGATGTCCCACAGCCTGTATGGAAAAGCAGAAATTATCAAGAATTAACTATCTAAATATCATATGGACAAGTATGTCAAATTCAAGTTTTGCTGCCCCTTGATTTGATTTTTGTTGCATGATACAATGTTGAATGTGATTATGTATGCTTGTTATATAGGTAATGTTAAAAAGTTAATTAGAAATTAAATTAGAAAAAGGAATTAGTTAATTAGAATGAAATAGGTACTGATTTTCTTCATACACTTCTGGAATAATAGGTTTTACAAGTTTTATACTCAGTTCTACACTAATTTCATTGTAATGTGCATTCAGTTTTGTAAAGTCAGTTTTTGTCTTATTGATATTTTTAGAATCATTACAGCACACATTCTATATTTTCAGAATCATTACAGTAAGTATTCTATATTTTCAGGATCATTAGAGTATGTATTCTATATTTTCAGAATCATTACAGCACACATTTTCGAAGCTTGGTTTTATTGTGCGACGTCGAGACAACCTCACTGAAACTGAAATGATGACCTATTTAATTGACATCGCACACAATGTAGATCATACTGACTTTGACTGTTTTGTTTGTTGTATTCTAACACACGGAGTGCTAAATTATCTTTATGGAAGCAACGGAAAACTTGTGTCCATTAAGGATCTTACGGAAACTTTCCAGACGAACAGATGCCAGACGTTGGCGGGAAAACCAAAACTTTTCTTCTTGCAGGCTTGTCAGGGTAGAGATAAAATGTTAGGTGAGTCATCAGTTAGTAGTTATTGTTGACTGGTTAAGATCACTGAATTAAGATTCGCTCAACCCTGACTGCTGGGGGTTTGAATCCTGACAGGGATTCTACATATTCAATGAACCTCATTTACATGTGGCTACACAGATTCAATACCCTAATAGTTTATGAAAGTTGGTATTAGAAAATATTGCTTTGAAATGAAAAGACCATTCCAAATAGTTAACATGAATATGATATGCAAACATTATTTTATGCTTGTGCAAAAACTTCATATTTATTTTTATTTCGTTAATTTTTTATTTTCGTTAGGTGGCTCTGAATTGGAGAGAGATATGCCCCGACTTGAATCTGATCAGGGAGATCGGGAAATGATCCCTAACGAGGCTGATTTTCTCCTAGGATACGCAACGGTTCCCGGCTATGTGTCATTCAGAAGTAGGAACCATGGTTCCTGGTACATCAGAAAGCTTTGTGAATTACTTGAAAAATATGCAAACAAGTAAGCCTTTTTTTTGTTAGCATTTTTATGTCGTTGATATTCGCCCGCTAAGCTTGACAGTGAGAGAATCAGATAAGTAATCTAGGAGCCACTGGTATTATACTCTAGCTAGGCAAATATCTGAGTAAGACTAAAAAAAAAGGATTGGAGCGCCACACTCAATACCGTATTCCAGTATATACTGAGGCTCTTGAATGATTAAATGCCCTTGAATGATTAAATGCTAAAATCTTGCCTTTTCACCCAATGGTATGAAATTTGAAAGATCTAATTCATCTTTTCACACTGATTCAAATATGATAATGAATGAAAAATGTAAGAATCAGCAAAAATTGTCTTTTTTGTGATAATGATTTCTGCAAGCGTCTGGAGGTACTGCTTCAGTCCTGCATTGAGTTAAATCCCAAATATTCTGTTATTCATCTAGGACATTGTGTATATTGTGTATATTAAATGGTCATTTATCTCTAAGCGCTTATTCAGAAATAATAAGGGATTAGTAGCCGATCACTTGTGGAGAAATTGGTAATGACTGGTTAGTTATCCAGTTATCCAGGAAAGTCAGTGAGGTAGATGGAATGCTGAGTTATGACAAAAAATGTGTTAAAATTGGCATAAAGAAACAGAAAAAAAGTCATTATTGAGAAAAAATGGTCATTTAAGTATTGTTGACTCTGATAGAAAATATAAAATTACATTTTATTGTTGTCATGGACATTTTATTGTTGTCATGGAAGGATGGCCTACTTGTATAAAATATTGATATGGAAACAAGGTTTAATCCTGTCTGGTATGAATAAGTATAATTGGTTGGCCAGTTTTTATACTCTGATGTTATGTTTTTTAATGATATAAAAAGAACATTTCCAAATTCAATGCTGAAAATAAATTTTGCAAAACATACATACAGCAGGGTAAGTTCAATTTGGAAGCTATACATGTATTTATTACATGAAATCACTGTAATTCTTCATAAAGTGTACCCTCTTACATAAAACATGATGACCCCATAAACCCTATACATGTTACAGGCATTTCACAAAATGACCAGCCACTTCAGTCCTTTTTATACAAAATTCTTAAATTTCATAAATTTTAGAAAAATGCCTGCTTTTAGAAAATGCCTGTAACATATATATTGAATGGATGACATCATTTTTAATGTGTGACATCATTTTAGATTGGTGACATCATTTTAAATGGATGACATCATTTTAAATTGGTGACATCATTTTAAATTGGTGACATCAATTTAAAGTGGTAACATCATTTTAAATTGTTGACATCATTTTAAATGGATTTATGACATCATTTTAAATGGATTTATGACATCATTTTAAATATTAATGGATGATATCATTTTTAATTGATGATATCATTTTAAATGGATGACATCATTTTGAAAAGTTTAAGCGGGTTAGTTAGTGTAAGTCTATTTGAAATGACAATTCATGTGTGATCCTGTGTTTCAGGTATGACTTGATGAGCATCTTAGTAGAGGTTAACAGGGAAGTGGCTGGAGCTAACGCGGCAATGGATGGAGGCTTATACAAACAGATCCCAGCTCCATTAGTTACCTTAAGAAAGCAGCTCTACTTTAAATGAACTTTACAAAATGGAGCAGTAGTTGCCATGCAAGAGTCCATGGAAACCATGGATGTTGGACATAAGGAAATGAATCCATGAACTTTTTCTTGTTTTCAAAGACAACAGACTAATGTTTTTTTAGTGAAGAAAGGATGTGCTCAGTATGTTGCGTATTTTCGGTATGAAATTTAAAGGAACTCCACTGAGGTCCAAAAGCCTAAAAATATGAAAATTTAATTTCTGAAATATATCAGCAGGGGGGGACTTAAAACAGTTACATGTATATATTAAAGATAGTAATGAAATTTTGTCAGAAAATAGTTGTAAAAGTGTATTTTTGTGCTATTGTAAGCATGATATGAGTGATAGGTGAGTAAACAGTGAGTGAAAATTGAGTGAAAAGCGTTGCAATGCTTTTCAATTTTTGGTCAATTTTCACAATATTGAATTAGAAGAAGTATTATGGAAAAACGGAGGGAGGGAATGATTAGTGATTTTGGACACAAGTTACTGGTCTAGACCAACATCAAATGTAACATTAATCTCAAAAAATTATATCCAGTCCCATCATTTCAGTGGAGTCCCTTTAAGACACTTTACTGATTTATGGTATTTTGTTTTGTATATAACGAGTACTTGCAACTTTTTATCTTTTCTCTTTGTACATACAGTCTGCCCTTTCATGCACCACTTTAGCATAAAACAGAGCAGACCTGTGATAAGTATCAAAAATTAGAAACACTTTTGAAAATTAATTTTGCAAAAATGGAGCTAGTGTCATGATACACATGTTGGTGCCTTCCTTGGTTAACCTTTTTGTTTTGGTCAATTTCTAAGAAACTTTCAAGGCTGTTTACCATATTTACTTGTCTATTAGACAGATCACTTATAAGATGGGGTCCTTATTTTAACTCAAATGGCACTTTTTGTTAAGACATTCTTATAAGACAGGTAGTATTTTTTATAAGAAAAATTCTACTGTACCTCAGTTTTTAATAGAAAAATTGTCAAAAATCATGAAAATGAATAGACAGATTGGTTGGAGTGATAACCATTTTCTAAAAGGACTCGGGGGTCTAATAATTACTTAAGTTACTTAAGGTACATCAGTTTTATATATCAATTGAGCTGATAATTCTAAAACTGATTTTTGCAAAATTATGTCCAAATTTAGACTGATTTTTTTATTGCCCTAGTTAAACTTTTTGTTAAGGTCCATTTCTCAAAACCTATTATAGATATTTACTTTAAGCTTGTTCACTATAAACACTTGCAGAAATATTCCTTCTTTCTTATATTACTTAAATTATACTATCTAGCGCTGGGAAAAGTGGAGTGTGCTTAATACAAACAAGCCATGTTAGAGCAATATTTATGCATGAATAGTGCTATATGTTTTTTTTTCTCATGAAATTATTTATAAGAATATTGAATAACCTACATTGCCTATCTCCCTTGATTTGCTGCTGATTTAACTTCCTAAGCTTGTAAAAAAACCTTGACATTTCTGTCAGAAAGTTCAATAAAACACCAAAGTTAGTTGAAGGATCCAACAGCTTTGGCTTTCTCTATTTTTACAATGAACATATTTTGTGATAAAGATAAAAAAAACATCATTATGATCTTGATAAATATTGATTGTTGAGCATGTTTTGTGACCAAGATTAATAAAGTATCGGTATGATCTGGATCAAGAAAATATATTGTCTGCTCTATGTTTGCAATGAGCATGTTTTATGACCAAGATCAATAAAGCATCAGTATGATCTAGATCAAGAAAATATATTGTCTACTCTATGTTTGCAAAGAGCATGTTTCGTGACCAAGATCAATAAAGCATTAGTATGATCTAGATCAAGAAAATATATTGTTTGCTCTATGTTATCATGGATTTATATTTGTAATATAAATCCATGATGTTATCAATGAACATGTTTTGTGACCAAGATCAATAAAGCATCAGTATGATCTGGATCAAGAAAATATATTGTCTTCTCTATGTTTTCAATGAGCATGTTTCTTGCAACAATGATCTTGATTAATAAATATATATTGTAGGTCTTTGTTTGCAATGAGCTTATTTCGTCATTAAGACCAATAAAGCATCGGTATGATCTGGATCTAGTAATTATAAACATTGTGTGTATTTTTTGATTAACATTAAGAGTAATCTCATATTTTCAATGCAGAAAATAGTTTTATAATTATTTTTATAACTATGATATGTTTTCCTTTCTTTACATAGTTCTCTTGTTGCGTCATTTACACGTTCATTTCAAACTTACCTAATATGACAAAGCCATGTAAACTATAATATTCAAAATCATTGTTGATTGTCATATGTCTTTTTGTTGCTATATAAGTTACATGATATGACTTAAAGATTGATTGCAGTGATAATTAAGATGCTGTTTTTATCTGTGATTGTAGATGTAGCTGTACATGTTTTTGATATAATCATGGCTGTAAATAACGCCGTGATATAACTAATGAAAATTGTGTATATATTTATTGAATAAAAAACTGTACAAAAACATAAAATGAGTTCATACATATTATTTGAGTTTGAGTTAATTCATTTACCAACTTGGCAATATTTTATTTAGACAAAGGAGATGGGGACTGATTTTTGTTGTTGATTTGTACGCCGCACCAACACAGTAGAGGTTACATTTCAGCTTTACTGGTGGAGGAAGACTTAAGGTGCCCCTCCGTGCATTATTTCAGGCACGAATGAGTACTTGAGTAGAACCGCCGACGTTCCTTTAGCTAGCTTGATAGCTTCGTCACATGAACGAATCCAAAGTCCCTGGTGGTATTCGGACACACAGCGGCGAGAAGCAAGTAATTTGAAGTCAACGACCTTAACCACTCGACCATGGATGACCCTTTAAATAAATTGTCGTATATGATAATAATGCACACGTTTCGAGTAACATAAACTCAAAGGACATCTAATCTGGCCGATTAACAGTACTTTGTACGATACTGGGAAAAACTTATTTCTGTTCTTAAGGAAATTTGTTCAATAGCAGATTAGTATTTTCTTAATATGATGTGACAATACTCATTTTTTATCACTATGTGAATTGTATATATAATATATTGACCATTCGAGAGCTTTATCAGGAAATATTGGGAATGGGAATTTTTAAGTAAGTTTTTTGTTTTCTTTATGTAACCACATTGTAGGGTTAACAATATATAGCATCAGTCTCGTATGTAGACAGAAGTCAACATGTAATCTTGAAAATGGTGTTCACTAAAGTGTCTGGAAGCTTCTACAGATGCGTTCATACAGCGGTTATCGTTGGGACACTTTGGTGCCATCCAATAAACGATTGCCATATTTATTACATAAAAACTGTCAGTCGTATTTATTTTCCTGTACAATAACAAAACGTATCGATCAGCTAGTCAACTTTCCAAGAACGGTTTCAAATAGGTGCATTTCAATTAAAAAAGTCATCCATCACCATTTAAAAAGTAAATAAATGAAATCTGACTGAAAAGTGACTGCACGATTACGTTTTAATATTTTATTTGTGTCCTGAAAATAGAAATACCATTTGTGTAGCTACATTTGCTGAATATTCTCTTAGGTTATTAATGATACATGTGTACGACTGTCATATAACAAATAGTGACATTAATTAAAACATGCCTGTGTTTTCAATGCGATGTAATAGATATCCCCGTACTGCCTCTTTCCGATCAGCTAACAGATTTTTCAACAATAACTGACAGTGAAATTATATATAAAAAAATTCTCTTTCAATTCTGCAAATATTATCATTTCAGCTAATAAATGCACCAACTTTTTAAAATTTTACTTGAATTATTACTATGAATCGAGGACAAATCATAACTGACCCATTTTCCTATTCTTCAAAATTTCACAACCACTTTTCAATCAGTTAACAAAATATAAACTGTACCACATAAAAAATGTCATACAATGTTAAAATATAATTAGTTCTGTATTTTGGAAAATTTTTGACAAACTCAACTTCAGATAAATGGTAATAAACAATTTTAACCTAATTATAATGCCGTTTTTCACTCTAGATATTTATTTGCAGTGGTAAAGCTGTCACAATTGGGGTATGAATGTACATTTCAATTTGCATAACAGAAAAAGCATGTTCTTGTGAAATTTTTAGGATCTTAGGGTCTATATGACCCCATTCTAGTGACTGCTTACTGAAAAGTTATCACAGAGAATGCTTTTCCTTGGTTAAGTGACTGTTACTTTACTGATGTATTACCTTCAAATTAAGAACTGTATGGTAAAATATGTACATATTAAAATTACAGCTTTTGAAGTGCAGTATACATTATGACTTCATGATATTAAAACAGTTGTCCAACTTAATATCCATTTCTGCAGACTGACAAAAAATTGAGTCTGTATATCAATTATTTTTAGAAAATTATTGCGATTTGAAACTGTGTAAATAAAGGATTAGTGGAAAACACACGTTTTACATATTTTGAACTAAAATGCTAGCATTTTCTTTTTTTATCGCCTAAATTGACATTGCTGCTGATAAATTTAGTCAAGGGGAATACAAGATGTGCTTACAGTTTGGTTCCATGACAAATAAGGTCAAAAATAAAAAAAATTCTAGGGGTGATTGAAAAGTGGTTGTGATTGAAAACTGGCAGTGTGTGGATATAGCGACAAACGCAAAGTTCCTTTAGATAATTATGCTCTTTCGCCTTGAAGCTTATGTTGAATGCTCTATTTTATGTACTTTTTTATTTCATACCCGGTTCTCTACACCATGTATTCCGTTCATTTTTCGACGGAATTTAATAACGCTATCGTTTGCCGCACTGATAGGGTATAGACTTTTTACAATACGAGCTGTCCATAGAAACGGATGTTTCATTTGGCGCATGCGCATTCTGCGTACGGCAGAAACGCAATAACGATGATCACAATTTATCATACTTAAAAGCTTTTGATCAAGCAAAAGTAATGTTTCAGATTTATGTGAACACTTTTTTTATAAAGTATACATTCTTGAAACAATTTAAACTTTTTTTATTATAAATACATATTTGCTTTTGTAATCAAAATGAATGCATATTTCAACAGAAACATACCGATTATGAAATATTTTATCATAATCACGATATCTATATCAACCTTGATAACGTGGTTAACTGTCTATAGCGGTAATTATTGCTCAGTCGCCTGACCCTCCACTAGAATGTAAATCCCTCTTTTTATATGCATCCTCAGAAACTCAGACTATTAACCGTATCAGTATTAAATGTAGTATATACGGAATGTGTACCGTGGGTTCCGACGATGTTTTATATATTCAGTTACTATAGTTAATACTTTCAAATAGTGGACCTCCATATCATTGTGGTCAAGTTCGGTGACTTCCAGTCTTGTGTGCATCACCGTTTAAATAGTAAATGTAATGGCATATCTACCACTTGGTTTCCCGATCTTGCCTAATTTAATGAAGGGAGGGACATCGTGGTTTTTACCAGTGTAGACTGTGAAATTACAATATTAATATGAAAGCAATGGCATGAATTATAAAGGTTAATCAAAATACAAAAGAAAAATAAAACTATCCCAACAACATTTTTTGCCTTCTGTAGATAATTCACATTGCCAAATATAATATTATATTTAGTTTCTATACTATTCGTATCAATGTTAATATACTTCTGAAAAGGCATTAATGCTAAAGTTAAAAATCTGTCATTACATCCACGTGCTGGCTGGCACGTGCTTTTTATGAATCTTATCTGCAACCGGCATTGACCTTTCACGGTTTAGATTCGGCTTCTGTAAGAAGTCTACTTCTTGCGCGTCCTCGGCAGTAGAACTCTTTCTCTGTTTTTGACTTTTATTCACCGGCATACTTACTTCAGTATAATACGGATTAAATAGTATTTTGTTTTGATTCTTATAGAATTTGGAATCCTTCGGATCAGCCGCTTCCTCGTCATATAGAAAAAGCGCGGGCTCACTGCACCGCCTTGGTTCACTGTAGAATGTAGACGCATAACTGCTTCCGTTACTCAAAGGAACCGAATTTCCGGTCTTCTTGCGAGTAAGGATACCTAGTTTCTTTTTCTTTGATTTTGTCGACTTCGTGATTGTTTTATTCATTACTATTTCATCTTTTATTGCCATGTTTGTGATAGGTTTTAATACAGGAGGTTTATTAGCAACGATTTGCCTATTAGAACTTTCTGAAATTGTCATACTATCTTCAGATTGCATCCGTGAAACTCTACCATCTATTTGCAGCAAATTTCTGTTTTTTAAAGTATGCTCTTCTGATAACTCCTTTATGCCATCTTTGCGTTCCTCCTCAATTACATCGTGATTCATATCTTTTCTAATAGAATTAATTGTTTTGAACACTTCTAGATCAGATTCTCTATACATTTCTTCTGAATGAACATCTGCGAGTAAAACTTGTCTCCTTGCTTGCACGGAGCGCAAATATAAATCACAGTCCTCGTTTTGATTATCTACCATTACACCATTTTGCCGGACAGCTACCTCAGTATAGGTTTTTTCTTGTAGCCTTTCGTTGTCTTCAAAGTCATCACCTTCATCATAATCATCCTCATTGTCAGCATCGTCTCTTACAAAAGCCTCATTATAATATGCACAGCTTGCAGTAAAATCAAGATCCGGGTTATGGGTGTTAGTAAGTATAGATCTGAAAGGAAAAAAAACCCCTGAAACATTTTAAATCAGAAAGCATTACTGGAATATATTATTTAGTGATTTTACATGTTTAATGCACTTTAATTATACAGAATGCATAGTACAAAATAGTAATACATGTATATTCCATGTAAGAAAAATCATATTAAAATTATACTTCAATATGAAATGCAACAGTGACATTGAATTATGTTACATAGATGGTACTCCGGCGTTGAGTTTTTCAATCCTTATTAACAAAAGCTGAAAAAAAAAATCTAAAAGCTTTAAAAAACTAATACAGATACCTAGCTCTTGTGATCTTTTTGTCAGTTACTTCAAGGTCGGGTCGAAGTAGCCTGAAGAATCGGTTGTATTCGGCTTCCTTCCTTTTCCTCAACATGAGTCTTCGATGGTAGAATGCAAAAGACATGGCAAGGAATACAAGTAATCCAAATGCGGTGACTGTTGGAAATAACCAACCAAAGGAAGACTTTGCTGTGACGTCACCATTGTCGTCAGACATCTTTTAAAAAGAAAACACTCGAAAATGAGAAAATGGAAACAAAAAATGATTTTGATCAACGTGAGGGCTTACAAACCAATGGTTCTTAGTTTGACTTGCTTTTAATATGGAAGCTAGTATGGGTCAAATTATAAATTCATTTATTTCAGTTTCAATACTTTTTGTTAAAATATTCATCCGGTCTAGATCAGTTGATTCTTTTCATTTGTTCTAGTTTTCTAAAAGAGTGCATTAAATCAACTGAGTGTTTTAAATGTGTGATGAATAATTGATAAGTTAAAAACTTCGTTTAGAATAAGCAGACATGTTATATGTATGTTGGCTTTTTAAAATTTGTTTACTATTTTTTACGTTTATATATAAACTATAAATATTTTGGAATACAGTCAGATAATGATTGGTGATCACTCGGAGGCAATGGAAACCAGAATATTATATTAGAATTGCAAACTCGGTTTGATTGAGTCTGTACATAAGAGATAATGTTACTATGCAACATCTGCCTCACGCCCCTCTAGCACCGCCTTAAGCGGTATCCAATCTTCAAAACGGACATGCTGAAGTCAATGATCCCGAAGAACAAGTAAAATATAACAACAGTGAAGTGATTGATGTACGGGGCACCCATTTTATACAGCTGCCACAATTGTATAACCTGCTGGCACTCCTCAATACAGTCTTTTGCCACCAGTATAGAGCCAGCACGGTACACCCTTCATAATGACCATGCAGGTCAACGGTTTTGGTAGCATTTTTTTTGTAATAGAAAACGCAGCTTCCCATACATAGTTTATTCATTCTTTTATCCAAATTAGAGATATTCAGTAACAATTTCATCCATTTCAATGAATATTTTACTCAAAGATGAGCACAGTAAACTTAAAGCTACATTAAATAAATATGTAAAAAATACTTTGCCGTCGGCCTAAAAACCAAGCATTCTACAGTTTCATTAACCTTTTTAACAGTATTGTTGTAAATCTCATCAAACATTGTTCTTAAATTACGATTTTAAACGGAAAACTCCACGATAACACTAAAGTTCGTATACGAATTTTAACATGCACTAGGCATGGCGTTCAGAAAAGAGTTATCATCTCATAAAAATATCAAATTTGTATGAAAACATCCGTTACAATGCGGAAATATACCGTTATTAAGTGATAAATAAGTGATATCTTAATAACGTTAATTACAAATAAAGCAAGTGGACCAGATGAAATTAGTCATAAAATGCTAAAAGAAACAAGATATTCTGTCTGTGCTCCACTAGGTATTTTATTTAACAGATCTCTAGTCGAAAATATTTACCCTAATTCATGGAAATCAGCAGTTGTAATGCCAATATATAAAAAGGGCAGTAAAAACATGCCTATGAATTATAGACCCATTTCTCTAATAAGTTGTGTAGGTAAAGTATTTGAGCGAATTGTTTTTAAGCACATTTATAATCATTTACATGTTAATAATCTTATATATCACCAACAGTCTGGGTTTTTACCGGGGTCATTCCACCGTTTTTCAACTTATTGATATTTATCATCAAATTACTCAAGCCTTTGACAAAAAACAATCTACATGTATGATATTTTGTGACATTTCGAAAGCATTCGATAGGGTATGGCACAAAGGGCTTATATTTAAATTGCCGGCAATACGGTATTGATGGCGATATATTAAATTGGTTGAGCAACTATCTTTTAAATCGGCACCAAAAAGTTTTTGTAAATTCAACTTTCTCAAGTGAGAAAATAACTACTGCGGGCGTTCCCCAGGGATCAGTCCTGGGTCCGTTGCTATTTCTAATCTACGTTAATGATATTGCGGATAATCTATTAAGCATAACCCGCCTCTTTGCAGATGATAGTTCGCTGTCGATTTCCTCTAGCAATATGAATTTTATAGAAAAACACATTAAATACCGATCTACATACTCTTCAAGAATGGTCCCATAAGTGGTTAATTAAAATTTAATCCAGATAAAACAGAAGTAATGTTTTTTTCCTTAAATGATGAACAACGCCCTTCTCTATCTTTGAAAATACCCAACTTACTTATGTAAAAATGCATAAAACATCTTGGACTTACATTGAGTGAAGATGGAAAATGGCACGAACACATTAATAATATTATGACATCAGCTTCTAAAGTTCTAAGCTCAATGCAATCATTGAAATTTAAACTCAAACGAAATACATTAAATCAAATTTATTTATCATATATGCGACCAATCCTCGAATTATGCCTCCACTGTTTGGGATGGCTGTAATGAAAATGATAAACATTCTCTTGAAAAGATGCAATATGAAGCAGCGCGTGTTGTCACAGGCCTAACTAGATCGGTATCTATAGACCGTTTACTTAGAGAAATTGCTGGGTATCTTTGTCAGATAGAAGAATTATGCAAAAATTAATAATAGTTTACAAAGCCCATCAAAACAATGTACCAAGCTACTTACTAAATCTTTTCCCAAATAGTGTCGCTAATTCTACTCCATACTTCCTCCGAAAATGATAACAACTATGTGACAATCGCACGGAGAACACAAAATATTCGCAAAATCTTTCATTCCTTCATCCATAGAGTTATGGAACAATTTGGATGATCATATTAGACATGCGGCTTCTCTTAATATTTTTTAAATCTCGTCTCAAAGAAATTTATAAACCACATACTGTTCCTAAATATTTTGTATACGGAGATCGAAGTTTATCTGTTATACCATGCACGTATTAGAAACGAATGTAGTAATCTTAATGCGGATCTTTGTAAAAATCATCTACGAGATAACTCACTTTGTAGCTACTGTACATCCAGTATTGAAGATGCCGAACATTACTTTTTTAAATGTCCCAAATATAACGAAATAAAGAGTGCAGTTATTCCGCTCAACTCGCAGTTTCCATCCTTTGAGCGTAAAGACCCTTTGTTTGGAAAAAGAATCTCTTTCTGATGAGAATAACTTATTTATTTTTGATAAGGTACAATTATTTATTAAATTATCGTGTAGATTTGAATCTTAATTTTTTATATTATCTGTACTACTTGCCACGATCAATTGATATCCCTACTTACTGAACTCTATCCCCCTTTTTTTTTTTTTTCTTTTCCTTTTATGTAATGCTTTTCTTCTTCTTTCTCCTTGTGCATTTTTCCCTAATTGCTCTACTATCATACATTTTGGTTTGTAACTGTCTTATTATTATTAGATAATTCAATATATCAGGGAAGAACCGTTTGCTGATGTTGTAAGAACTCGTGGTTCAACCCTTTTGCTACTTTTGTATTTATACTATGATAATATAATGTTATAAATGTGTAAAAAAAAGAGCAATAAAATATGTTTAAATCAATACCGTTATTCCCTGCGGTCTGGAGACCGCAGGGTATTGGTACGCGTTTAACTTTTGAGGCATGGAGGAGCACGTGACCTGTTTTCGGTACATGGAGGAGCATGTGATCTGTAAACCGTACATGATTGGTTAATTGACCTTTTCGAAAACCTAGCTAAATAACGTTTGCCGGTACGTTACGGATTTAATATTCGTTTATGTTTGTTGATTTAATATTGATGTTCGGATGATCCGAAGGCGGAGTTTCTTATGCTAACAGAAATTGTACTTCCGATTTCGCCACAATGAGGTCGCAGATATTTATGCTTATAAAACTCATTTTGGTTGTCTTGACGCCATAATAAGATCTGGAGTCGATATGAAACCCAATTTATTAATGAAATTTCGCTATTTCTTTTTTTATGAAATTTATTTAATTTAGCTTTAAAAAGGATTGTTCTAAATTGAAAGCCCGACAAATCGTTACACAAATTCAGCAAGTTAAAGGATAATAAATAAATGTTGAACAATGTTTAAACAATGATACAGTAATTATATTGATTTTAAAACGGAATTATTACTTCCGAGTTTTTGAAACGCTTTGTGATAAAATAATGCTTTGTACACGAGACACGTGAGAATATAATTCTTTGTACACCAGACAAGTGATTATAAATTATGAAAAAGAAAATTCCCCTCCACCAATTAAAAAGATTAAAATCCGTTTTATCTAAAGAGTATTATATCTTTGTAGTGCTGTTGTAGCAAAATCGAGTAATTTCTTAGTTTCTAAGCATTCCTTTAATATCTCTCTCTCTCTGCGACGCACTTTTCCCTTTTTCATGTGTCCTGCCACAGTTCCCTATGAGTACTAAAAACGCTGCTCTATCTAACATTACAATAGTAAAAATAAGACTTGATATTAAGTCTGTTATTTCAAAGCTATTGGACTTGCGTTTCCGAATTAAAAGGCATTTTTGGGTTTGACTCTCGGCGTTCGATTCACCAACTCGCCTTTCCTGGATAATCAGCCATAACAAATTTCTCCGCAAGTGACTGATGATTTCTAATCAGTGGTGAAAGACATATGACCATGCGACTAATATCCGAGATCAGTTGACATGGAGAAATAACACAGCTTGGCTTGATACATTTTTTCCATATATCCAAAAACCGTCCCAAAATTCAATAAAAGTTGTTTTTTTAAATGATAATAATAGTTACATATATTCTTTTTTATATCCATAAACCTTCCCAAAATTCAATAAAATCTGTTTATTCTTCAAATGATATTAAGTTATAGTTTCCATTTCTCCTTATTATTTTCAACATTATCCGAAAATAAGTTCATTTCAATCGTTACTGAGTATTGACTGAACATTACGCTATGTTGTATTATATCATTATAGTAATTTTTATATAATTTTTATAATATAATATATTAAAATTGAAAAAAAAAATCATACGTGTTATTATTTTAAGTAAAATTAAATAACCAAACACACATATATACCTTTGTTTTTATCCATTTATATTATTAAATAATCGAAATAAATCCTATTTTGTTTGAAACGTTATTCTCGAACTGTTTGTTTAAAGAACCAGGAAAAAGCTTTAAATCAAAACATAATTCTACCACCTGTATAAAATAAACATCGAAATACCATAGCTACCTAGTAACAAAACAAGAATCGATATATAAACTTTATATATTAATTACCACCGTGCCGTTCTCGGATCCCATTACCCCCCGCATTGATACAGACTGAAAGTCAGTTTTCACCGTTTCCAGTCGACTGCTCAGATGAACTAAGTTCTATTGTTTATTTAAAACCTACTTTATCTATAATGCATGACGGCATGGGAAAAGCTATCGGTTTAAATAGAATTTATAAATGATATATGAAGAAAACGTGATACTATCTTTAAAAAAAGCGTGAATTTCAAAACCTTTAACAAAGGTGTACATGTGCTTTGGTTTGTACTTGTTGTTGATATTACGTTCTGCGTATCTATTCATCCAACAGTTTTATGTTGAATTTTAGAGATATGTTAAATAATACGGTCAAATGGTCAGGTATAAAGGTTAAAAGAATATATGATATATTTATATCAGAAAATGTAGAAAAGCTACTTTCAGAATAAATAAATAAATAAATGTATAAATAAATGAATAAATAAATAAATAAATAGAACAGTATTTTGTCGACTCCTTGACAACCATGCTCCTTTGCAAATTAAAAAAAACATGCAAGTACTCACTTACGTTTATTTCACTTCCAGTGAGTTATCTTCACTGCAGTTTTCAATGTTTCTAATGAAAAATCCATGCTAAAAGATTTAATCACGACAAATGACTCAGCAATATTCACTATTTATTTTGCATGTGGCAGAATCACATAAATTTATAATCTAGGAAAAACGCAGATAAACTATACGTAGTTTTAAAGTAAAATTCATAATACGTTCTGATGTAGGTATTCTTGATCGAGTGACAATAGAGGCTAAAACTGTGTCGCGGAGTGCCATAAAAAAGCGTTTAATGGATACGATTGAACGCTCCGTCGACTTCCTTAACAACGGAAGTAACATTCTAATCTAGAATATTTACGAACTATTGCTTCGCAAACAATTACTATTTGCGCACTGCAATATACTGTAAGGCCCTTTTTCCTGATTTCGATCATATGTTTTTAACCAATAGTGAATTCTGCAATGATTTAACCAGAAGCTATCGGGCCATTTCATGCAGAACAAATCAAATACTACTTCAACGGCGGTAAGAAAATCAGTTGAGTCAAGGTCACCAGTACTAGAAATAGATTTTTACACTTTAAATAAAATATAACGACATAATCATAAGAAGCTTCAACAGACAAACAATTCGTAAAAGTTTTCGTAAAAGTCAAATTTTCAAGTTTCGTATTTAATATTCATTTAAGATTACCAGATGTTTGTTAGGTCACAGAAATTATTACTTTTAAACAATCATATTCTAATAATACAATGTCAGCTTTATGAAGTGAAAAGATCGTTTTTTTTAATGGAGTCGATACTTCAGTTACCAAGACCATTGCAAATGTGGTAAACAGACTATCCCATCCAAAATGAACATCAATTTCTGCGTTGTATAAAACAAATTAAAAAAAAACGAGATCGAATGATAAAAAATACGTTTAAGTAAACAGCGAAGTCATTTTCATAGATTGTCCTACAAATTTGCTAGTTTTCTAGTAAACGTAAATTTTCACTTCACTATGGCATGTCACTGTTGTTTCCTCTTGGTAGCCATCGCTGAAATAGTCCCCCTTTTTTAGAGATTTGTTCGGAAAAGCGCGTGCATGAGATCGGCAGGATCGTTTCGTTATTACTTTTTTTTTTAAACTATTATGATCTACATGTATATCATTTTAATTGTATAAAGCAAAACTAAACGAATACCAGATAAAAAGTATCAAATTAAATCCGGGATAGTTGAATTTCATTAGATTTCAACTCTGGGACAGATGGTAGCGTTTGAAGTCAACGACCTTAACCACTCGGCCTCGAACGCCCCAATTAGAATATATTGTGTCCGAAAACTGGTAAAATGCCAAACAGAAAAGCGCACCACTTGGCAAATATTGAACAAAATAATTAAAATTGGGTTTTTCACAATACATTGGGACTGTCTATAATCAATCGAATTTAAACTACAAAATTTTCCCTTTAAAAATTGGGATTGTCTTGCATATTCGATTTTTGGGGGATAATCTTTTTTTCTCCGGGTGGCAGTTTTTGCAACGGTTAAACATTTTCAAAGGGTTTTTGGGAAATTCCGTTTTTTTTTTCGTTTAAAACCCAAATAAAATTTTAAAACAAAACAAAGCTAAAAAAAAAAGGTTTTTGAAATTAAAAAATTTCAAAGTAGGGCTTTGTATTAGGGCAAAATTATAGGATAAATTTTTAAAAGTTTATCAGTTTATTTTTAGTTTTATCAGTTTTTTATATTTCTGTTTTTATAAGTTTTAGATCTTGACCATTGTGTTAAAACGTTTTAATAAAGTACTACAAAGAGTAGAATATTTTTTTATGATCAAGAAATAAAAGTGGGCCCTTCCCAATGTGACTACAGCACCGCTGACCTAGATGCAGCAATTGTCGCGGCCCTCATCAATAAACAAACTTTATTGAATTTAAAAGTTAACATTTGTATAAATGAAACATAGTCAGTGTCGAATAAAAATATATGCCTCACTTATCAATTTTAGGTATTTTCTACCACTAGTAAATTAAAGCTGAAAAAAGTGGCCATAACTACGGTAGTGATCACAAATGCAACACAACAAAACAGACTTGTAGGCCTAATAAGAGTCAACATCCGGTGATATCATAATATTGTATTTTTACAGCTGGCAAAGAAAACTAAATGAGGCGTAGAATGAAGACGTGTGGTCCAGTTAAATATTTTATTAGGACGTTGAACATGTATCATAAAACGTTATTGAAGTGCGCTATTATTTTGTTACTAAAATGACTTGTTGTAATGTATTTTACAGGAGAGAGATTTATATAAGCTTTAAGCTTTTTACTCAAATCCTGGTTGTAATTTATGCAATGAAATTTTGTTTTGAAGTAATAAATATTGTCAAACCAATGTGCACGATTTTACATAAAAATAAATTTTATCGATCGTCTTTTTAAATTATTAATCATTTTATCTTCAATAAAGTTGTTTTTCCGAGTTGTAAAATCGATAACAGACGCTTACTTTATCTGATAATAGCTGCAGCAATACTTAACTTCTTTTTTTTTGGTGTGGGGGAAAAGGGGCGAGAGGGGGTTGGGGTTTACGTCGCACCAACACAGTATAGGTCATATGGCGACTTTCCACCTAAAGTTACTGGTAGAGGAAGACCTAGGCGTCCTTCCGTGTAATATTTCATGCACCGACGTTCCTTAGGTAAGCTGGATAGCTCCTCACATGAAAGAAGAATACAAAGTTCCTGTCTATGTGTATTTTACATAAAATAAAATACATCTTTTGTAATTTTATTACAAATATACGAATAGTCCTTTTGTTCTTTGTAAATATTTAACTGAGTACATGCATATTATAATACTTAAGAATAGATGGCTAAATGAATTGCTAAGAAAAAAAGTAACTGTCGATATCTTCCGGCACTTAATGTTAATAAGTTGTTTCCCTTTGATTCATTGCATGCATAACTCTATTAGAATCAAAGCACAGAAGGCGTTGAATTTGTTTGGGTCTCAGAATGTCAGAAAGGTGAAGGTTGTGAGATTATAAACCACAGTGCCACTAATGCTTTCCAGCGTTTTAATTGTAGTAAATTGTCTATAAGACTAATTGCAACACTGATATTCAATCCCATGTTTATTTGACTTAAACAATTTGAAAAAAAATGAGTTGCCTTAACTAGGATTTGAACTCCAGACCTCTCGCCTTCTAAGCGAGCGCGCAAACCCCTCGGCCACGGTGAATTTTAAATTATGTTAACGGCCTGAAGAAAACCATATTATTCTAAATTAGGGTTTGTAACGACGCTAACTGTTGTTTAACACAGATGTAAATAATCATGGAGCTTACTATAAGTATGTATATCTATAAAGAATAAAACAATATTAGAAATCTTCGACCATTCGGGAATTATTTTGCTTGAAAATTAATGCGCCTGTCATTTGACCAGCTTGACGCAGTGATCTCCCCTGAATTTTTCCCCTGAAGGCACTGAAAGGGAAGTAACCGCTTCAAAAAAAGCGGACTACTTTCGGGATTTGCAAATTAACAGCATAAGAGTCTGAAATTTCGCTACCATTATTTGTTTGGTCTGACGACCCAAACAAATAAAAAATCATATGGCAATATTCCAAGTGACAGTTTCGAACATTTCACGGTAGAATAATCTGTACATTTATCTTATGATACATGATTCCTTCCTCCTCAACAGTCTGTTTTCGTGTAAATTCCAAAATAGGCAAATATGTACAAATGTACTTTGACAAAATTCCAATAGGTCGAACTCAGTATAAGAGGTCTTTGAAGATGTCCCATCCTATATAAAATCAAAGTTCTGAAGGCACTGAATGCGATGGACATGAATGTTGTTTTGTGACAGGAAGATGAAGGTAAGCCTATCCCTTCCGAGGCGTCGCGGAGATGGCATGTGCCAGGTCAAGCTCAAGTCCATTAAAGACTGCACCAGTGATGTCGGCTTGATTTGTCGTGACTAAGTTGGGAGTGTTACAGATAGCTTCCTGGAAGGTCAATGCCTAGGACTGTCAACTCTCCTAATTGGTCGAATTTATCTGGATTCAGTCAAATGATTGCTCATTTCAATTCTAATCTACGAGTATGTATGTGATGTTGCAAAAAAACCGGATTACCACTATAACAATTTATTATTCATCAACTGATGAATCTTGAATATCGTTGTAAAATGCTGTAAATTAGTATATTCACTTGATGTTTGATGAATAAACGGTTTTTTGTTTGCTCTGGGATAACATTTAGTGTACAATATAACATGACTCATTTCTTCAACGCAAGATATATTAGAGAATCTGTTATACGTTTCCATTCGAATTTACATCCATGAGTTCGTTAGCATGTGCGGTTTAGCACTATAATTTGCAGGCAACGATGTTTCTTGATAATTATAATTACATTCTTTGTAAATATCTATTTCACTCCCATTTTCGACGGTTCGTGCTTTTCCCTTTTTAGTTCTTTTTATAGGCATATCTATGTCAGTATAATATGGATTATATATTTGTTTACTCTGATTTGTAACACGTTTTGCATCCACATGATCAGCGGTAGCTTCATTACATAGAACAACAAAGGGTTCAGCATATCTCCTTGACTCACCGCAGTAAAAAGATGTATTGATATTACCTTCAACTAAAGAAGTAGTGTTTCTTGTATTTGAAATTCGGCTAAGCAATCCGCGCTTCTTTTTCTTCCGTTTGACTGACTTTTGTTTCAATGCTGTTATTGACTTGATCTCCTGGCTGTGTTGCGTATTCTTCTCGGTAAAATCATCCCGAGTTTTCAAAACATTTGTTCTATCATTTTGATTCATATTCGGTGTGCTTTTATAATGATTATCTATACCTTTATCAGTGTTCTTAGATATCTGCAACTGTTTTCCTTCATGAACTTCTCGAAAAGAATCTGCCAGATGCATTCTTGTGTTATTCTCATCGGTGTTAGACTCTCCGACTATTTCTGATTGTGTGTTATCTTGCTTAATCAGATGGACCGGGGTCATGCATTTATTACACAATCCTGGTTGCATTTTTACATAACAATCATCCTTTTGTTGTCTCACGGTTAATCTGGCATAGGATATTTGCTGTTTATTTTCATTGTTTTCATAACTTTTCTTCACAGGATCAGCAGAGTTATCTCTAACCGCTTCATTGTATTGATCAGTCTTTCCCTCTTTATAAGACGAATAGGTGTCAAATGTATTGCTCGTAGTAACGGTCAACCTGAACATGGAGAGAGAAAAATATGCTGAAAAGTTAAGGACAAAAACACTGATTGTAATCATCTTCGAACTTTATATGCAAGGTCATATAACTACGGTGTCCCTTTTTTTTTATAGAAAAACATAAATGCAATTGTGTATTATTATTCCATATACATAATCATAAATAAGGGTCTTTCATGAAATAGGTAGAAAATATCCGAATAAAACATTGCCGAATAGGATAATACAAGACATAAACAATAGCCTATTTTTGTTATTTTTTAAAACTTTGCAGGAAAAGTTTGAATCTATATTCTACCATTCAATTTGAACTTCAAATACCGGAATATGATAATTGACAGCCCTACTTAAAACCACAAAGTAGTAAGGCCGGGCGATATACATCCGATAGATAAAAAAATGTTATTTTCTTAATTTTTGGGGATATTTTCATTTTTTCGAAGAAGACAAAATGTCGAAAGCTAAAGAAAAGTGTTTGTTTATATTAAACTGATTATACAAGTTGCCCATGGCTACAGTACCTTGGTCTTATTCTCTTATTGTGAGGCACGTCAAGATCCGGTCGAAGAGATTTGAAAAACCGCCTGTATTCTGCTTCTTTCCTTCTCCTTATCATAATCCGTCGGTGAAAGAGAGCAAACGAAAAGGCGAGAAATAGAAGTAATCCGAATGCGGTAACAGCCGAAAATAACCAACCGTAAGAATACTTGCTCATTACGTCATCTCCATCAAGCGTCATCTATGAATAAGTAAGAAATATATCGTCTTCCTGGAATTGTGAACAGTGTACAAGAATAAAATCCAAATTGTAAACTTTGCACATTGATATTTCTATAAAATAATAGATCTATATACTAACATATTAAATATTAATGTTATGTGAAGTAGCGATTACCGAACGTTTCATTATGTTTTGTAGAGCAATTCCATGTCAGTTTCGTTGTTTACCCAAAATGTAGATCCTAAACTGTTTGCTTTATTTATTAGTGCCAATTCTCGCGATTCTTTAAATTTACAGACATATAGATCCTTACGAAGAGTTTTTGTTATCAACAGTGGGGGGAAGGTGAGAGAGTTCGTAGATCCACCGAATCAATAGTTTGGCATTATTAAACGACTCAAGTGTTAAATACATACCAAACAAAGTCAGCATGAGTTAAAGAAGAAAATGAAAGAAATGTTTACGGGATATGAGGAGAAATGTAATGCAATGTTTCGTCTTTATTGTACAATTGTTAATAAATAGTTAATTTGAGTTTTTAAATTTAGTTATTGCTCAACATTGTTGAAAAGAAATTAAAAAAAAATGTTCTTAGCTCCAGGAATTATCTAATCACTATTCATATTTGCAATGTTGAAATAAACAGAGCATACGAGATGTATACGACGTAGACAACTTAATATATTATTCTTGTTTTATTGACTTTCTAAAATAATTTTCTTTTCAACGAAAGTTGTTTCCCTTTGTAACAAATATCCATTTGCATACTGTTATTAATCAAAAGTTCTTTCCCTTGATAAGATATTGTCAAAAAATTATGTAATATTGGAAACGTTGATAGTATGACATTATAAAATTATGCACTTTGATAATGATTAGCAAAATTTAAAACTACAGTTTATCTTTACAACATGCATCTTTTCTTTTCTTGTTATCATAGTGCATTTATTTCTTAAAAGCTTACACTACCCTTTCTAGTTTGGAAAAACACGTCGATATCTGTAGCTAGTGATTGTCCGTAAATAAATAAATAAATAAATAAAGAAAGAAAGAAAGAAAGAAAGAAAGAAATAAAGAAAGAAAGAAAGAAAGAAAGAAAAAAGTTGAGGGACGCATCGTACGTATAACACCAATGTAAACAGGAGCTTATTATTCTATAAAAAAGTTACAACAAATCAGATAACGATTTTACATACGATTTCGATTTCATATAGACAGATTGAAATCGGTCTTAATATGTAAGTTAAAACATATTCGTTACAACAACATAGTTACACATTTTGAAAGAGGTAAAAACAACTATTTTTACACAAAGGTCAGAAAAATGATAATAATAATTTAAATGGAAATAACTTTTATGTCAGATATTATTTGGCGTTTTAGATAATGAATCCTATCTTAACATGATATTAAAAGAAAAAAAAACATGAAATATAATGATAATTGTATCATACCATATTATTGTTGCTCACTACTTTCGTATTATCCAGAATTAAAGTGTCAACGTTCTCGTGGCTGTTTCGAAACTGTAAACTTTCCTCCTTCAGATCATTTGTTCATAAGAAACTACTTATCTCAATCTATCTTGAATAGCTCTGTCACTTTATTTAACGATTTTTGTAATGATCTGAAAGCTTCGTGATTAAACATCAAACATAACTGGCCATTAAATCTAAGTAAGTTTCTAAATTGCATCTTCTTAAATGTTGGCTACGAATATCGCCGAAGTGTATCGATTGGTAAATAATAAAATATGGAACGCCAATTCTATCTCGTATACAAATATAGTTTATTAAAAACAACACAATGTTATACTAGTATTATGTGCATTTTTATACGTCCGTTATAGAGCACGTAAGATAATGCATGTGGTAAAATAGGTCTAAATATAAGAATATATTACATGTATTCATACACACCTTGTTTTATTTTTTACTTCGCGAAAAACTCTCGCCTAAGGCACGTGTTATATATACAAAAAGCCGTTCATATAGAACCATACAAGTATAACCTGTCAAAAATCTTTGTAACAAATAATATATCCGTAACGTAATGACATCAAAGAGTATACCGATATACAAAACGAATTTTCTTCTGGGGCATTTAATACTTGCAGTTAAAATAGTAAAATATGAAACAGTTAAATAAAGCATGCGCAAAATATGGAAGGTATATGATGTACAAACCAGGAAAGGCGGTTTTGGGCTTCCATACAAAAATAAAATACGCAAATCGTGATTGCGTATAGGAATGAGATGTTCACCGTATTAACAGAAAGCCGATAAAACGTTTTATCAAAGTAGTTCTTTAACTTTTAATCACGTGACCATCAATCACGTGATTTTGCAATGATAGCTTAATTAGTAGTAATCAGCTATTGTCAACAAACTTGAACTAGTCAGCTAATTACGTTTCTATGGTAACATGGAAATGAACTCGAATGACATCTTGATCCTTTGCTGATAGTTCTCCTGCTAATGTTTGCATACTAGATCAAGTGTCGTCTGTTCAATGTCGTCAGCTTCAATATCGTCTGCTTTATTCACGTCTAACTTGACCAAATAAAAGTTACTGACTCTCTGGTCTGGCGCGAAGCATGAAATATGCAAATTTCTACTCATTCACAAACAAAAACAATAGTAAAAGGGACGTGTCTTGTATAGGTAACAAAAATGACCCAAACCCATGGTATGTAAGCTCTTACCTAGGACAGTGTTTATGTATTGTGGGTCTAATGATTCCTAGGACAGTGCATTTTTTGTGGGTCTCAAGATACCTAGGACAGTGTATCTTCCTGTGTGGGTCTAATGATCCTAGGACAGTGTATATTTTTGGTGGGTCTCATGTTACTTAGGACAGTGAATCTTTTTATTGGCAAAAATATACATGTACCTAGGACAACGAATTTTTTGTGTGGGTCTAATGATACCTAGGAGTGGGTCTAATGATACCTAAGACAGAGTACTAGTATCTTCTCTTGTGGGCCTAATGATACCTAGGACAATGTATCATTTTTGTGGGTCTAATGATACCTATGACGATGTATCATTTTTGTAATTCTAGTGATACCTAGGACGATGTATCATTTTTGTGGATCTAATGATACCAAGGACGATGTATCATTTTGTGGATCTAATAATACCTAGGTCAGTGTATCGTTTTGTGGGTCAAATAATACCTAGGAGTAGGACGATGTATCATTTTTGTGGATCTAATTATACATAGATTATACTGAAACACGCAGTTGACGCTTCAAGTTAATTAATAATTGTTTAAATAATTTATCACTGAAAATATACAGATGGCATATTTCAACAAGAGAAAGATCAAAAAAGAAAAAAGACAACAAAGTATTAAAAGATATATTTGATTATTTGAAAAATCATATCACAGAAAAAATAATCACAAATTCGGTCTATGAATAAGACAAATTAATGTAAAACATTATTCTAAATCATCACAATCATCACAACTGTTTCAAATACGATTGTTTCGTTGAGTATCGGTTTATTTCTGTAGATATCATGCCCGCTTTCCTATTTTTAGAACATAATTGTCGCGTGAGAGGATGTTTTCCACTGTGACGTAATCATTGAAAAAATGGCGACTTTTAAAAATGCTTATTATTGATGTATGTTCTCGTCGGATCTGTCAAACTGGACATAACATATATAAAATCCAAATGCAACCAGACCTATCCAGTCTATTGCTGTAAGAAATAAAGCGAAGTTTATGAAATGTTTGTTCCAGTCGTTCACATAAAAGGGACATTCGTCGATCATATCGTTCCTTGAGCCAAATATCCACACACTTCCTGGAATATTACAGAAAAAAACAAATGTTATATTATTTTTTCTTTCGTGATAAAATAAAGACCTTGACAATAAATGGAAGTAATTGATTTTGACAATAAAAGGAAGTAATTGATTTTAACAATATAGGGAAGAAATTAATTTTGACAATAAAGGGAAGTAATTGATTTTGACAATAAAGGGAAGTAATCGATTTTGACAATAAAGGGACGTAATTGATTTTGACAATAAAGTGTAGTACTTGATCCTGACACTTAAATAAAGTCATTGATCTTGCCAATAAGGGGTGGTTGTAAATAATACAATTTTCAACTTTGAAAATTAGACAGGACTGATTTTTAGAATTTGGTTCCCTATAAGATGCTAGAGGCATTTTGTTGTACATGTGGTTTCTTGGTGTATTTTACCTATTTAAGGTATGCTGAATCCGATAAAGGTGGATACCAAATTGAAAAACTTGATCTTGACCATTGAAATGGCCATTTAAAATGACCACTAAAATGGCCGCCAAATTTCTTTATCATAAATGGATGATATATCAAATAAAACTTTTAAGGAAAGGAAAAACCTTAAATTTGTCACAAAGCATGTTTAGGTAAAAACAAATTAGAAACAGAATTAAAAAAACAAAACAATCCAATATGGCCGAAAAATCCAAGATGGCGGACATTTTTCTATGGGCCAAAATAATAGTAATATAGAAGTAATATTAGTGCTGAAAATTTTAAGGTTTACACAACTTTTCCCTGCCCTATCTGCTAGATAAGAGTTTCAGTATTTTTTCTGGGGCCTATGCAGCCTCGATTTTTGAGGGGGGTACATTTGTAAAAAGTGGCATGCAAAATATACCTTTCTCTGCACTCTTGGGGGTTTTTTGTTACCGGCCGTTTTGTGTTACGGGTTTAACAGTCCTCGTCTTGTTATTCTGTCATCAGTCCTCGTCTATGTTACTCTGTCATCAGTCCTCGTCTATGTTATTCCGTCCATCAGTCCTCGTCTATGTTATTCTGTCATCAGTCCTCGTCTATGTTATTTTGTCATCAGTCCTCGTCTCATCAGTCCTCGTCTATGTTAATCTGTCATCAGTCCTCGTCTATGTTATTCTCGTCTATGTTATTCTGTCATCAGTCCTCGTCTATGTTATTCTGTCATCGGTCCTCGTCTATGTTATTCTGTCATCAGTCCTCGTCTCATCAGTCCTCGTCTATGTTATTCTGTCATCAGTCCTCGTCCATGTTAGTCTGTCATCAGTCCTCGTCTATGTTATTCTGTCATGAGTTCTCGTCTCATCAGTCCTCGTCTATGTTATTCTGTCATCAGTCCTCGTCTATGTTATTCTGTCATCAGTCCTCGTCTATGTTAGTCTGTCATCAGTCCTCGTCTATGTTATTCTGTCATCCGTTCACGTCTATGTTATTCTGTCATCGGTTCTCGTCCATGTTAGTCTGTCATCCGTCCCCGTCTATGTTATTCTGTCATCAGTTCTCGTCTCATCAGTTGTCGTCTATGTTATTCTGTCATCCGTCCTCGTCTATGTTATTCTGTTATCCGTCCACGTCTATGTTATTCTGTCATCGGTTCTCGTCTATGTTATTCTGTCATCGGTCCTCCTCTCTATTATCAATCCTTGTCTTCGTTGTCTTGTCAGTACTTCTGTTATCGGTCCCTATCTCAGTTCTTCTGTTATCGGTCGACGTCTCTTTGTCAGTTCTTGTCTCCGTTCTTCCTTCTGTTATCGGTCGTCGACTTCGGTCTTGTACTTTCGGTACTTGTTTCCTGTTTCGTTTAGGTCTTTTCTTGTATCTATCGTTGCCGTCATTCTGTGTCGATGTCCTGGTTTTTTCAGTCTTGTAGTCGTTTATTCGATCAGTGGAGTAGCGGGGGATCGAACTCACGACCCCTTGATTTGTAGGCAGACAGTGTTACCACTGCACCATAGCGCCCGCTCTGAATAATAACCATTTTTGAAAGTCCTTTATACATTAAATACCATTTCAATGGCTAACAAAGGGTGTATTACAATTATATTTTAACACCTCTACTATGTAGCCAACCCATGTGACTTTTATATATGGTCAAAGAAAATATTACTCGATTTATTAAAAGTAATATTTTTATAGACTTAGTTTATTGTTAAATATAAGTCAAGTAAACAAAACATAAAAAGTGATTTTTTCAATCTTAGTTTAATACCTTAACGCGCTAGAGAAACAGTACTGTATGTAACTGTTAATTGAGCCATAAGGCTTATAATCGTTATATTTGGTGGCCAATCTCATTAAAATCAGATCATATTGAATAATCATTGGATTTTGACAAGAATAATTAATTGCATCATATTGTATCATAGTTTTAATGACCTATTTTAGTACTTTTAAACGGCCATTTTGAATTGACCTTTTTGAAGGTCAAGGTCAATTTAATTTTCTTGGTATCCACCCTCATCGTCTTCAGCATACCCATATTAGGTTAAAACACTCGAGATATTACCTGTTTTATCAAATGCCTCGAGCATTCATATTTTTTTAAAATCAGTCCTGTCTAAATTGTGAAATGTAGAATGTCATAAAAACATCTTAGACAAAAATAACCGTTAATTTATTTATTATGTTTTAGTTTAGTCTTTTTTTTGCTTTTCTGTCAATGGAATAATACCATTTACGGTTTGCTCATAATGAGAAGTTCTTTAAACAACAAATACCAGAGGTCCACAAATGTACATTGCAAACGTAAACATAGTTTTAACTTCCATTAAAACAAAAAGTTTTTTGGAGTGATATTTTTCTAGTTCATGTGTCTGCCTGTAACAGGTTGTGGGTCCGAGCACGTCTTGGATCGCAACTATGCATCATTCTATGACAAAAGTAATAGTAATTTCCAGGTAGCGGACTTTTTTTTCAAAAAATATGAATGCATTTTTAAAATCGAGTTTAAATCAATATCTAATAAAAACAAACTTTTTAGTATTTTTTTTGAAATTAAACTGATTTAAAGGGACATGACAGGACTGAAATATTTTTTCGAGATAAATGTTCCATTTGTTATTGCGATAGACCATTAACTTGTGTCCGAAAAAATTCAGATGAATCGCTCACTACTTTTTTCCTGAATAATAATTTAATTTTGAAAAAAATGACCCAACGCTTTCTACCCAAATCGAGCGCACAAAATAGGATTTTTAATTTATTTTTGAGTACATTTCTTAATCATCTTTTGCATATTTTCCTGTTCTAAGTGCCCTGGCTCTTTTATATAAGAAATTCAAATTTTATGAATTTAGGTATTTGGACATCAGCCGTATTCCATTTCCTTTAATGTCACATTTTTAAAATAAAAAGTCCTATATGCTTCGCTATGATTAGAACGGACGGGGCTTTTAATAGAAACACTATATCGTTAACTTACCAACTATCAGCCAAATAAGCGAAAATAAGGACTCTAAGACGAGGTATACTTCAACGAAATGATTGTCCATGGCATTTGTCAATTGCTTCTTACATCCCAGTAGTAACAGCATGAACCAAAATATGAATCCAAGAATTGATTTCACGAACAAGTACTCGGCTACTCTTCTTTCATCTGGACAATCAGATGTCAACTTCGCAGCGCCTGTAAAATTTATGTACATGTCCTTTAAAAATGCTATTTCTGCTTTTCCGGAGATTTACGGAAAAGGTCGAATTGAGCTGAAATAAGAATATTGTATTTGCAAAAATTTCTACCGTTACAAATTACATGTGCTGTTTATATTCTATATTACAAAATATGAAACGTAACTTATCACTTTCTTTACTTAATGGACTTATTATGGAAGTGTAGTCTTGGTCGCTTATATAAACATTGAAAGTCACGGGAATTGACGAACTTTGCCGAATTTTAACGAGTTTAAAATGTATCAAACTGAGCATTACATACATCTGTCTTTTTTTAGACATATTTTTGTTTGAGGGCATTGTGACAGAGTAAAAATTTGGAAAAGTTAATTCTTTAAACATATCATCATTTGTGTCCTCACACATAGCCGCATAGAGAGAGTAAACCGTTCGTAACGGTACAAAGAAATCCGTTCCGTGTTATATTCATAAATGATTTAAACATGTTACTCACCTGCAACAAATCTAGAAAATGTTATGACCAGGAAAATAAACGTAGTTATAAGCATAACTGGAAAACAACAAAAAATACAAGTTAAACAACATGTAAAGATAACACAGTGTATGTAATATATTGTATGAGATTTAGTTTCATTGAAAATAGTGATCATAATATACAGTCAATATATATTAAGTAGCAAAATTCTTCCTGCAGTATTTCGCGACATCTTCGTATAATGACGTTGCACTATTATGATGTAATAAGATGATTTTTTAATGGTACCAACTCTGCATCATTAACATTTTGTAGCTACTTTACCCTTCAAAGATTTCTTTTTGATAGTTTCAAATTGATACACAATGTCATGCTTTTATTTATTAAATTTTAAATGAATTTCCACTACTGTACTCCATGTTTCACTTTTTCCCAAAACCATTTGCATTTGAGAACGCTGTGAACAAAACAAATTTTAAATAGTTTAACCCATTTTAATCTTAAAGGCACTTTTTTTCCTGAAAAAATACATTTTTCATAAAATTTTCTTTAGAAATTCAAACTTTGTTTTTTTTATTTTTTGTTTAAGGAAATTTAGATCTTTTTATAATGTTTAACGGGTGAGGAAAATAGGCTAAAATTTCAGTAAAGTATTGAAAAGGGTTTAGAAAAATGCAAATAAAAGTGGGTTTTTTTGACTTCCTTTAAAAAAATACAATTCTCTTTTATTATCCCAAATTTTTAAAACAAAAGCAAAAAAAGAAAAAGGTAGTTAAATCTTTATGACAAATAAAGTTTTTTGGGAAAACTGGGGACAAAATAAAAAATTTTAAAAAATTTTTTGGGAAAATAACATGATAGCATTTCTGAGGCATAATGGGCCTTTAAACATAAAAATAAAGCATATGTAAATAGCAGAGCCCATTTAACTTCAATCAATGATTGAATCAAAACGTCATATGATTATCTATACACGTATAATGGGTGCCTTGAAACATATTTTAGGAGATTTAAAATTCAGACTTACAATTCTTGTATTTATTGATAAAATTACCAATCACTTTCCTGATTCCTTCTCTGGTCAATTCTGGAAATAAAATAAGTTTATTACTATGCTTTTCAGTGATTTATAGAAATATATCAGTGAAATATAAAACTGATATTTCACTGTTTGAAACAGTGAAATTATCAATTTGATATTTTTCACTGTTTTGAATTTAAGCCCGTTACGTTGTTTCAGTAAAATACCAGCGTGCATAGTACTGGAAACCAACTTAATGACGTGACGTCGATTTTTATTTGGCGCGTTTTTCATTCACTTCTTTTTAAACGTTTCTTTGCATACAATAAAAAAGACAATTTGTTTATTTTAGTGTAAGATCGAAATATCTTTCACCTCGTTAACACCAAAAATTCATATATCACTCGTGGCTGCCCCACTCGTGAAATATACCTTTTGGTGCTCACTCGGTGAAATATATTCCGATCTTACACTGAACTAAACAAATATCCTCTATTTAATTTACAAAAAGTAAGTTTCCTTGTCTTTAAAACACTTTTTGTTTTCCGACCGTTGTTTTGAATTTCCAGTCATTATAACACTTTATGAAGAAATTAATTTTGCTTTTGCTTTTATAATACATATCGGTCGAAGTAGGAATCAATATATTCTGTGTCAAATACATATTTCGTCATTTTATTAAAATGCATTTAAGAGCAAATTTTGAATTTTTCTTTCAATTATGTTACTTTCATGTAGTCAACGAATGTAAGTGGTATTTATGTATCATGCTATTTTAATACATTATTAATTACACATGTATTATGAAACAAATGAAATCATTTATTTATTTATTTAAATTCAAATTATTAAATGCACGGACGGACGAATGGAAAGACGGAAGGAAGGCGAAAAGCATATTCTTGAAAAATTACGGACAAAACAAATTGGAATAAGTCGTTTGTTATTACCCATTATTTCGATGTATATAAATGCTAGAAGTATAACATATACTTACTAAAATATTTTATAGAAACAGTTTTGCACTTTTGGAAATCATCCTCTTCGTTTTCGCTCGGTATCACTCTCGGTTCCTAGTGTAACAAAAGAACGTGTTTAGTGCAAAACAACTGGCCCCGAACAAATTCTGTCTACAAAGAACACATGTAATTTTGGCTAAATAAGGTCAGGTCATTAGGCCCAGCGCCATACTAAGACTCCTGTAGAACTGGAAGGTCTATTCAGAGGCACTTCATGGCTCCGTGAAATCAATGTTATCTCTGTTTTTGGACGGATAAAGGTCATATTGCAATACCATACCGCATTTAAAACGACAACAGATTTTCCAGGGATCGTGGGTGCGAGCCCACTGCGGTCAGGACACTGTTTTCCTCAAATTAACCCCCAGGGTCTAACGAACGACCGCCGATAATTATACAATCACTTAATCTATCATCAAAAATCCGAGCTAAAAAAATAAATAGATAAATACTAAATAAGATAACCTTAATTTAAATGAACGCATTATTTTAAAAAAAAATGAAGGTGTCCTGACAACTGCTGGTTGTGTTGTGGTCCGCTGTACCAGTGGTCAATTTATTCTAAGGTAGTGCAGCTTTGGGAATGAAGGAGGGAACCATGCTCCAGGTGGTAGGTTCCCTGGAGGTTGTGAAGGTTGTTGATATTGTGCAGGTTGGCTTGGTATTGGTTGGTGCGGCTGTGACGGAGGATAAACGGGCGGAAGTCTTGTCGGTGGAGGATCTAAGGGTGGAGCGCTTGGGTGAAGTGGTTGGTTCGAGCCTGTAAAAGAAACAAGTATTAATGTTGATGTTTTAATTAATAAACAAGAAAAATTCATATTAAAAACCGTGATAAATGTAATGAAACAACGGCGGCTACTTCGGGAATTACAGTGCCCCGTTCTCGCTACTTGAATTTCTATTTTTTATGAACAGAAAAAGCACTTAGATTTGTTATGCATGTTTGCCCATCACAGATCACATGCGAGTCATGTTCAAAAGTTCATGAACAACTAACTAACTAACTAACTAACTAACTAACTAACTAACTAACTAACTAACTAACTAACTAACTAACTAACTAACTAACTAACTAACTAACTAACTAACTAACTAACTAACTAACTAACTAACTAACTAACCAACTAACCAACCAACCAACCAACCAACCAACTAACTAACTAGCTTGGATACCTAACTAAGTAACTTGGATATCAAACTAACTAACTTGGATACAAGCGGGATTTTACAGCTGTAATCAATTAATAAAGGGACAAAATACATACTGTAAGATATAGATAGGACTTTAGAGGTTGTTCCCCCTTTTCACGGACTCTATAGCTGCCGCGCTTCTGTAATATAATGCAATAAGCGTTGTCAATAAATAATGCGGCAGCATGTTATATTATAAACAATCAATTTTAAATGGGGATGATCTCACTCATACCTGGAGCATTTGCTGGCACGTTAACTGTTGGAACATTTGCTGGCAAGTTATCTGTTGGAACATTTGGCGGCTGGGATGCCGACAGAAGTCTTTGCATAGTAATGTTGATAGGGAATCCATTGGGAGGAACGGGGTGGACTGCCCGACATTCTGGGCAAGGCACACTTCCCCTGAAACCAAATAAAAAAATTATTGACAAACAACAAGAATTCATATAATTACTTATTATGTAATTACGTGTAAAATAGAACAAATTATTAATAATACATTCAGTTGGACACAGACGGATTTGTATCGGGTGTGCTGTGATAAAATAAGGTTAAATCATGAAGGAGTCTATAAAAACCGATTGAGGATACACAAAAGTTATATTCTATAACAACAATGTCTGTCATTTTATAGTTTTGTTCGTGTATAAAATATAAATGTTTGTAATGTTCACGTAGGGTATTCCTGTAAATGAATCTCTTACAAAAACATTCATTTTCACGTTGATTTTATCATGTAGTTTTTGTTCTAAGATTAGCTGGCGTAGTTTCTATGTTTGGTAAACTTTTACTGCTCCCTATAACAAACATGTATATGGTCGCATATTTCTATAGGTTTTGTGTAAACACGATAAATAAAAGATATCTTTTAGCCTAACAAGATATTTTTATGTGAGATGGGTAAATAACGAATTATCAAATAGCCCATTCTTTCGTTTAACCACGGATCTTTAGTATAAATCTGTGATTTAACATAGCACATAACATAACTTTTCAATGAACACAGCGTAACTCAAATATTTACTTTAACGCATTTTATGAATGAAATTGCCGTGTTTTTCGGTATTTTTCTTAAATCATACACGTGTTAATACACATTTTAAGAGGCAGATTAAACTAAAAAGAACCATTAAAACAAAAGATCAAAAATGCTCGTCTGGTTTATTAACAGTTCGATGACCTCTTACTGGAGCTATAAGTAAATAAACTTTGATCAATAAATTTGATATCGTATGAATCATCGTGTTATAAAGTATAGGTAGCGGTAGTGTCAACTTTTCAGGTAGAAGTTCGGGTATTTCCGCAACGCACACCCGTAACATATTTTGTAATACAATAGCCCAGTGATAGATAAAAAGATATAATCGGGTTTACTTCATTTACATACGGGTATTAGTTTTAAGTATTGGTTATTTCTAAATGCAAAATGTGTCAACTGAACTTTAAAAATGCACCATTGTTATAGACTTGGCCGTTCAGAAAAAACCCATATCGGGTTAACCTATCTATCAATATATTGAAATCTCTAGACTAGGACTCCCGTTTTGAATAATATCTAATCAATACTAATTTATAAATAGAGAGACGCACGTAATCCATTAAAGTAAATAAAAATCTTTATATAGACGCTCACTGAATGAATTCATTAAAATTGATATCTTTCCTTTCAAAACGACACCATGTTGATCTTTATTTACACAATACCTAAATATTTAATTAGAAATTATAACTGCAACTGCTGGTTATATTAATTCTTCCAGTCACGTGTGAACATGTAAATACGCCTTAACAAAACTTGTATGAATCCAATGAATAATAATTGTTAAGCGGCCTAAATATAAATTGTTCAAAGTTTAAACTTACCTTTGTGTAATGTTTATAAGACAAGCAGCACAAAATGTATGTTGACATGGCAACACTTTCGGTGTATCAAACCTGTCCAGACAAATCGGGCATTCTAGTTCCTGTTCCAATCGTTGTGACGTCATTTTCAAAAACAACAACCAACAAAAAATGTCTGATTTACATCCAATATATCTCTACAATTTAGTTGTATGTCCTAAATTTTCAATTCCAATGTAAATTATAAACAGTAATACAATTATGTTAATACCCAAGTTTCAGATAAATGTGAATGTTTTTTGTTAAATCTTTACTCCGAGAAAGCAGATAAATGTAAATAGTGTCAAATGAATTGTATAGTCGGACGAGTTCGACTGGTTTTGATAATCGATCAATCGGTTTATAATAAACACTACAATCTATGGCATTTCTAAAGTTTAACAATAGCGCAAGAGTAATTAAAATTGGTAATACGATCAATCCGTTTAATGTATTAATACAAAGAGGAAGTAAATTTTTTTACGATGAAAAAAAAATCTTTACAAAAACTGCACAAAACCAGACTATGTTTAATTCAGTCAAACGGTCAGAATCAAAGGGTAATACACAGATGAATTATTGATATGTTAGCAGAAAACTTATGAACATTGACGAATACGGCACTTGAAAATCAGAATAAAGTGATTCCCAAGAAGTATTAATCACAACAAAATTTACATGAAAATTGCAGACTCGCTTTGATTGAGTCTGTACATGAGGGATAATTAAAAAGTGCAACATCCCAAACGCGCCATAGCACCGGCTTGAGGGGTACTAAATTTTCAACATTAAAATGTGCTGGAATCAATGAAGTCTACATCTAAGGGCCATGCTAACAAACTGCTGACCCTGTTAAGAATTTGGATTTAAAATGACGACAATTTTCTATGGGCGCAATATCTCACAAAACATACGTTTTCTAGTGAAATTATTTCAACTTATGCTCCATGTTGTCATTTATTTGCCAAAACCTGGCCAAGCGGCGGCTTGAAAGGCAGGCCCTTTGCTTGGCGACAACATCTGTTATCAGAACTACCTCCTTCATTATTATCACTGGTTACTTACGTTTGAAATGGTACCGATTGCCTGCCCTACAGTGTTCTTCTTTAGGCGCAAAATTTATATATTTTGCCTAAAATCGGAGAAAATGATCACAACTGTGTTTTTCAAAATCAAACATGTTTGGCATGTCTGGTGACATGTCCGGGTCTGTACCCAATAGCGTAAGCTACATTTTATGCCTGGCGGACTGATGGATCCTCATTAAACATACTAAATATAAATAATACAAGAACTGGAAACAGAGTCAACAACGTCCACCATCTAAATGAAGTTTTACATGAAGAACAAACTTTTAAAGTGCAAAATCTTGATCAATGCTGGATCTGCAATTGCAACAACAAAATAAATAGAATGAAATAATTCCCGTGTTATGTGTCAACAGAAATACATTTGTATAGTAACTGTTGTTATCTCTAATTTAAAACCACAAAATGTGACAAATACACGATCAATACCGAGTATGGTCTGTTACAGGGTACATTTCGTGTCTGGTCCGTAACTTTTTCATTGATCAAGCTGCTTGGACCTGACTTGGCAATACTCTCTGTAACAGACAATGTTAAGCTTTGACCTCCAAGTGTGATCTTGTCCTTTGAGGTAGGGGAAATGTTGTCTTATTATTGTAAGCATTTGTGCCAAGTTATTTCAAAATTCCTTGATTGATATAAACGCTATGGACTGGACACAAAATATGACATATACCAGACCATGTCAATATTTGATCTCCAAGAGCGATCCTGACCTTGAGGGTATGGGTCCGGGTGTTGTCCCGTTATTGTGAAATTTTGTGCCAATTCATTTGAAAATCCCTTGAAAGTTATTTCAAAATCTCCTGAGCGATGAAAATAAATATGGACCGGCAAGACCGTGATAAACTTTGTCCTTCAAGTTTGACATTGACCTTTAAACTAGGCGTCTGGGTGTTGCGAACGACACATCGTCTCATTATTATAACAATTATTCCAAGTATTTTCAAAATCCCTTCATGGATGAGAAAAGTTATGGACCAGACACGACATATACCCTCCAACAGACAATGTTGACCTTAAATTACAACCTTGACCTTGGAGGTAGGGGTATGGATGTCAGGCATGACACATCGTCTTATTATAATAAACATTTGTGCCAAGCTATTTCAAATTCATTGATGAATGGCTTAGTAATGGACCTGACACGGAAGTGTGACTGACGGACAGACGGATGAACGGACGTCCATTTCTACATTCCCCCTTTTTTTCTTCTAAAAGACGGAGGACAAAAAAGGAAAAAAAATATGACCAGATGATATAAATTTATTTTCTTCGCTAGATATTTTCACATTTCTAACTAAATCATGCAAAGTTTAAGAAAATTCTGTCCATTAGTTTGAATATTTATTCTTTGCACGTGTAAAAAATATATAATGTACAGAAAATCAAGATAACACATCTATACGTTTCGACTTCAATATGTTTTCATTGGGTTGGGTTTCATGTCGAACCAACAGAGTATAGATCACATGGCTTTACAGGTAAAGGAAGAACTCAAATGCCCTTCCGTGCCATTCAGACTCGAATGGGCACCTGAGTAGAACACCAACGTTCCGTAAACTAGCTGGATATCTTCCTTACATGAGGGATTCCAAAGTCCCTGTTGAGATTTGAACCCACATTGATGAGGGACCTTTGCAACGATAATTTCTGAACTGTTTGAAACATACTGCAGTAATATCGTTAAACTCACAATTATGTGATGATTGTCAAATGAATCAAATCAGCAGATTATAATGATATCTTTATTTTAAGGCCCACTATGCCTCAGAAATGTTATCAGTTTATTTTCTAAAAAATGTTTTATTTTTGGTCTCTTGTTAGTTTCCAAAAATATTCATTTGTCATAAAAATGAATTATCTTTTGCTTTTGTAGGTCTGTTAGCATTTTTTATTGGTATAATTGTAGTGAATTAGTAATTTGTATGGAAGTCAAAGATTAATACAAAGAGGAAGTAAATTTTTTTTACGATAAAAAAAAAATCTTTACAAAAACTGCACAAAACAAGTCTATGTTAAATTTCAGTCAAACGGTCTGAATCAAAGGGTAATACACAGAAATTTTTTTTATGTGAGCAGAAAACTAATGAACATTGACGAATACGGCACTTTAAAATCAGAATAAATTGATTCCCCGGAAGCATTGATTACAACAAAATTTACATGAAAATTGTAGACTCGCTTTGATTGAGTCTCTACATGAGGGATAATTAAAAAGTGCAACATCCCAAACGCAATATAGCACTTGCTTGAGGGATACTAAATTTTCAACACTTAAATGTGCTGAAATCAATGAAGTCTACATCTAAGGGTCTTGCTAACAAAATGCTGACCCTATTGAAAATGACGACAATTTTCTATGGGATGAAGAAGTTCTACTTTGTTTACATTTTGCTACATTAACGACACATTACTGTATGTATAGGACTACCTTCTTTACTTGTGTAACATCTAACATGCTATGAATCCTTGACCCAAACATTATAAAGTTCACGTTTGATACTTATATTATAACGAATACAAATAAATGGATATTTGAGGCATAATGTGCCTTTAAAAGAAAGTAACACATGAAGATATACCTATACTATTGTAAAAAGCAAATAATCTATGTTATAATTGATATATAAAACACATACACAAAAAACAACACAACATCATTAAACAATAGCGGCAATTCAATTGTGTCATTAATTGTGTGTAGTAAACTTAATTTGTTTTGAAATAACACCCCTTTTAGATACAAAGTCATAGAATTTTTATTTACAAATTATTTACCAACTAAACATGCATTATATGAGGGTCAATTTGGTAGGTAGTTTGATATTCGAATAAACAACTACCTACTAGATGGTAGTTGGGTATTCGCGCGAATAACAAACCGAGTCCCCTGATAGACACAGGGAGACATAGGGTGTTTCAATGTTAAAGAACACATATCTTGCTATAAATGTATATCCGTTATATTAAAGTACTTTCTGTTTTGTGGGGAAACATGCAAAGTTCGAATTACCAACTACCTTCTTGTAGGTAGTTGGGGATTCGCGCGAATAACCAACCAGCTTGGTACCATACTTTATTCTTTGTTTAAAAATGTATGATATGTTCGTTTCAACATTTCATGCTGGTGATAGTGGATTGAGTTACCAACTACCAGCTGTTAAATATTTGAGAACTACTAATAACCAACTACCAGCTAGTAGGCAGTTGGTTATTCAAATATCCAACTACCAGCTACCTCATGATAATTATAATCAGCACATTATTTACAGATGTTGGTAAATGTTCTTCAACGAAAATCAGACGGTTGGTTGAACTTCCGTACGGTCCCAATAAACATAACCACAGTATAAAACAAATACAAGAACACAAAACCAATCAAGTCCGACAAGAAATGCAGCAAAATTGATAAAATGGTAGTCCCAGTCATCTACACGAAATGGACATTCGTCAATCATATCATTCCGGGCACCAAATGTCCACTTACTTCCTGGAATATCAAAAGCATATTAAACGAATTAGACCTTCCTAGTATGAACAATTATGAATTAACAATCGAATGAGCGGACGGACGGACGAACGAAAAAACAAAATAAATATAATTATAATTGGAATGAATAAATGAATGAATGAATGAATGAATGAATGAATGAATGAATGAATGAATAAATAAATAAATAAATAAATAAATAAATTAATGAATGAATGAATGTACGAATATTAAATGAGTGAGTAAGTAAGGAAGTGAGTGATTGTTTAAAAACTTAAGAGCCAATAGATGCTTTTCATGAAGCAATTATTACCTCCCCTGGCCGCTATTTTGAGGGTCATTCCCAATATAAATTATTTTATGCCTCTGATAATTCTAACATTTGCATGAAAACTGAGGGAAAAATCTTTTTCTACGTGTAAAAAGCCTTAAAGGTGAAATATAAAAGTTGCAGTTCCTGCAATTGCAACGATCTCAAACGACAATGCGAAACGACATTTTCCTAATGTCATATCGTATGTCGCATGTCGCGGTTTTGTTTGAGGGTCGACGCGCGACAATTGCAAACGACATGCAACAATCTCAATGACGCTCGACAATGCGAAGCGACATTTGAAATAATATCGTATCGCATATCCCCCTTTCTACTCTTGGAAGGTAAAAAATATCCTCTTCACCGCCTGTTTCCCCGGTAGACGGGCGACATGCGAAATGTCGCTTCGCATTGTCGTTTGAGATTGTCGCGTGTCGTTAGATAATGTCGCCGTCGCATTGGCAGGGTCGACACAAGACAACACGAGGTGACATCGCGACGAAATGAAGTGACATAGCGACAATGCGATACGACACTGGACAATGCGAAGCAACATCGCGATATATCACGATTTTATAGGCGACATTTTCAAGAGGATATCACGACATTGTTCAATGTTGAATGAAATTGTTGCCGTAGTTTGCGATTGTCGCTTTGTAATATCGCTATGTCATTTCGCGTTGTCTCAATTACATGTTTTAAGCAACCGCAGACAATTATATATAGTTGGGCTTCCCTCAAGAAGCGGCTAAGTAATTTATATCATTTAATACCATAAACAACAAGTATGTAACCGGGATACCATTCACAGCCATGCATCCGAAATGTATGATCTTTTTATACATAAAAAATCAACCTATTACTACCGATCTCTTCAACATATTTGCACGTGCCCTGCGGGTTCGAGCGAAAGAAGTTCGACAATATATTTCTGTTATCAATAACAGCAAATGTCTTTGACATATAACGAATATTTTATCTATCGAACCAATGTAAAACTTTTCTTGTTTCTCTTATACTAAACGAGTACTGGCCGCCAAAGTAACAAAAAACTATTCATTTGCACGAGGTCGACATCGATCTTGGCTACGCAGAAAATACAAAGTTACTGTTGCAATCGTTAGAGATAATATAGTTCGATAGATAGGTAGATAATTTGACTACATATTGCATAAATCCTTTTTATTAATGCGGTATCTTTTAAAAACCTGCGAGGCGATAACCCTGATTGGGCACAGACACCTTTTTATGGGAGTTGTTACCCTTGTTTATATATTAGTATAGTGTAATGGAATGGACTTAGAATTAATTTCTGTGACTTAGGATAAATGTTTTCTACCATCAAACAAATATTTTTAAGAACATTCAATGAGCCGTACCCCTTTGTTTCATTTCGAAAACAACCCATTATCCATATCGGAATTATGGCGGCGACAGCTTGGTAGTATACCACAATAGTTATTGCCACAGCCTCGAATGGGAAGGTTAGAATGATGAATATTCTGAAATTAATGGTTCCTTGTCTTTAACCTGTCTTTTCAGCCTCAAATAATATGTTGTGGTTTCTAATATGAATTTATGTTAGAAAATGTGGCTAGAATTAACATGTCGTAAATTTTCTTTTTTATCATATGAATTTTTTCACTTTCTTATATGTTGTGCAGTTTTGGAGACGAATTGTCCACGTGACTTTTATGGTAACGCGTACAGACAATATGGCGACCTAAACACCTCGCTTCAAACGTGTTTTTTAGGTAATTCTTTATTATGTTCCTTTAATTTACATACGAGACCTGTTGCAGCCTACGCGGAATAAAGAATTGCTGTCGCTTATACATGTACCTTATTTTCCACCTCTGCACACCTTATTGTTTTTACAAACACTCAAATATTCAACAGGAAATTTCAATGTTGTCAATTTTTTTGCTGGGTATCATTCACGCAAATATGTATTTTTTGAGAAATTGATGAAACAACGTGTTAACAAGGAGAAAATGTTAATAAAATGTCTTTATTTGAAAAAATAATTATTACTCATGTTGAATGTTGACTGGTCATTTTCTTTTCCAGTCAACGAGGATAAAATTATTTGGGTAACGGGCACGGGTACTTTTTATTGTTGAAAACTCCCACAAAATATTTTAATTGCAAGCAATAGCTTTGCTGGTTATAGCCTAGATATTTATTTAGCAAAATCATGATTGATACATTTATAATATCGGGGAATTTTAAATAATATTAAAAATACACGTACCGTCAAAGGGTCCTGGATATAATTAAGCACCTTTAGGTAGCAAAATACATACTAAATGAAATTTCGATATACATGTTGTCATGTAAATGAATTAATCGCAGAAATTAAAACAAAGTCTCAAATATTAGTAGGACTTCTTGTATTTCAAATTTAGCACAATTACAGTTGTCATTGTTTCATATTTTACAGATATGGAATGTTCCAGCTCGATATTGTTTGTGACAAATGTAGGACACGGACATGTCTTAATGACCACATAAACAGGCTTCTTGGCACTGGAATTAAAATTATATATGTTGTGGTAAAACATTTTACAGCCGAGCAAATCGGAAACGTCACCGGAATGGCGTTTTACTGTTAGTATTAAGATTTTAAAGACATTCAAATCATTTTATCACATAGTTTGTAAAATAAAATACTCATTCTAATATTCTGTTGGTTATTTTCTTTTTTGCTTTAGGTAAAGAAAAAATATTGTTTTGAGACATTGTGTTGAATACCAATAAGATACACGCAGTACCGCGTAGCCTATTATTTCAGCCTATTTCAGGGGTCCTTAGTTTCACGTCTGTCAAGGCTGGATAGAATGGTAGGATACTACATCACCGTTCACCTGCAAATGCACCTGGCTGTTTTGTTTTGGTTTTCTTTTTTTGTTTTTTTTGTCGACTCGAAGATAAAATTTTTTTTTTATTCTAAGAAATCGTTAGAATATAAAAAATAATGTAGCGCGCCAAAGATTGGCTTGATATAATTAAAAACAAACGTTTAAAAACCTACTGTCTGATTTTAGAGGACTAAACTACTCATGTCAGTCTTTGGTGCGCTACATTACTTTTTGATGTTCGAACGAGTCGGCGGGATGTTAACATCCGATTGCGAGCATTTTACAGGTGCGTAATGACGTAGTATTCTACCGTTGGTACATGTATGATTTGGTGTCGGCCCACAGAAATTTCGTACTCTTTGTTCTATAGTTAATCAGCTTTATTCTGGATTCCACTTTTTTTTGATGAATTATATACTGTCTTAATATTTAAACATCAACACTATCTCAGTCAAATGAGGCCCGATTTATAACATGTTCACCATCTTCTTTTACTAATCATCTACTCTTTTGTAACACTGTTGAATTTCACCACTTTAGAAACACCACCTGACTGCTGGCGGTAGTACATCTTTAATCCTTCCGCCAACAAATGAGGTCCTGGAGGAATACACAAACACTACTTTTTAGAAAAACTACGCAGATGTAATAAATACACTTTAAATATGACATATCAAACTAGAGATGACTTAAATTGGGCCACTTTAGAATTGAAAAGAACTACTTTCTAGGACTGGGATTAATTCCGTTCCGGGGTGAGTGAGATCATTTATCCTTGCGTTAATGTTGCATAGGACGGAAAATAAAACATGCATTAACGGATAAAATCACGCGAGCTGAGCCTTTCTATAATGGTTGACCCAGGGCGCCATGTATAATAGCCGGCTGCTATTATAATTTTTTTATGTTCACGTATACACATCTTTATTGTTCAACTGAAATAGCCAATTTAGAATATCAACACACTATGTGTCCAAACATTAATTAGTCTTTTATGTAACAAGTTATTTCTAAAATTAGTGTATGTGTATTTTTTTAAATATATTTTTTCTAAATCTAAAGCAAAAAAGAAAACTTAATGATATCAAAATGGGTCTTTATTTTACAAACAGAGCGATAGTATCTAGTGGACGTATAATTGAATGTTATTGAATTTTAATATTAACAGTAAAACGCCATACCTGTAACGTTTCCGATTTGCTCGGCTGTAAAATGTTTTACCACACAATTTTGTAAGGTCCTGTGCCGAGTAGCCTGTTTATTTGGTCATAAAGACCTGTTAATTCATCAATATCGAAACTGCATTTAACATAGTCCCGTGCTTAATTCTATTAAGGGCATTTTGGTAGTATTTTTTTTATATATTTCAAAATTCTATGAAAGTTTAAGACTAAATGCATCATGATTTTGTTAAATCAATATCTAGGCTAAAACCAGCAAAGCTATTGCTTGTACGTAAAACATTGCACGGGAGTTATCAACAGTAAAAGTACCCGTGTCCGTTACTCAAATCATTTTCCCCTCGTGGACTGCAATAGAAAATGACCAGTCAACATTCAACATGACTTATATATACATTTTCAAATAAAGACATTTTATTAACCTTTTCTCCTTGTTAACCCGACGTTGTTTCATCAATTTCTCAAAAAATACAAATTTTGCGTGAATGTTACCCAGCAAAATAATTGACAACATTGAAAATTCCTGTTGAATATTTGAGTGTTTGTAAAAACAATAAGCGCGGAGGTGGAAAATAAGGTATAGGCGACAACAATTCTTTATTCCGCGTAGGCTGCAACAGGTCTGGTATGTAAGTTAATGGAATAGAATTACCTGACAAAAACGTTCGAAGCGAGGTGTTTAGACCACCATATTGTCTGTACGCGTTACCATAAAAGTCACGTGATTCCCTACCGTGTTGTTGGTAAGACATTGACGGCCCAAACTTGTAATTTAGTGTGGATTACTACTTTTATGTCACAAAATGAAACCAGATGGATGAACACGTGACACATTAATATCATCACCACGGATGCACAGCGAAAAATGCCCAACCGTGCAAATTCAATACTGCAATTTAGCCACGAATCAAAATACACAAAAAACTGTTTATTATAAGGTACGAAATTTCACTTCAAAATAAATACGCATTGGAATGAAACAAGAACTAAAAATATAAAATAACAAAAATAAAAAAGAAACTAAAAAGCAGGTAACCATACCGATAATGAGCCAAATAAGCGAAAACAGGGATTCAACATCCAGACTTATTTCCACAAAAAGATTTTCCATGGCATCCTTCAATTTTTCCACGCAACCCAGTACTGCCAAGGTAATCCAGACTAATAATCCAAAAAGAGATTTCACCAACAAAAACACGGCTACATATTTTTCGTCTGGACAATCGGATGTAATCTTGACAACTCCTATAGGAAAACAAAACATCATTTAGAACATCTCTGTCAGATAATTCAATATATAAAACTGTACACTCATTCTTTAGGTTCTTTAGTTTGATATTGTTTCAAGTTCGGATTTTCTCGAACATGTTAATATCAACAGCCGATTAATTTTGAAATTAAAGTTTTAAAAGTGATTCCAAATTTTAAGTTTATTACACCCCCCAAAAAAAGTACAACAACAACAACAACAACAACAAAACACAAAAACTAAAACAAAGAAAACAACAAGAAAATAAAAGAAAAGGGTCATGATGGCCCTAAACTCGCTCACCTGAATTTAGGAACTCTCCATGACAAAGAACAAGTAATATTGTTAAGAATAAACGAAAGCAGATTTAAAATCTAAATCTAAAACTGATATCAAGTTTATATTTGTATCTGAAGTTGTGCATGTGTAAGATCATCACTGGTTACTGTTGCGAAGGGAAAACAACAGGTTCAAAAGATATGTAAATATAAGGAAAATCAATAATCCCCTTGGGGGACAATTTGACCAATTTTATCAAACTTGGTAGACACTCACCAGAAGATGTTTCATGCTAAATCTCTAAACTCTAGCTTTTTGGGCTTTTTAAAATAAGATTTTTAAGTTTTTACTATATACATATAATAAAAATCAATGACCGCCCGGGACAGGGTCAATTTTCACCGCAGGGCTTTTATTTGAACAAACGTGGTGGACACCCATTAGAAGATGTTTCATGCTAAATATAAGTCATGGTCGCACTTTTATCAGTAATTATTCTTTCTGAATCATGGTCTGTGACTCTGGATAAGACAATGACGATCACTATTGCTATTATTATTATAGAAAGTTAAGGCATAGAAGAGCTAGAAGAAATAGTGGTGGTTTAGTTATTTATATAAAGAAAAGCTACACTAATGGTATATCTGTTGTCAAAAATACCCATGACACAATTGTATAGCTAGAAATTGATCATTCTTATTTTTCACTTGATACATATATTTATTTGTTTGGAGTTTACCTTTGATGACTTGTTTGATTTATTATTTGATGATGTATTATATTTATGATTCCTAGTGATTAGAACTTATGAGTTGGTATTTCCTTTGTAGTTTGAAATGATCAGCTAGATTTTTATAACCCTGGTATTTCTTCAAGACGGGCCCCAGAAGATAATGTATGCAATGCTTGTGGGTTTCGCATGCTTGATTTAGAATTAATGATACAAGTTTGTTCACACTTTTTAAGCAATATTGAATTAGAACTGGTTTTGAATGATGAAGATTTTAGGCGGATTAATATATTTCAACTGTTACCGTTGAACGATTCACCGCTCTTCCTTTTAATTGATATTAATTCTAAGATAGGTAATCAAAATATAAATGATTATGAAAATACCTCGGAGTGTACATTTTATAAATGGTCAGTTAATGACAAGATAAACTTTAGATATGATATCACTTCAAAGCTTCCCGAGTTTAATGCTCTTTTACAAAATAAGGGTACTTTGGGGACCTTTCTATCGATAATTTAGTTGAGGGTTTTTTCTCATTGACTGAAAGAGGGGCCGAACCGTACTTTAAACAATCGCGGTTGTCATGCAATATGCATTCTACATCATGCAATAAAGAGTGGTTTGATCGCGAGTGTGTAGAATCAAATAAACTGTATATTTTAGAGCTTAATTCATTTAATGGAAACAAATCAATAGAAAACAGACAATTACTTTTTGAGCGTAAACGTTCTAATAAACTTTTAATGCGCAAGAAATAAAGAGCGTTGAAGACTAAAAAGGCGTGTGAATTATGCGAAATTCGTAAATCTAAACCAAGGAAAGTTTGGAAACATTTTAAGTCAAAACTTTAAAAGTGTTCCAACGATGTAGAACCTGAAGAATTTTGTCAGATTTTTTCTAGTTTGTTCAATGACATTTGTGATTATAAGATCTACTCGTATAGAAGAGGTAGACAGTTTTATCTCTGAAACAGACTTTAATGTAAATAACCCGTCTATCGAATGCTTGAATATGCCTATAACGTTTAATGAAATACTAATGATTAAGCGAAATAAGGTGCCATGTCCTACCGGTACTTAATTAAATGAGATTTTCATCATACTAATCGGCCATATCACGGACTATTTTAACACTTTATTTGATTTCGGTCATTTCCCAAAAGTATTTTCTTATTGTTATAACGTACCATTATATAAAAAGGGAAATTAAAGGGTTCCGAATAAGGTTTACTGAGGTATAACATTTAATAGTAATTTTGGTAAATTATTTACAAAGGTATTAACGGGTTGAAAAATGGGCGCCTGATAACAATATATAGTCTGTTAAAAAATGGGCGCGTGATAACAATACATAGTCTGTTGAAAAATGGGCGCGTGATAACAATATATAGTCTGTTGAAAAATGGGCGCGTGGTAACAATATATAGTCTGTTGACAAAATGGGCGCGTGATAACAATATATAGTCTGTTGAAAAATGGGCGCGTGATAACAAGACATAGTCTGTTGAAAAATGGGCGAGTGATAACAATATATAGTCTGTTGAAAAATGGGCGCGTGATAACAATACATAGTCTGTTGAAAAATGGGCGCGTGATAACAATAAATAGTCGTTGAAAAATGGCGGCGCGTGATAACAATACATAGTCTGTTGAAAAATGGGGGCGCGTGATAACAATATATAGTCTGTTGACAAAATGGGCGCGTGATAACAATATATAGTCTGTGTTGAAAAATGGGAGCGTGATAACAAGACATAGTCTGTTGAAAAATGGCGAGTGATAACAATATATAGTCTGTTGAAAAATGGGCGCGTGATAACAATACATAGTCTGTTGAAAAATGGGCGCGTGATAACAATATATAGTCTGTTGAAAAATGGGCGCGTGATAACAATATACAGTCTGATGCCCAATTCAGTTTTCGTTCAGGTGTAAGCACCGTTGATGCAATTTTGTTTGCACTCTTAAGTGGAACAAATACTATCCCAAAATTCACGTTTTTGTTGTTGTTTTATAGACATCAAAAAAGCTTTCGATTCAATCTAGCGTAATGCACTTTGATCTAAACTTTTACATCCTGGACTAGATGGTAAATTGAAAGAATCTGTTTATATTTACATGGTAAATACGCTCCTGTAGATATATCGATAAATAACTACAAATGTCTGTTTACATTTGGATTCAAAATATTCCGGATATCGATCACTCGATAGTGATTGGTTATTGATTTGTTATTGTCAGAGAGGAGGTTAATCGAAATAAATACAGTAAAGAACGAAAGTACATTCAGAAAAAATAAAAACCTGACAATGTTTATTTTATTATTATTTTCAGGAAATCGATGACGGAAATGTAAAAACGAATGTTGGGCATAAAAAAAAGAGATGCATGCACAACATTGATATGCATTTTGTTGTTTATTAATTATGTTTAAGTTGTTAAATTACGCAAGTTCTATGGAAATAGTCAAATTCAATTTATCATTTTTGTGGCTATAACGTTTTGACTACGTGTAGATTTTTCATTTGATTCAATATCGGTTGTGGCCACCTCTGCCTCTAAGTAGTGTGTCAACGCGTCAACGAATAGAATTGACGAAACGTTGAACAAGGTTATTCGGAAGATTGTTCCATTCCGCTATCAATGCATTTGTCAGTTAGAGGATATTCTGTGGGGCGTTTTGTCGTTGGACATTTCTGCCAAGCACACCCCAGATACGCTCTATCGGATTCATATCTGGAGACATTCCTGGTCATTGCATGGTATTGACGTTGGCTGAAGCTAAGCTAGCGCGAGTTATCCTCGCCGTGTGAGGACGGACGTTGTCTTGTTGAAACACAGGGGGACCGTTTCTTTGCATAAACGGAATAGCCTCGGCATTCAAGACCTCGTTGATGTATCTCTGGGGGTTTAAGTTGCCGTGTATAACAATAAGCCGGGTCTTTTGTCCCCCCATTATCCCGCCCCATACCAGGACGCTTCCACCACCGAAACGATCATGCGTCTAACACAGACAGGTGCAAACCTTTCGCCCTTTCGACGATAAATTCTTACACGGCCGTCGGAATGACTGAGATTGTAACGACACTTGTCTGAAAACAGGACAGTATTCCAGTCACGTCGCCGCCAGTGACGGTGCGTACGTGCTCACCTAATACGGGCCTGACGATGGTGTAAGGCTTAAGTGAGAATATCGCCTGTATATGGTTATTGCGCTCAATCGGGCGTTGTTGTTCGCGGAACCGATTGTGAATGCTTTGTGCAGTTACGTTAAACGCGGACGCGGTCAAGGTCGTCGGTCTGAACCTGTCACGTAAGCGAGTAAAAACAATTGCACGGTAGTTCCTTTGGGTAGTTACCCTTGGCCTGACTGGCCTTGGACGATCGTGAACATAACCTGTAAGTCAAGAGCGTCTTAAAAGTTCATCAACTGTGTTAAGACTGCAGTTAAACGTTCTTCTCACGTCAACAACAGATGCCACACCCAGCAGCATTCCTTTTGCTTGATTTCTCTCAGCTTCTGATAAATGTGGCATTGTGAAAGCTATGAACTTTAGGTGTGAATAACACTAAATTGTTACTGAACACATGTATAGTGTCTTACATCATAATTTTACATTATAACAGCAGCAGTAGCAATCAAGCACTGTGTTATATTAACTGTATTAATCAAATAAAATAAAATTTCGATCAGCCGAAATCTTTTAAGAAAATAAAATTAAAAAAATGTAATAAGGTTTAATGAAGAGTAAAAAGATTTAAGTAATATTTAACAAATATGAGTGATTAATGACTGTTTTTGTCTACTTATCTACTATTTTGTCTACTGCGTTACTAACACATTAAGGGCATATTTTAGTCTCTTTTTGGTAATTAACATGGATTGTAAGTGCCGTTTTTCAATGTGTAAATTATGTTTTTTGTTCACGTCACAATATTTTCCTTTGTAATACATTTTCGAAATTTTCATGAAAATTAACATTAA